AAGCATGATTTGATGTCAACTTCAGAATACAATCAGAATGTTTTTTAACAATTTTGCAAATGACCAATGGCAAGGTAAACTTGTAAATTTACGAGTTCCATTTTTATTGTAAAAGCAGCTGTTGGTGATATGAAAAAGACTAGACTTTAATTTATCGTACCTGTTTAGGTGTAATTGCTCAAGTGGTTTTGGAGAAAAAATCGAAAATGTCAAAAGTTCACAGACGAACGGACAAGGAGACACAATGTTATCAAAAAAGCTATTCAGATCAGGTGAGAAAAATTGTTGAACATAATGACTTCTATTTCAAGCTCTATTTAAGAAATTATTAATTTTACAGTTTTAAAGGTTATCCTTCTTGGTTGAGGAGCGGATATTCTAAAAAAAAAACTTTTAAACAATCGATGAAAATCGTCTAAGAACTATGAAAATGTTTTCATGTCATGCAAATTCAATTTTGGCATTTCATAATCCTTTTGACTACCGGTAGGTTGGGATATACTTAGTTTTCACCAGAATGGGGAAAAAATTACATAATTCTTCAATCAAGGTAGAACTTAAAGTCCGTGAGCCTTTCATTTATCAATATTTTTACTAAAGCTTATTTAACTGGATTTTCATTTGAATCCTTAGGTAAATCCAAAAGTACATGTATTTCTATTGTAAGTGTAGCTGAATTGTCTAACAAAACATATATAAATATATGTGAAAATTTTAAAAGAAGTTTATTTTGAATAAACAAATAAATTAAAATCAACACTTTGACAAGTAATGAAAAACAGGTATAGATTCGCAAAATTGATATAAATTACAAAAACCAGTGTTCAAAAACAATTTCTGCTTTCAACTTATGATGTTCAAAGATTATACAAACACTTTTTGTAACGCGTCGATAATAGACTTTTATAGTGTGGCGAATACAACGGAAATTAAAACCAGAACTTGTTGGAGCAATTCGAAATATACCCAAATTGTTTTAGAAATGTTTATTTGCGTGACTTAAAAATTAACCATTTATGGTATAACTCATTGCTATATCTGAGTGACTTTGGCGTCGTTGAAACTTTGATTTCTTTTCTTTTATCCAAGCAACTGAGCTATACTCAGGTCAGTCAAATGTCAATGGGCTTCTAACTTAATATAACAGTTACAGTGACCACGGGAAAGTTACTGATTTTCTGTTTGCTAAGTGGTTCCTTTCAATCAAACTAATCTACTCTTCACATTTAAATGCATGGTTTGCTAAAGTATGTAAAACCCATAATCGCTCTTTTAAATCCTAGATTACAGAGTATTAATTTTTTATAAAGGTCAGATTGAAAAAAAAAAAGTAACAGATTTTTAATTTCTGTTGTGTCGCCTTTCTTCTTATCAAATTATTATTATATATCTGTGTAGAAATATTAAGCTTAATGTGATATTTTTGTTTCCGAATGCACGCAAGACCCAAAAGTTTCAAGTTTAGTGTGATTCTCTTCTACTTTTTGAAATTTGGAATAAGCTGTTTTACATAAAAATCTGAGAATTACACAAGTTCCATATTTTCCTTTCAGAGCTACACAGTCACACATAAAACATTCTTCACCATTCTCCTTGAACCTTCGAATTTTTAAGAAACCGAGACATTGTTATAGCTTGAGTGACCAGAGAAGAGTACAATACTTCAAAAATTAAACCTCTGTTGTCAAAATTTTGTTGAAATAAATTCACAGAATATCTTTAACCTACAGTCAGATTGAAATTTATCTGTTAAACAAATTTGACAAAACATTTGTCTGTTGCGGCCGGAGACGTTTCTATCCCTTTATAGGGATTGGATGGGAAAGTAAAGAAAACGGCATTTAAATACTTTTGTGAATTAACGTGTCATAAAGGAAAAACAGTTTTTTCATACAAATTTTAGGATTTTTTCTGCTTTTCTAAGGAAATGAATTTATTGATATTATTTTTCATTGCAGATTTAGGTAAGTACAAATATATTTGAATATATCTACTTTAGATTTTATTTTCATTTACTTAAATAAGATAATCAATCTTTTCATTTAAAAAGTCAGATAAAGAGGTTTATTATCAAGTCAATAAATGAAATTATCATTTTCGTTTAATTCAATTTATAAATAAACTGAAAGGGGTCAAACTATTTTAAAACGAAAGTATTTCTTACAGGAGCAGTCTTATTTTTTGACCTACATTTATTCAATCGTATAAAACAGAAATCTGATTATGATACATGGGTTCTAATAATATTCGTATCTCGTAGATACATGAAAAACCTTCAATATTGACCAATTACGGGCATTGTCAACATTATTGTATATTTTTATCAATATTAAATGTTTGAAATATGTCAAAAGAAAAACACAAGAAAAACAAGATGTGTTTGTGAAACACTATGCGCCCGGCAGCAATAAAGTTCAAAAAAGCTATTTTTAGCATATAGGTCACGTTCAAGGTCACAAGGTCATTGACTTTGGTGTTATTTGAAAGAACTTTATTAGTGGAGTATGCATACCAAATATGAAGTCCCTATCTCCTATGGTTCAAAAGTTACGACAAGAAGTCGAAAAAGCTATTTTTAGCATATAGGTCACAGTGAAGGCCACAAGGTGAATGACCTTGATGTCATTTGAAAAAACTTTATTAGTGGAGTACGCATACCAAATATGAAGTCCCTATCTCCTATGGTTCAAAAGTTATGGCAAAAAGTTAAAATAAAACTATTTTCAGCATATAGGTCATAGTCAAGGTCACAAGGTGAATGACCTTGATGTCATTTGAAAGAACTTGATTAGTGAAGTACGCATACCAAATATGAAGTCCCTATCTCCTATGGTTCAAAAGTTTTGGCAAAAAGTCGAAAAAGCTATTTTTAGCATATAGGTCACGGTCAAGGTACAAGGTCATTGACCTTGATGTCATTTGAGAGAACTTAATTAGTGCAGTATGCATATCAAATATGAAGTCTCTATCTTTTATGGTTCGTAAGTTATGGTGAATGTTAAAGTTGACAACAGACAGACAAACAGATAAACAGACAAACAGACAGGTCAAAAACAATATACGCCCTGGATCTATCGATCCGGGCGCATAAAAATACTTTTTTGCTATTACACAAAATGAGAATAATTTTATGAAGAGGGGATGGGAGGTTACACCGGTGTAACATTTCCCCAAAACTTAGAAGCCCCACTCTTCAAAGAGGGAGTTTTGAAATAAATAACTACATTAAAAAATCTATTCATATAAATTTTTATTTGTTTTCTTTATTGTTTTTTTAATTTGTATTTTAGCTCCTATGGTGTTTGGTCTTTACTCCCACTCGTTAGAGACCAGTTTACGGAATGAGATATTCAATGGCTATAACAAGGACGCCAGACCAATTCAGAAAACCTTTGTCACCTGTAACGTCAAATTACTGTCACTAAAAGACATTGTAAGTTTTACTTTATAATACACATATTACTAGTATATGTAGTATATGTAAATATAAAGCGTAGTCAGGGTCATAGGTCTATTAAAACAATAGAATTTGGAAGTGGAGCAAACATGGACCTCTAAATGCTCAACAAACCAAATTTTGTGCTTATACAAATTTTCAGACTCAAAAAACAAACTGAATTTCAAAGAAGAGATACAAATACTGAAATAATCTATTTTTCATTTCCACCTCAGAATGAACATGTTACAAAATAATTTGAGAGCAATTTTTTAAATGATTTTTTACCGACAAAAAAAAAGAAAAAAGCGATATTGAAATTAAGCTTTATTATGAAAATTAATTTATATAGAATAGACTATAAAAAGCAATCGTAATATGCTTGTGTGATTTTATCACACTAACAAAGAGCAAATGACCTCGCCCTTGGTCGATATTATTAGTTTAAGCGATATTATCCTGCATTTGTCTAACCAGCATGTTATAATTGTACATTATTTGCGAATAATGTATTTATCTTCATAACTGTGTACCAGTATCTTGACTATAGGAAATTGGAAATGTTCGATAAAATGACCCAAATCAAAGGAAAACCTTATTTATTCAATGTCAAGTAGCATAAATGTTCTACAACCTATTGGCTAGATAGGGATGTAATTTATTAATTGGATTATTTATAAAACAAAAAATAAACTTGTAAACAAAACAGACTATTTAAACAAAATTTATACAAAAATATTCTGGGCTTTAAAAAACATATTAAGAACAGTTTTCTCGTCTCTGGATTCACTGAATAACTAATCACACCATAAAAGCAAGTCGCTGTCTTTCTCAGGAAGAGAATGATATACAAAATGCTTCAGAGTTCTTTTTTATATTGAAAAAAGAACCATGGAAATAGCCATCAATGCCTAGTTCGCATTGCACATCACTCGTATTTTATTCACATTTTAGTAATGACTCTGAGAGAGGAATTGTCTAACCTATTGTCAAACCTAACAATTAGTTCTAATTTGCAAAATCATTCTACATGTATTCATTGGATATCTGAAGGATTATCCATTGAGAGACCCCAAAAATTATTTAGGTTTTTTGTGATTTTAAGTTTCTTATAATTAAAATTTTCTCTAGATTAATTAAATATATGGAGAAATCGAACAGTATTCAAACATCAGAGGTGGAATCAGGTACCATTGAGGAGTGAGCACCCCTTTCCGACCGCCACACCCGCCGTGTGCTCCTTGTCATGAACGAAAAATAACAACAACAAAAATCTGTCGACAATACAGTGTGTAAATAATGGCCAAAGAATTTCTATGAAAAACTCAGTCAGTTTTTGACTTAATGATACATGTAGATTGAATTAGATGACAAGGCCATTGTGTCAATTATAGAACTTACTGCTGATATTCTTGTTTCATCAGATTGTTTGTCTTTGAACAAAAAGATTTTTAAATTAATAAATTTTATTTCTTTTGATAGATTCTCGGCAGTTTCTGTTGATAAAATTAAGACAAAATATATTTGGCAGTAAGGCTTTTTTTTTTTCTTTTTTTCAGAACACAAGAGATCAAACTATGTCAACTGTGGCGTACTTTACTTTTGTAAGTTTGCTTCACATTTCAAACCATTAATTTGACGATTATTAACTAATATGCTTAACCTGTTATGATAAATACTAAAGACTACAAGAGCTCTAGCAAGTAGTGAAAAGTTTATTAAGACTCCGTATTTTTTTTTTAAAATTCCCTCCTTGTGTTATTTTTAGGCTTGGGCCGATACCCGGTTAACATGGACTTCAAAGCCAGCTTACTCCTCCCACATAGAGAGAATATACAGCACGGAAACGGTGTTATTCACACCTCCTTTAGTTGTGGAAAATTCGTAAGTATAAAATATCAAATAACAAATATCAATATTTAATAGAGTATTGTCAGAACAGTTGATATTTACTCAATTTTAGAGACCAAAATTTTGATTGTCTGCATCATCTTTTAAAATCCTTTGACTCAAAGGTTCAATTGAACTTTTCTAATCACATGTAGCTATTTATAGTCTATATTTCTCTGCGTCTACTATCTTTTAAAATTTTTGACTTCTTTTCCTGAACCTGAAGACCCAATCTGATTAAAATCATTCCTATGATCCACTCACATAAATCGCTACACAAGGATCTGAAAAAACCCCATTCAGGGTCATCTCCTAGTGACCTCTCAATTATCCAATCAAACGTTCACTTCCAAGAATTTAGAAGTATTTCGGATTCAGTTACAGAAGTAAAAGCCCCGATGACACACGAAAGGAAAATCGTAACCTAGTTTCCATAGCCTGCCAAGAGAACAACTTAAGTCTTTTCTGTACAGAAATATGATAAGTACTTGCTTTTGACTTGATTTTAACTCTTTGTTTGGTAGTAAACGATAATATTTTCTCCACAGCTACTTTCACTTCTACGTTAATTTTCCCGAACGTCATTTAAATACGATCTCTAATTGGTCAAAATTTTAATGAATATTTTCATTAGAAAGGTCACCAGAAGATGACCCTGAATGGGGTTTCTTCAGATCCTTGTGTATCGATCTATGTGAGCGGATCAAAGGATCTGATTTTAATCAGATTGCCTGAATACCAATATCAGTCTTGAAGAAAGTTTCTTTGGATAAAGGGTATAGTTTTTTTAATTAAAAAAAGGTCTTGAAAATGAGATACTAAAAAAGGCAAAATAATATGGAAGTCTTAAAAATCTTCTTAAACAACATATGATCGGGGAAAATTGAAACCTACATTGTATGTGAAATCCTTCGTTATGATGCAGATTAAAGTTAGCTAAAATCATGGTTCTGGGGTTCAATTTCTTACATGTGTATATAACATGTGTGAGCAGTCGGCAGGGGATGCTGACATGGCACCTGATCCCACCTCTGATGTTTCGGAGGTCCTTGTTTTCTCTGCTCCTATTTGTATTGTTAATTGGACTTTTGAGCTTGAATGTTGTTCGTTATCTCTATTTATTTCATCCCCCAGCAGAGCATGGCCATGAATCATCCTTATGTTATGCCCGTTCACGTTCAGCTTAGTTTATAACTCCTCAAATTAAGACGGAAAAATCCCTTTAATAGCAGGACCATGTGATTCACATGAGTTATGGCCCATCGAATTGTTTCGTATTAATTATCAATTTCGGGGGTGGGTTGATTGTAAAGACTTTCTTCCTATTTTTTATGTCAAGACAACAATTTTTTTAGCCATGATGAGTCATATTTTCTTGCATAGTAAAAAAACCCTAATATTTTCAGCATTAATGACCTGGGTATTATTAGCGACAAAACCCTTCCAATGAGGATCGACAAGAGTGGATTGGTCACATGGTTCCCTGGAAATATCTACGAGACATCATGTGACATTGACACGACCTTCTATCCCTTTGACAAGCAGACATGTTCCATTATTTTAACAACCAGGGGTTATATTCAAACAGAAGTAGAACTACGACTCGGAAAAGTCCCTATAGTTCTTACTGCTTATCAGGAGAATGGTGAATGGGCCTATGTATCCAGTTCAAGTGAAGTTAGTACCACATCACGTGATTTGTTGACGTACTCTACACTCACATTTACTTTCACTTTCCAACGTCGGTCATCGTATCACTTGATGACAACCATCATCCCGATGTTCTTACTTGCATTCATGAGCTGCTACGTATTCAAACTTCCAGTTGATGCTGGAGAGAAGCTCGGGTACTGCCTTACGGTTTTATTAGCGTTTGCCGTCTACCTGACTTTGGTTTCAGACAATATCCCTACAACATCAACAACGATATCTTACTTATGTGAGTATTAAAATAAATTATTTTTTTTCAAATATGACAAGGCATAAAAAACTGAAGACAACAGACATTGATCAATTCAATGATAAATGTTATAAACGATGCAAATCGAGATCAGGCCAAACAAAGCACTAACCCCTGAAACCAAGATCAGAGGTCAGTTTACCCCGACTCACCTTTTTTTTTGGCTATTACCACAATTATCCACCTGGAATTGGAATTTCTGTTTTCAAAGATAAAAAAATAATAAAGTGTCAGATACAGATTCAATAATTATAATATTTATACAGCTTGTATCCTGGAAGTTCAGAAAAATGACTTTGTATTATGATGTCTCGTTTGAAAGTCAGCATTTCGTAAGTTCTATGGTCGATACAATGGCCTTGTCAGCAAATACAATTTATCAGTGAGTCAAATGCTGACTGACCTTTTTCACACTAATTGTTAGTCCCATATTTATCCACTGAACTGACGACAGATTTTTCCGTAATTTCCCGATCATTACAAGGAGCACATAGCGGGTGTGACCGGTACACAGGGGATGCTCACTCCTCCATGGTACCTGATCCTAACTCTGATGTTTTGAGATTCATGTTTGCTCTGCTCCTATTTTGCATTGTTTTATGGACTTTTGATCTTGAATACTGTTCAATATTTCCATATGTCTCACCCCACCATGGGGCGTGATGCCTAAACAAGGGAAACACACAGATTTTACCTTTTCTGTATAGCATTAATTGCTAACTATCTGATTTTTATTTTAGCGGTATACTTGCTGCTGATGCTCGGAACTGGAGTGATATCCGTGCTTCTGACCATACACATTATAGACATTAATTTTACATCTGATGAGGAAGAAATACCAAATTATCTGCAAAATATAACAAGAATTATTTCCAAGATCGTCTGCTGGAAAAGTAACACAAATTGCTGCGGGAGGAGTAACTCTTCCATATCTGTAATCAATGTTAAATCTATGGACGTAGAAATGGATTCAAAGAAAACCAGTGTTGATAGTAATGTGGAGAAGAAGGAGGATCTCTCGTGGCAGGAGATTGCAAAGATTTTAGACATCTTTCTGTTCCGAGCTTATCTTTTCATAGTCATAATGCTGTCCATTATGTTCATTGGTATCATGTATTTGGGTCCACAGTGATCGAATGTCACTTGTTATATTTTTTTCTAGTCAGCTGTTTCGCATTGATAGGTCTATTTGTTTTTATTTGACTTTTTCCATAAATGAAACCAGGCTTGAGTTACTTACGATTACCGATCTTAAAATGTTAATGCTACTTAATAACCACTTTTGTAGGTCCATCCTCGTATTCATCTTTTTCAAGTTTTAATTAAATGCGTATTTTTTAAAGCATTTCTATAGTTATAGCATGCTATGATAATGCAACTCAAGTGAATTCTTACATATACGACCCTCCTCTTCATGCTACTTCACTAGTAGTCTAGCACTAGCAATAACTTAACTAGTTTAGCTTCTCAATTTTATCACGACGCGGTGTGGGACTCTCCATCTCAACTCGATTGGATTTCCTCCCTCATATACAATAATGTTAATTTTAAACGGAATAAAATTTAATATAAAATAGATATATACAATAAAATAGATATCATTTAAATCTTGGTTTGCTTGTTGTTATAGTCAAAGAATAAATATACTCCGTGAAAACTTTCCGCCGTATTTCTTATGAAAACTACCTCCCTTTTTCAACTTTTTTAACCGTGTTTCAAGGACACTTCTAAAGCAGAAAGCTCTTCTATCATTGAAACTTATCTTAATTAAAGCATACCATCAGTAATAATAATATCACTGAAAGTTATTAAATTGAAAAATACCATCAGTAATATGATATTTAACGTACATCAACCTTAACGATACTGTATACTGAAAATATATATAAACGCGTTTTGGCATATTTTTCCACAGTGTACAGTATTTATTTATTTTTTCCATAAAAAAAAGGTATTTTAGAAAAATAATTGCATTTGGTACTTTATCACTTGATTTCAATGAAAGACAAATTGGGAATTTGTAACCTTAAAAAAAAAATTTCGAATAATCAATCCATCAACGAGAGGACACATACATTAAGTACTTCAAAAAATCGACTTATATCTATATCTTTTAAATAGGGCCATTGGTAAACTATGTTTTTTTTTAAATATGGGATGATTTGACTTTGATATATTTAAGTGCTAAAAAGCCTCATTGTTATTCATTTCCCGGTCACAAATTTGTCTTTCTCTGACTATTGTAATCTTTAATGGAACATTGCGTTAAATGGGTTTTAATTAAAGCTTAATCGTTTTCACTTAAATGGATGTCACGGTGTTACAATGTAATGAGTTTAGGTATTGATGACCTAATTAAGCCTCTATGTGCACGTACATGGGGGTCACATAACTAGTATTGAATCCAAAACACCAAGGGCTGTGTAAATTACTGTTTATATTAGAATGCACACAATTCACGAGCCTCAAAAGACTTCAATTTTTCACACAAGTTACTAGTACTCTTTTGACGAATCTGTACATGCAAGGATGTTATTTTTTACTCTTTTTGTGCCAAGAAGTTGTCTGTAACTGATCGTGTCCTTACATTCACAAACTGCTTTGTACGTTCTCATATATAGCTAAAGCTTTCAATGTCGCCAAACTTCATTTCAAATATTTTAATCTATCTTTCTCTTGAGTTGTGATATTTTTATGTTTTCGAATTGTGATAAATTTTGTAAAGAAAGGAGAAAATACTGATATGCCATGTTTGTCCTTGGTTGTTTGTTTTGAACATATTTTATTGACAACATGTCCAAGTTCCAAAAGACTTAGATAGTCCTCTCCCTTACATAAAAATCTCAATAGCCATACAATATTTACAAAGATTTACAATTTTACAATTATATACAAGATCTAAAAACAATAGCTATTATTGCCAAAAAATGAAAATATCAATTGGTTGCTGTGGTTATGATAGCAATGTTAATGTGTTCTTTATTAGGACTCAATCAAGATTTAAAGTAGATGACATTTTTCAAAAATGTTAACAGCACAACTAATACAAAAACTTATAACCAAATTTTGCTAATGTTGGTCTGTACATGTATATGTGTCGCTTGTAATCAGCTATCTATAACAAACAATGAACAGTTTAATCAGAATCTTTGACTATTCGCGCCAAAAATTGCTCTTAATAACTAAACATTTTATATCCCATACTTGTTTAGTTTCCATGTCAATTTCGTTTTTAAAATGTCCAATATGGTTTATCTGCATCCTTAGAAACAAAATCAAATCTAATTTATAGAAAATGTGATAATCAATAACATGAATATTGTTGGTGTAAATTCAAACAAGACTTCAAAGTGTGTTTAAACCATTCCCTAGTTATATAAACACTTGTAGCAAACGTTTATCTATTTCACCCGGAGACGCCATGTTTATTTTTTTAATGACTATTTAAATTTGGAAATTGCACCATTTTGGTATTTAAATTATAAAGACTTAGACTTACGCTTCATTTTGTTTCAAAGATTATTATTACAAAGAACCTTAAGAGAATGAATTTCTTATTAATTTTATTCGCAAATGCACGTAAGTACACTAAACTTGTGAATTTAAAAGTTTATATTAATTTTCTTATCATTATTTATTTTAAAAGTTACATCGTGCAACAGTAAGTGTATAAAGGTGAAAACAATCTCATAAATTAATATCAATGATACTGAATTCTGTACACTCATTTTCATATGTCCATATCTTTAAATTGGCAATCATATTTTTTACAATTTAGTGCATACCTTTAAATTGTGATGGGGCTTAGTTTTTTTTTGTTGTTGTTTTTTTACCAATACCGGTGTGTTAGTGGGAGAGTGATAGGTGCTAGTAAAAACTAAAAACGTTGCTTTGTTGTTGCTTAAAAAAGTAAGCAATTGATTGATATTATATTACATAATAAATCAAGTTATGACATTATTTAAATTCTTTCTTCTATGTTAGATCTTTTTTTTTTATTTAAAACTCATTTTTTTTAAAAAAAATCATTTTGTCCTGTTTTAGAGCAAACTTTCCATTTTATTTTAAGTATTCTTCTTGTGATTTTTGGATGACCCCAGCCGTATAACAGCACCTGTCCGTGTCGAAATATCAGTACCGCGCGTCAGTGCCATGTGATATATTTTTTTTGGCACGTACAGATGCCGTTATACGACTGACGATGAAATTAAATTCTGCCCAAAGTGAATTAAATAATGTTTTCCCCAAAAAAGGCACATCCTTTACCCATGGGAACTTCGACGAATCGCTCGGAGACTCGATCTCCAAAAAGTACTTACTTAATTACTTATGCCTGCTACCCCTTTTGGGGCATAGGCCGCTAACAAGATTCCTCCAGGCCCCTCTATCCTGAGCAATATTTTCTACCTCCTTCCAGTTCTTCCCCATTCTTTTGACATCTGCCTCCAAATCTCTCCGCCAGGTGTTCTTTGGCCTCCCTCTCTTACGTTTTTCTTGGGGGTTCCAGGATAGGGCTTCCCTTGTGATGTTTTTATGTGGCTTGCGTAGAGTATGCCCTATCCACCTCCACCTTCTCTGTATTATTTCTGTTTCTGTAGGGGCTTGGTTGGTTCTTTGCCACAGGTTGATGTTACTTATTTTGTCGGGCCATCTAATCTGGAGGATGCGTCTCAGACAAGAGTTGACAAATGTCTGTATCCTGTCCAAAAAGTACACCAATGGTCGATTAGATCATGGGAATCCCCACTGATTACTGGGGAACACAATCTTCAAAAACTATACAGACATTGTCATTCAGAAACTTAACATCTTTTTATCATCAATTTCTGTTAATTTTTCATACAAGAGAATTTTCTTTAACAAATTCATTTCGCAAATGACTAACGACAAGGTAAAAGTTCCAAACCAGTTGAAGAGGCAGATGTCTTTGATGTAAGTCTTTGTTAATTTTGAATTTTGTTGTATAAAATGTTGAAAAGTCTAAAATTTCATGATATTGATTTTTGTAAAATGTTTCAATTTCAACTTTCTTAAAAGAATACAAATAAATCCTTCGCATTTTTAATCATCTAATTTACACCACTCCTCGTTTAAATGTATTTTGATGTATAGTACTTTTGAATTTTTACTTTACTTTAGTGGATAGTAAAAAAAGAGGTTTTTTATTTACTAGTATCCCCACTGTCTATCTCTGTGTGTAAGGATTTGGAATCCAGTATACGAATACTTCAAATAAGAGCCCTACAAACAGATACAATTTTTGTTACCTGCTTAGTCAGCTGTGATTAGTAGTACATAGTGAGCATGTAATCTATCTATTGAATTGACTTAGGAAAGAAAAAGGAGTATTGTTAATTGATAAAATGTCTTCGACCTATATACGAAATATTGAATTGCGGGTCACGCAAGAGACGTCTTTTCATTAAAAGGTTTTAAAATAAATTCTTTCTTCGTGTTATAGCAAAAATTGGTCTGTTCATATTTGGCGTTACACATGAGAATTCCCACAGATTGTTGAAGACTTGACTTTCAAAAACCAAATAGAAAAATAATTGTCAATCAGCTCAAGCATCTTTTCAGTATCAATTTCAGGGTACTGTGTGTGCAAATAATGTTTAAAATAATTTACCACCTTTCAGAATTTTGGTAGTTAGAAATTAGATCAGCCGCTTGACGCTGACAGATACAGTATCCGGTACATAAATACTGAGAGCAATGAGCTCACTGAATGATACCCCCGCCTCCCATATGAATATAATGGGAGTGTCCATGTTTTGTTGTGGAAAACCCAAAATATGTGTTAGATCAAAAAGTAAAATAGGAGGTGCACAATGGCAATATGTAATAAAGATGTGAAAGTTTAATCAAATTTCTTTCAGTGGTATGAGAGGAGTTGCGGATAAGAGATGGGTACTCCAAAGCGCAACAGACGGACGGACGGACATAACGATTACTATATACCCTCCCGTTTTCAAGCGGGGGTAATATTAATTGACTCCTTAACAAGGAGAAGAATCAAAAATAGTAATTTTGTGAAAGATCAGATTCGAAGCTTTACCAAGATATTTTTTAAATTACCTGAAAAAGAAAAAAGATGACGTAATAATAATTTTGTTCAGAAATCTATTGGAGAAATATCATTGTTATAAATAAGTTATGAACTTAATATTGCATGGTGAAAATGACGAATAATAAACGTACAATTTTAATTAATATTATTTTTACGACTCTTTTCTAGTGAAGTAGATTTTAATGAAATTGAAAAAAAATATGTTTTATGGTTGACGTTTTTACTCTTCCACGACAAGATTTTTGTGGGGTTTTTGAGGGATTGGATGTTATAGATATGCAATGGGTTTTATTCAAAAACATATATATAATTGAATGTTAATAAACATGATAACAAAAATATAGCAGCTGAATTTTGTATTGTGAGAACTCGTCATGAATTTCGTATTTCGTGTTGATGAGCTTGAGATAAAATATACCACACTGACACATCTGTTTCATTTCATATATGGATATTTTACTTGAAAAAGACGTTTATGGTAATCTAACAACCAAGCTTTATGATAGACGTGATGACTTTAACTTTTCTATCGTCGACTTCCCTTACTTATTCAGCAATATACCTTCATTACAAGCAAACGGAATTTACATATAGTTGATTCGATACGCAAGAGCATGCCCTACGTATGAACAATTTCTAAAACGAGAATTGATAAACAATTAAAGTGATGAAAGAAGAATATCAACAGTATCGTTTAAAGTCATCATTTTTTAAAGTTCTATGGTCAATACAATGACCTTGTCAGCAAATACAACTTATCATAAACTCAAATGACTGCATAATTTTGTCTCAGAAAAGCTAAAAACAGAGGTGCTTTGTGATGGTATTTATTGACGTATTGACACAATACAAATCCCTCACCCTGAGTGCAGAGTACATGTCTAACAATAAGCCCATCATCGCTTTGTCTCGTTCTTAGTGAAAAATCATCGAATATGTCGTAAAACCACATACAATCATGTTTTTCTTGTGATCTCTCTACCTTTTCCTGAATTAATTGGCGTCGAACAGTTCTTATTTAAATAGTACAAGTTGTTCTCCCTTAATTTCTGACTCCTTTCTGAATACATTCATTGACCTTTTAAATTAATTCGGTAATAGTATCCTTAGATTAACCAAACGTGAATGAATAGCAAATAACAGTTTTTCAAAGGCCCAAGGAGCATAAAGGTGTTAAAAGAGATTTAGACTTAAACCTTGCGTTGACCATGAGATCACCACACGTTATAAAGCTTATGTAGACTAAATCAACCTTAATTGAGAACGAATCGCCATTTAGGCCACTAAGATTAGTTTTTATTTTATATGATTTAGTTATATTACATATATTTTTTTTGCAAAATGAGAATCTTATGGATATTTTTAACAGTGTCAATGAGTAAGTCATCGTACTTTGTATGACGTTTACTGTATCAATTGGTACGCTTCTAAGTTGTTAATTCTTTTTTTCTAAATAGTAAAACACTACATTTCATTTTTTAGGGAAAAAACTTTTGAACATTATTGGGCGTTGATTATGGAAAGCATTGGTATCTTAAATATTAATTGTACTCAGTTCAGCATGGAGAATCTGTATGTTCGTCTTATAAAATTCATTAAAATCAAATGCATGTACCTATAAAAAGCATTTTGATTAAGGAAAAAATTAAATGCACATGTGAAAGAGCCTGGTTAAAATACAGGTTACGATCTGGGCTGCACATATTTTAATATCACATATATATACCTATTAAAACAAGTATTAGGTTTCTCTCTCTTATGATTTCCAGTTAGGCAATTATAGTTATAGAAAAAGTCCAGAAAAGCAAGTTAGAGAGGCTGACAGAGGAATTACTGGAATAACAAACAGATTGTCACCTCCGGGTCCGTAGAGGACTAATAAGAAAATACTGAACATAATACTTTGTCGCATAATTTTTAATATTGCATCTTCTTAAAATGTTTCAAATATCTAAATTTAACCCCAAAAATGCAAAAATACAGCGTATTCAAACCTAGTATAATATTGATTCTGACTTAGCGGAATTCTGATAGTTAATACTCCTATGGTGTTTCCAATACATTAAGTCAATACAAAGACATGCTAGAACATTCCTTCACATATCCTTCTGCAATTATTTTTTCTTGCATTTTAATGAATGTTTTACATATAACAAAGCAGCTGGTTCAAACACGTGATTGATTTCGCTACTTCTTTCATTTTCTTTATTCATTTGCCGAAAAATTTTAATGAAATGAAGCTTCTGAATTATTTATGCTGTTATTTCAAAGAATAAAGTATGAATTGTATGATACAGAATTAATTTCAATATTCAGTTACTAATTATTATACCCATTTAATTGTATTAAGGCTGTTTTCCTCAAAAGAAGTATGCATGTCGAAACTATCACATATGGAGATAACAAACAGTATTCAAGATCAAAAGTCTATAGAACAAAAGAAAATAGGAGCAGAGCAAATACGGACCTCCAAAACATTAGAGGTGGGATCAGGTGCCATGGAGGAATGAGCATTCCCTGCCGACCGGTCACACCCGCCGTGTGCTCCTTATCATGATCGGGGAAAAATTCGTCGTCAATGCAGTGTATAAATAATGGACAAACAATTGATGTGAAAAACTTCAGTCAACATTTGACTCAATGATAAACTGTAATTGCTGACAAGGTCATTGTATCGACCATAGAACATACGAAATGATGACTTTAAACGAGACTGCTGAAATTCTTGTTTCATAAACTTGTTTGTCAATAATTTATCTCGTTTTAGATATTGTTCATATTTATAAACTCCGTATGCAGGTGATTAAGGTATATTGGGGGAAGTTGACGTAAGAAAACTCAAGTTATCACATACATGTATATCATAGAGTTTGGTTGTTAGATTACCCCTTTTGAACCGTTTTGTTTTCTTTTTTATTTAAATATTATTTAAAGACTTTTTAAAAAAAATATTGTATCTTTATCATATAAATTGCTATAAAAAATTCCATATGTTATTTCAGTTCCTTCTGTGATCGCTGTATATACCTGGACTAAAGAACGTGCCTTGAGAACCGAATTATTTGTTACCAACTCGTACGAAAAAGAGTCGAGACCAACACCTTCTGTAGACATAGATTGTAACATCAAACTTCTGTCACTTAACGATCTGGTGGGTATAATGGTTTTCTTATTAGGGGCGGATCCATAATTTTTCATAACTTTTCGTTTAAGTGCTTGTTTAAAATTTGTTTTAAGCAATATTAATGTAAAACATAACTACATGTATACAGAGCGTTATATAAATCATATTTTACCATTTTCCCCTAGAACATCAGAGAACAAACCATGTCAACAGTGGCGTATTTCTCATTTGTAAGTATAACAAATGAAGGGTGAATCAATTGAGTTAATACTACAAAATTATCACACTTATGACTTTATTTTCCAGATCCTACTCATTAACATTTTTATAATAACTAATAAATTGGCAGCTACCGGGGTTTAGGCCCGGACTAGCATCCATTACCAGTATAACATTGTTAATACATAGCATTTATATAAACAAAGAAATAAAGACAATACAATTTTAAACTCAGAAAGTATGTATAATTATAGGGAACGTCACTGGTATTTTACAATATTAAACTGATATGCAATATATATAATTGTACATGTAATAAATAGTTTTATTTATTATATCAAGACTTTTGTATCTGTTTCTTTGTGATTTGCATATTAATAAAATGAACTACAAATCTATAGTAAGATGTAAATGATATTCATAAATCTCGGCAATGTTTTTTTTTTCAGACGTGGACAGATTCCCGCCTGAGTTGGGATACCAATCCGGTATATAGTAGCGACATCAACGCCATCTACAGTACAGAGAGCAAAGTCTTTACACCTCCAATAGTGGTGGAAAATTCGTAGGTTAATTTTCCTTTTTGAAGTAACATAAAATAGCAAAAAGATGGTATTTGAAATAATACATGTAAGGAGAAGCTCTTCTCTACATTTCATGCACAGACTGATACATGCACATATATTTTATGTTAATTGTAAAATACTTCTAAATATTAGAGATATAGTACTTGCTCATGACTTGCAGCGTAAGCGGCGTATCCTTATGTCACGGGCTTGAATCCCACTGTGGGGCGTGGAGACCGCTCCTTCCATATAGACCTAGGTCCCGTCTCGCAATTGGTGCTGGCAAGAAAACAACGATTACTTCTCTTATTAGTGGAGAATATCAAATCGAGGACTCTATATCACAGATGTTTTATGGCCTAAATACGACCGTTTTTAAAATTATTTTGTAATTAAACGATAATTTTAAGTTTCAAGAATGCAATAGTATTTCATTTTTTACGTGATAAAAACTCTTTAAGTGCCAAATAAAGATGCAAATTTGCAGCCCTCCACTGGCAAGTGGTGGCTTCTCAATAAGAGAGAACATTTTTTGAAGGTGACTAAAACAAACAAGCAAAATACTTCAAGTGAGCTGTTGTACATTACAAACAAACAAGGTAAGCTTTTGACAAATTAGGTGTGAAACCAAGGATATGTACCGTCTCGTTTTTCAATTCTATATTCAATGCAGTGACCTTGCCAGCAAATGGAATCTCTCATTAAATCGAATACTGATTGATGTTTACCATACTGATCATTAGGTCATTAATTACAAACTAAATTATCCACAGATTTTTTGCGTTTTCCCGATCATGATAAGGAGTACATGGAGGATGTGACCTGACGACATAGGCTGATTACCCCTCAACGGCACCTGATCCCAACTGAGATTAATAAAGAAGTCCGTGTTTACTCTACTCCTGATTTGTAGAGCTTCCATGGACTTAGAGCTTGATTAATTATTCTTATCTATACATATCAGGCAAATGCTTCTGTGTGGGGATCGGTCTTATGTCATCATGTAGTTTTTTATTATTATTTTTTAATAATATTGCTCCTTCAGCGCCTGTCTGGTTTCTTTAAACCAAGTAAGCATTGATTTACAACATTGATATTAACAAACAATATCTCACTAAATCGACAACATGCATACCATTTACATGTGGCTAGAAATTTAAACAAGTGTAAAAATAATATGGTATTAATATTTTCCTAGTAAAATATCCGAATAAAAAAAACAGATTTGTCAGAATATATGGTATCATGCATTTATAATAAGGTCACTAGGATATATCAAGTCAACATAATTTATAAAGTGCGGGTTCAGAGAAATACAATTGCCTTACAATCTTTTTGAATTTCATGTCCCGAGACACAAGGATTCATGCCAAAGGTTAAACATGTATACATTGTTTAAATATATCATTTGAATTGACAGCTATCAGACATAGTGGTTGCATGATAAACTAACATCGTAGTCACTATGTCCTTTGACGAAAAGGGACTAAATTGGAATTGTAATTACAAATAATTTCATTATTGATATCATCTTGTTTACACCTGAACATTCAGCAAGCAAGCTGTTTACCTGATAGATCAAAAAACTGAATTAAGTGATGTAATTAACACTATCAAAGTGTTTGCATATAAATGTATACCCTATACACGTGTTCAATGTTAAGAGATCTAATACTAGTACATGTAGATGCGTTTGAGCATCTTATGAAGCAGCTCTTTTATTTAAGCATTGAATTCATACTTTTGGATGCCGCCGGTCCTATAACACACCTGGCCGTGCCGCCAAATTGAATATCGCGCGTTATGATAAAAACTACGCATGCTAACTCTGATTCTCGCCTACATTTTGCACCCATTTAAATATTAATGGCAATTTGACCATAAGATTTGTGTTTACTACAAAGAACAGTTCAATGGATATTGATTCATTATTATGAAACCAGCGCTAAATAGTAAAGTATCCCTAATTCATGCTCTTGAATTAAGGGGGTAGACGATATTTTCCATTGAAATGGGACTTTCAAGCATCGCCATATTTTGATTTAGAAAACAATACTATCGTTCGCAGTTTTTTGTCGGCACGGCCAGGTGTGTAATAAGACCGACAACATCCAAAAATATGACTGAAGTATATGGAGATAACGAACAGTATTCAATATCAAAGTCCATAAATAATGCAAAATAGGAGCAAAGCAAACGGGACAGGGGTTGAGTCAAAATCCTCTTAATATCTTTTTTGAAAATTATTAAAAGAATTTCAACTATATTTTATATATAGCAACAAAGGAAAATGATAAATAATTGATTCCCGAATATTAATCCTCCTACACTGAAGAACACGCTGTTATGACAAAAATATATACATCATACGCAGCTGATAATAGTATACATGTATTTGTAAATAGTCAAGGGACACAGACAATAGAAAAGTACGTCATCACAACCAGTCATCAAAATCATTAGGATTTAAGTTTGCTACCAATATCTTCCCTAGTAAATCATCTAATCTTGTTAAAGATGTATCAAACTTGAGTTCAGCGGAAGATACTGATTTATTTTCACTACTTGACCTCTAGCAGGTCCTGTTTTTAGCTCTACTGGCCAGAGACCAGAAGAGCTTATGCAATAGTAATGCGTCCGGCGTTTTTGAAAATGCTACTCCTCCTACAGATTTTGTCTGATTTCAAAATAATTGAATAAAATCAAAATAAAATCACAAGTAGACTAAACTAAGATACATAATTCTGTGTATCGGTTTTTGATTTCGATGAACGATGTTGCCATGGTTACTAAAAATAGAAATTTCTGTGAAATACATTCAAAATGCTACTCCTCCTATAGTTTTGTCTGATTTTAATATCACTTGGCACACATGTATACTACATTAAGATACATAATTCTGTATATCGGTTTTTTTATTTCAATGAACGGTGTTGCCGTGGTTACCAAAAATAGAATTTTTTAAAAAAATACTCTCAAAATGCTACTCCAGTCACAGTTTTAGTCTGATTTTGATATTATGTGGCATGCAAGTAAACTACACTGAGATGCATAATTGTCTTTTCTTTTATTTTGATGAATGATGTTGCCTGATAACTTAAAATGAAAATACGGTAAAATTTTATTAAAAGCTACTCCTACAGTTGTAGTCTTATTGCAATATCTTCCCACAAAAAGATACTTCTTAAAGGATCATTATTCTATTTATTGCTGTTGTAAAGTTTCAAGTCCCAAGTTACTTTTCTCTTCCTTTGTTATAAGTCCAAACCAATTTATTGATTGATTGTTTGAATGTTGTTTACGTCCCTCTCGAGAATTTTCACTCATATGGAAACGCCACCAAATTACGAAGAATCAGGAGTAAAGCTCTATGGATGAGCTTAAATTTATGATCTCGAAATCAAGAGACTTAAGATACTCAAGCAAACATGATTTTTGAATTTGTTGTTTTTCTTTATGAAAGCATGTATATATAAGAAAAATCTCACTTCAGTAAATCCATTAAGGATGCCATGTCACAATGTATTTTATCTCACCGTGTAACCTTTTACAGGGTCAGCAATTTGGGAATAATCAGTGATTTGACTTTACCGATGAAGATTCAACAGGATGGAAAAATCACGTGGTCTCCTGGTGATGTCTATGAAACAGCATGTGACATCGACACTTCGTTTTACCCATTTGATGAGCAGACATGTGTAATAACCCTAACAACTCGGGGTTATTCCAAGTATCAACTAAGTCTTACATTGGACAAAGTTCCGATCGTGCTGACAGCTTACCAAGAAAACGGAGAGTGGACTTTGGTTTCCACCGACTCGACAGTAACTAAAACACTTCGTGACTTGGTCCCCTACTCTCATATTAACTTCAGTTTCACCTTTAAGCGTCGTAATTCTTTCCACCTTATGAACACTATTATTCCAATGTTTCTGTTGGTCGGCATGACGTGTTTTGTATTTAAGATCCCAGTGGACGCTGGGGAGAAGTTGGGTTACTCTCTGACTGTTTTGTTGGCGTTTGCTGTGTATTTAACGCTGGTGTCTGACAATATCCCCACAACTTCTACAAATATCTCATATCTTGGTAGGCATATTTCTTCTACGAATTTTGTTGAAGTTGAGATGATTTTGATATTCCCTTTTCATGTTATTTTTTTTATTTTCAGCCGCTTACTTGAATGTGATGCTCGCCCTTGGTGTCTCGGCTGTACTCTTTGCTATTTATGTCATTAATATCCATTTAAAACCAGAGGAAGAAGAAATTCCAAGGTATCTTCAATTTATTGCAAAAATTTCATCAACAGTCTGTTGTTTCAAAGAAATTGGTTGCTGCTGCAAAAAAGATAAAACAGAAGTCACTGTCATTAGTGATACAGAAAACGAAGATGTGAGAAAATTGGGAAAGGGATACGAGGAAAACGAAAAATCATTCACATGGCAAGAAACAGCAAAGATAATGGATATGTTGCTATTTCGCATTTATTTCTTTATGTTTATACTTATGACACTTGCTTTTGTAATTATTATGGCAATCGGATCTTTTATATGATGCATTATTTGTTTTAATATCGTCAAATAGTTAATTTGTGTACCAAATATTCTTCATTTACCAATAATTCGAATGCTGACTAACGAATTTCATACCAATTATTAGACCACTATTTACACATTGAAATGTCTACGGATTTCCCCGATTATGACAAGGAGTACACGGTGGGTGTGGTCGGTCGACATGGGACGCTTACTCCTCCATGGCATCTGATCCCACCTCTAAATTTTTAAGAGGTCCGTGATTGCTCTGCTCCTCATTTAATTACTGTTTGTTGTCTCCATATTTCATTCATATTCTAATAGTTCATTATTTTATGTTTGTCTGTTTGAAAATCTTTTTAAAAATTAGTTGACAGCTATTTTGTATAGTTATGAAAATTGTTTATTTGTTTATTTTATCAACTAGTAATAAATAAATTTCCAACAATTATGACTTTTTTTTTATCACTACTCAATTTTCACCAAGCAAAATCGGAAGCAAAGAAGTTTCCTTGAATGTTACATTGACGTAAATTTATAACCCCTTTTTTCACTTGTGAGAAATAAATAGTGTGCTTTAAGAATTGAATCAAATTTATTAAAATCAATACAATTTGAACGCTTCCGTAAGATTGCTTAAATATTTTCATGTGTTTAGGATATGTTGATAGCTGGTGTCCTTGCAAAAAGAACAGTTACACAAATCAAAACTGTAATCAAGATGTATCTATATATAAGTAGACAGATTTGGGTCTTGGATTTAAATATCTATTTATCATGAAATGAATGAAAAATGAAAATAATACAAATTCCCTTAATATTCTGGCTAGGACAACGATTAATTTGGCTAACACAAAAGATTTTTCATTGAAAATTTTATGTGTGAGGCGAAAATGCACTCATTTTTCACGTTCTCAAAATTACATAAATCTAAAGAAACATCATCAGGCAACATACAAAATGGTCTGTTTTTCAAATATGCAATACATTCAAATACAGTAAAGTAATTCACAACAGTGTTTTTTAAAAGTCAAGTTTGGTCAAGCAACTCCATTGTGAAGTAATCTTTAAAGGTAATTGGAAGTTTCCTGCAACAATTCCATTAAATCTCTCCTTACATATAAATGTTCTAGGTTTAATGATTTTGATGATTTACTTTAACTTCTATTTCTTAGTTAATCTGTTTCTACATTTAAAAATATTTCAATTGATGGCAATTCACTAATCAATTTGTTTGCTCAATTTAAAGATACACAGAGTGTACAGCAAGTATTGTTTTCTATTGAATGATGTTGTCCCGAGAATTTCTTATCCTGTATTATCTTAAGGCTCTCGCTATTGAGAGAGTTCACTGTGTTATTGACACCTCTTTAAGTGGTGGAAAATCCTGAAGTTAAACTAATATCATGCTCTAATAAATGGTCAAAGCTATCAAAGTATGAATCCTGAAAACTTGGTTTCATAAGATGCATTTACAATTGTAGGTTTTCGTTTGTTAATTTTCAAAACTTGGACATCATAATTGACTTTCTTCCAACCTTTTCGAATATATTAGCAATCTATGAAGAAGTGAAAAAAATAATACAAATCGTTAACTTGAGTTTCTTGTAAATCAGACTTGGCAAGTTTTCATTTATGAGACATCCGTGTACTGATTTTTTTATCATTTGATAGCAGACAAGTTCCATTGTCTTAACTTGAACTGCTACGAATCAGTACAGAACCAGTGGTGCGAACTTTAAATTGGCATAATTATATACTCCACACTTACTTTTACATTCCAAAATTGGCCATCGTATTATTTGATACTGATAGTTCAGCTATTCACACTGAATACAGAAGGAATTGTCTACGGATTTTCCTGTATTCACGGTTATTAGAAGAAGGACAAGGCGAATGTAACCGGGCGACAGGGGATGGCTACTCCTCCATGGCACCTGCTCCCCTATTTTAGAGGTCCTTGTTTTGCGCTGCTTCTGATTTGTATTTTTTCAAAGGACTAGTGAGCTTCATTCCGGTTCGTTATCACCATTTTCCATTGATTAAAACCATCATCCCAATCTTTTAAATGCAAGAAGCTCTTTATATACTTTCTGACGATGATATAGGAAAACTTGGATACCATATAATGGTCTTTTTAATATGGTATGTTGATTTATATGTTTATTTGTTTGTTTAACTACCCTTTGGGAATTTCCAGCATTGAGATGCCAATGCTGAAAGAGGGCTGCAAAGTTAGACCTTTACTAGGCCTTTGGGACCTTCAGTCACATCGGAATTTTTTACGTGCCAACACATAATGTGATATGGAACCTCCCTTTAAAGTGAAGTATTCCATATTGGATTTCGAATCCGCAACGTAGAGGTCCAGTTCTTATATTGCAAGTCTATAGCAAAACCTCTAACCTTCCCCCAAGTGGGTCAAGCTTATTATAGTATGTCTACCTAACATAGCTTTCAGACATGTGTGATTTCGTAGAATATCAATTTATCTTGCTTATGTGAGTATATTTACGCTTTATTTTTTCAAATTGTCATGAAATGATGAATTAATTAAAGAAATCAATCGAGGACATATGAATCCGTGGGCCAATGGGAACAATGGCTATAAAGAGAAAACAAATCTGCTTAATTTATAGAACTGGCATGCTATCCTTTTGACTTTGTCAATGAATGTTCAATTCAACCTGCTGTGAAGAGAAACTTCAGACGTTCGGTGCTGTAACATATATCAGAAGTATCGTAAATCACGTGTAAGTTCTCAAAATCCCAAACATTTAATGTTACAATATTTTCTTTGAAAGTCAGATTTGTGTGACCGGTCGGCAAGGGATGCTCGCTCCTCCATGGCACCTGATCCCACCTCTGATGTTTTGGAGGTCCGTGTTTGCTCTGCTTCTATTTTCTATTGTTTTATGGACTTTTGATCTTGAATACTGTTCGTTATCTCCATATGTTTTATCAAAGAAGAATGCCCTTTATACACGTTATGCAACCATTCCTTGCAATAAATTAAAAACTGAGACTTTTGACTAGTATGCTTAACTGCTTCTTCGGTTCTTCCAAGTGAAACTTGGAAATTTTCTTTTTGTGTAATTAGTTATCAGCAAATCACACAGTCACCAGGGAGTATGCTTCCTATTTGGGTGTTTTACTGACTAAAGACGATAAGGACCACCTAACAACTTAACTGTATGACAATCAAAATGATTTCAGTTTTTCAATCACCAGTAATAAATGAATGTAACAATTTTGTGTATATGTCACCCAACTTATTTGATTCTCAGTGATATGCTCTAAGACCGATCAAGTTTTAAACCGAATCAGGCTAGATAAAATGATGTACATACAGGGATTTCAAATATCTCTTTGAAAACAGCATTTTGTAAATAATTACCTTACTCGCAAATATAACATATCATTTCGATGTATATTGACTGACGTGTTTTATACTAATAATTCGACCTTTCAATAAGACTAGGAAATATTCATTATAAAGTGATTACGTGACATGTCGACAGAGGATTATTTGATCCCACCTCTGGGATTTCCAGGGGCCCCTGTTTTATCTCCTGTTTACAATGGTTGTTTTAATGTCGATTTTCTTTAGATCCATAGATCACTGTTTGCTATATTCATTTTTTTTTCTTTTTGCATTATCATTGACATTTTATAACAGAAAATGAGTTAGCACGGTAAACTCTGCTTTTCATCAATTTAGATAACATTTTTCTTTATGAATATTTCATCAGGAATATTTCCAGAATTTCTTTCCCATAAATGATATGCAATTAATTTTTTTAAATGCCTTTAAATTGCTTTTAAGCGGCGTATTGGCTGCTGTTGCTGTTTGTGTTATTTCTTAAATGACTACACAAACTACCAGTATATAAACTCTGTGCCTGCAAAAGCAGACAGCCCTTAGAATCTAGATTAAGGAGGAATGCCACACCAAAATTTCTTTCATACATCTTTAAGACATCCATATATTGTATTGACTTTAGCATTGGAAGGTCAACATTAGCTCTTAATTATTTTTATTAAAAAATTTCTTTCCGTTGAAGTAAAAGAGATAAAAGGTACCAAAGAGTCTGACACATGTACATCTATTTCATATTTGGATATTTTACTTGAAAAAGACGGTAATTTAATGGTAATATAACAACCAGGCTCTATGATAAACGTGATGACTTTAACGTTCCTATTGTCAACTTCCCTTACTTATGCAGCAATATACTTTCATCACCTGCATATGGAGTCCATGCATCTCAGTTGATTCACTACACAAGAGCATGCTCTACGTACATGTATGAACAATTTCTAAAAAGAGGTAAATTATTGACAAACAAGTTGATGAAACAAGAATATCAGCAGCCTCGTTTAAAGTCATCATTTCGTAAGTTCTATGGTTGATACAATGATCTTATCAGCAAATACAATTTATCATTGAGGAAAATGCTGACTGACGTTTTTCATACTAATTGTTTGTCCATTACTTATACACAGAATTGACGGTGGATTTTTTCCTTTTTTCCCGATCATGACAAGGAGCACACGGCGGGTGTGACCGGTCGGCAGGAGATGCAAGCAACTAGCTTACTACTCCATGGCACCTGATACCACCTCTGATATTTGGAGGTCCGTGTTTGCTCTGCTCCAATTTTGTATTGTTTTATGGACTTTTGATCTTGAATAATGTTCGTTATCTCCATATGTTTCATTTACAAATAAGATACAGATACAGGAAAAGTAAATTTTTCAAACTGTTATTAAATTCAAAGGTATGGATTCGAAGACTGGATTATGTTTAGTTAGTATGACTATAGGGATTGTGATTACATAGAAGATGATTTTCTTTGAAAGGTTGGACAATATCCTACTCTGAGCTTCCCTTTTGGTCAGAGGGTTGCACATAATGCTTTAAGGCTGTCATACCTTTTTGTTTACTGAAACGTTTATAATTTTTTATTTATTTATTTATTTTACTGGAATATTTTTTCATTCATATATAGACGTCACGATATGCTGGTGAAGGGTTTCAAATTCATACCTTCACTCGACAGTCATGGCCTTCGAGCAATGAGGCTAGGGTTTTCTAAAATGCTTCAATGGGACCACGGTTTTCGGGTATCATTCCGTAACTTTACTTCAAATTTCCTAGCGCTTGGAAATAATTAGTTGTTACCTGTTTTCATCAACTTGGGTCAGTTACGGTCATTTTTTAACTTTTTAACGTTAGATGTGTTTTATTTCTTCTTTAGATATTTTGACCTTCCGATACTCAGCACTACTTTTCAACATTCAATTTTATATTGAACCCCTTTCCAGAATCTTGATCAAGCCAAAGTTTAGAATATTATATGTTATATTGAAGCCCCTTCCCCAATCTTGATCAAGCCAAAATTTGATATATCGAATGTTATATTAAATCCTTTCCCTAATCTTGATCCAAAATTTGGAATATTAGAAAATCATTAGAAAAAATTCAAAAACATCTGTTTATCTTCACTCATTTTCATTAGGTTTAATTTTGTTTTTAGAAAATGCTAAATAACACCATTTTAGCTCAAACAAAACGTTGTAATGTTAATCCTAAATAAACAAAACTTATAGTTAATTCTCTTTCAAACATTTTCTAAATAATTTCCCCATGCCGAAATAACAGAGTCACGAAGTAAAATTGTTTAGAACAAAATCAATAAACGTGAGATGATGTTACAACATTTCAATGCAATATCTAATCAAAACAGGTAACCTTTAGGGGAAAACAAAATTACAGGCTGAAATATTCAGCAAGGGAGCTCGCGAGTTTAAAGTGCATTAAAGAATCATATTTCTGTCTTTGTGAATAGAGCCATTTGTAAATTGTATTGTTATAAAAAAAAACTTCAAATATTTTGACCCTGTAAAAAGATAATGATCTCGGTGCTTACAATCGTCACATGAGGTTTTAATATTTGCATTTCTCTTACTATTGTTATCTTGAGAATAAAACATTGCTCTAAATGGGCTTTTATTGAAACCTATCGTTTTACTAAGATGGAATATGTTTAATAGTTTTATATCTTTCCCATGCATAGCAATACACTATGCTACAATAAAGGGGCGAAGTTGATCCTTGCGTCGCGTGTTCGAATTCCGTTGCGGGATGTGGCGATCGCTTCTTGGGATGAGACTGTTTACTTAGTCACCAGAGGTCCCGTGTCACAGAATAGATGTTATAAAGAACCCACATTGCTTAAGTGTTCAGTATAAGTACAAAACTGTATCAACTTACGTTTACGCATGGTTTTTAACAACACATGGCTAGGACTTTCCAGATCGTTAATCTAAATTCATTTAGCTTGTTTCTTTCCAGTTAAATTTAATCCGTAATTTGAATTCATTTTATTCTGCATAATATTGAAGTAAAAGTCTACTCAAGTTCCTGAAGTTAAAAATTTCCAAATGGAAACTAAAATGGTAAATTTGGGATTTTATGTATGGAAGGATATGGAGATAACGAACAGTATTCAATCTCAAAGTCCATAAAACAATACAAAATAAGAGCAGAACAAAACACGGACCCCCGAAACATCAGAGGTTGGATCAGGTGCCATGGAGGAGTGAGCATCCCCTGCTGACCGGTCACACCCGCCGTGTGCTCCTTGTCATGATCAGGAAATAACGGAAAAAATCCGTCGTCAATTCATTGTATAAATAATGGACTAACAATTGGTATGAAAAACGTCAGTCAGCATTTGACTCAATGATAAATTGTATTTGCTGACAAGGTCATTATATCGACCATAGAACTTACGAAAGGATGACTTTAAACGAGACTGCTGATATTCTTGTTTCATCAACTTGCTTGTCAAAAATTTACCTCGTTTCAGAAATTGTTCATAGTAGAGCATGCTCCTGCGTATCGAATCAACTGATATATATATATATATATATATATATATATATATATATATATATATATATATATATATATATATATATATATATATATATATTTATATCAGTTGATTCGATACGCAAGAGCTCCGTATACAGGTGAAGAAGGTATATTGCTGCATAAGTAAGGGAAGTTGACGATAGAAAAGTTAAAGTCATCACGTTTATCATATAGTTTGCTTGTTAGATTACCATTAGCGTCTTTTTCAAGTAAAATATCAGAAACAGAAATGTCAGACTCTGTGGTATCTTTTACTCCGCTGTCAACTACATGTGCACGTTTCAAAGTTTGGGTTAGTCAAGGTGTCATACCGGTATGTTGATTGCAGTTTCATAACAGTGTATTTCCCATTTCTTCCGTAAAATTAATATCACTTTATAAGCATCTCTTGATTCGCAAACATTAAACCTTCCCCCTTTCCTTAAACATCTAATAATCTATTTAGTACATGTATAATTTTATACATAATGATTTTGCATGACATTTTCAAATCCTCTTGCAAATACCCGATATAGTGTTAAGCTTGTATTATCTTTACTAAGAAAAATATGTTTATCGGAAATCTTTGTTGTTCAGAATACGAAACAATACGAAATCAATTTTGTTGATGGAAATTCAAGGAATACATTTCTGCTTGTCAATATAACCATTAAGCTGCTGAACAGATTCAACAAAACATTTATCTGTTGCATCCGGATACGTGTGTTTCCATTTTAATATTCGTTCTAGAAATAGTACTTAAATATTTTGGACTTTTACAAAGGCTTTTTTCTATTTTCAGGATTCCTGATCTAAGGAACCAAACTTTTAAAAAATGAGAACCTTAATATTAATTTTAATCGCAAAACTACGTGAGTATACTTAATTGTTGAATTTCATGTGGTAAAAATCATTTTCAAATTTATTTTCAATATAAAAAAAAAAGAATTGGCAGAATTTTTAATATTTTATGTTTGTTTCATATTTTCTGGTAACCTAAAATTTAGGGGAAAAAAATACTCATAAGTTTTTTCACACACTATTAAACAATTGTTAAATGTCTATTTCTAGCTTTGTAAAATGATTTGCCTTTTTTAGCTGCTTTAGCTCATTACAATTTACATTATTCTATCCTTTCAATTTGTTTCGTCTACACTGGCTTCAATTTCAACTTAATTATTTTTAATTCGTTTGAAATGGTGTTTTTATATGTCTTCACACATGATTGGCAATATAATTAAATTTAAAAACCATTTAGAACAAGATTTATTCTTTGGCTGCATTTCATTTCCGGAATTTTGGGTAATTATCAACTTTTCATTTCCGACATTATTTTAGTTTTCATTTCCGACATTTATTTGTTTTCATTTCCGACATTTTTCAAATACATAGTACATGTAGTACCTATAGTAATAGATTTGATAACTTTACTTATGAAAAATTGAAAGGAATAAAATTCTAAATAAATCAGTGAAATCCAATTTTGTAAATCTATCAGTGACTTGGACATAAGTATGGTGCTGTCACTGGCATTAAATGTGGTGAAAAAATTTTATGCTCATTGAACTCTTTTACCTAGACTTTGTGCTACATGTATGCATTTATACATAGATGGTTTAATTTTTTTTTTCTTATATTAATATTTTTATAAAAATACTTTTAAAATTCCATTTTCTTTTACTTCGAAAACATTGAATTGCTGCACAGGTGAATTCCGGAAATGAAAAAAAAATTATGTCGGAAATGAAAACAAAAAATGTCGGAAATGAAATTAAAAAAAATGTCGGAAATGCTATGCATATTTCCGGAAATGAAATGCAGCGTATTCTTTTTGGTCATAGTTTTTAAAATAAATTATAAACCTTGTCAGTGTTTTAAAAAATAGTTTCAGAATTTATAAACTTGATGATTTGAAGATAGTATATTAGCCAGTGTAATCTCACAGTAATCAGAAAATGTTGGAAAAGGCACATGATTTAGAGAATACAATCTTTAATCTTAATGTTTATACATACATTTATTAATTAGTTTCATAGTGTATATTGTGTACCCATGAAATATCGCTTATTAATAACAGAGTAGATGGATGTTACTAATTAAATTAAAAGATAAGTATCATTAAGAGTAAGACGCTTGTCATTCACGTCAAAATTGAGTAGTATCTCAAACGGCCTACCTTGTTTTCTTGACGCAATGTTTGTTTATCAATCTAAAAGTAGCGACGGCGTCACGTGATGGATTTATTTTAAAATAGCCATTTCTCTCCTAGCATGATTGTAAAAAATTATAATTTGATAACTTTTTAACGCGTTTAATTTTAATGGTGTAATTTATAATATTTTCGTAACTTTTCTTGGTAAAAAATATATATATATATATATATATATATATATATATATATATATATATATATATATATATATATATATATAAATTTTCAATCGTATTTAATCTGGCGCAAGTTATAGTGTGTATACTTTTAAAAAAGAAAGTACGTTATGCACCAAAATCCGCCTAGTCCCAAAATCTGGTGATAATATTTATATAGTGTGTCTTGGATACCCCTGTTATAATCAATTTATTTTTTAAAAATATCTCGAACAGTTTTCCCTACAAAACTCACTAAATATGCAATGTTTTCTTAAGAAAAATAACACTGACGACGTCATGACGTCATGGCGTTATCAAATTCCAACGTAATGATTTCGTTACAGCGTAACAATAAAAAAAAGAAACTCGTAAATTTACTTACTTGTCATTGGTCATTTGCAAAATCACTTTGTAAAAAAATTTTGATTGTACACATAAGTACTCTTGAAGTTGATATTAAACAAATGTTTGAGTTTCTGATTGACAATATTTATGTGGTTTTGGGAGACTAGGTCTTCCAAAATCCTTTACTAATTGCGCCCTGTTATTAGCAGACCTATTTTTATATTCACTTGAAGAAGAATTTGTTCAAAAGCTTTTACGTGAAAAGAAGAAAACACTTGTTGTGGCCTTAAGACTTTTAAAATTAATCGAGATTAGGATATATCGACAAGGTATTGTCAATTAACAAATATCATTTCCATTCTTTTGTCGACACCATATATCCAATGAGATTGAAATAAAATATACCAAAGAGCCAAACACATCCGTTTCATATTTGGATCTTTTACTAGAAAAAGACGTTAATGGTTATCTAACAACAAAGCTTTTAAATAAACGTGATGACTTTAACTATTCAATCGTCAACTTCCCTTAGTTATGCAGCAATATAATATACCTTTGTCTCCTGTATATGGAGTTTATTTCTGTCAGTTGATTCGAAATGGAAGAGCATGTTCTATGTATGAACAATTTCTAAAACGAGTTTTGACACACAATTTCATGAAGCAAGAATATCCGCAGTGTCTTTAAAAGTCATCATTTCGTAAGTTCTATGGTCGATACAATGACCAAATGTCAGCGAATACAATTTATCATTATGTCAAAGGCTGACCGACTTCTTTCATACTGATTGTTAGGACATTATTTGCACACTAAATTGTTCACGGATTTTTTTCCCATCATTTCCCGATCATATCAAGGAGTGCACAGTGGGTGTTAACGGTGGCCAGGGGATGCTTACTCCAGCATGGCACCTGATCCCTCCTCTGATGTTTTGGAGGCCTGTGTTTGCTCTGCTATTTTGTAATATTATACTTTCATGTAAATTAGTTGAAACTGATTGGTGGAGAAACATTTGTTAAAAAACACTATTACCCGCTGAATTATGAAGCCACGCCCTCCAGCGTAGCAATAGTCAACATTGCTTGACGACGGGTGATATTCAAAAAAATAGCGACTGCGCAGAATTTATGCGCGCACTGTTCACTGTTATATGTAATTATATAAAAACATTCAGTATAATATGATAAATATTGCATGTATTTGAGTGTAACATTGAAAATTTTAACCCCTGGAAAACCATTGTTAACCTCGGCTGCGCCTCGGTTGACAATAGTTTTCTTGGGGTGAAAATTTTCAATGTTACACACTACATGCTATATTTATATAATGTTTAATGGACTTTTGAGCTTGAATACTGTTCGATATCTCCACATATTTCAGGCAGTACTTCCCTGACCAAAAAATTGTTTGAAATATGTCATGAAATATAAATAAGTAAACGACGTATATGAGTGGTTTTTTTTCTAAAAATTAAATGTTTGAATACATGTGAGAAATTTGAATTTAAAAATTAGTCATTGTTTTTTGATTTGCATTAAACTGCACAAAACCAACAAATAATGTGAAATAATGTCAATTGCCATAAAAAAGAACATCCTAATTTTCTGTGAATCATCATTTTCTTTCCAATAATGGAGACTGGGATTTCGTTAAAAATGTAGTAGGTATTCAGTAATCGGAGAAAGTTTTAGTCCAATCCCCTTGTATGTATTAATTACAACAAAATATGTTCAAATCGATCGGAGTGTCCTTTCTGACATATTTTATTTTATCAAATATACTCTGACACAGGACTTCATGTAAAGTACAAAGGCAGAACATACTTTTAGATATCTTACTTTTATGCATTTGAATAGATGATTATCATACATCAAGGCAATGGGGGAAAAACAAATGATTGATTTTTTTTCAAATTTACTTTTAGCTCTATTTTTCTTAGCCTATAAATTTTCATTTAAAAGAGATATTGACTTTTTAATGGTGCTATTTCAAAGGACTTAGATATAATGGGCATAATTGCGTGGTACAAAAAATCATTTCAATTTTCCGCCAATAAAATTTGCGTCTCGATCATTGATAGTAAAACATGCAAATGCACGGCACGTGTGTCTAAATCCAGTGTGGTCAAGAAAAAAAATTGCTGCGGTCAAGCACCCTTTATAAGCAGTTAACACTTGTCTTTTTAATCAATAAAAGGATTAGGCTATACTTAAGATATATAAAATTATAATAGACATCTAACTAATTCAAATGTGCTTAAAATACAAACACACTCAATGGGTGGTTAGACCGGGTAAATACGTCAACTCATTCGGTGAAATCCGTTATGTAGCAATGTTCTATAATCATCATTATTTTAAGGCAAGAAATCACGTGGATAAGAACAACACGTTCATTGCTCTTCTTTGACCTCCCCAATATGCCAAAGGATAATCCAAGCTTACATAACTATGATTTTCAAGACTAAATTCTCAATTAATCCTACATATCCGTTTTAGAAAGGCATGAATTGCAAAGATTTTGGTTTATCAGCCAAGTATTCCACTCTTTGCAAAAGTGAAAAGATGCCATTATTCTGGATTTTTATTATTTTGCCTTTTGGTAAGAACATAAAAAGCATTGTTCTCATTTAATTCCATCAATGTTTTGTTTACTAAGAAAACACGTTGATAATCAGAAATAACTTAGTTTGATCATAATTTCATATGATACAGTTAGTAATTTTTAGGTTTACTTTATAGTGAGCCATGGTGTGACCCCCGTGGTGTCACTTCTCACCCTCCCCTCAGTAAATAACCTGTACACAGCTGACAGAGAAGACTCGCTGAGGTCTGAGCTTTTTAAATCCTACCAGAAGAATTCCAGGCCCGTCCCACTGGTCGACGTACGATGTAACATGAAGCTTCTATCTATCAAGGACCTGGTTTGTACCTAGCTACAGAAAAAAATGTAGCTTTAGTTTTATTGTGGGGTTCAAGTTAAATTAATTAATAATTAAAGCAGCTTTTAAAATGTCATGCAAGATATTTTTGTCTCCACAGGACACCAGAGAGCAAACAATGTCCTCTGTGGCCTATTTTACTTTTGTAAGTATAAGCACTGCTTCTGGTAGCAATGAAATATAGTAAAAAAAGTTAACAATTACTGAGTGGACAACTTTATTAACGTGCAATCGACCCCCTGTTTGTGACTTTTGCTTTTTTCCAGATTTGGAATGATACGCGTTTAGATTGGAGTGGCAATTCAATGTATTCTGATATTGAGTCTATATACAGCACTGAGACTGCAGTTTTCACGCCTCCAATAGTTGTTGAAAATTCGTAAGTTATTACGTTTGGTTTATTGAAAAGTTTTAATATTTTTCTGACTAAATGGACAAAAATTTGAAAATATATGTCAGTCCTTTTCTCACAACATCAAGGATTTCAATTTTTTGCAAATTATATCTACTAGTAGGCCTAACTCAAGAAACAAGAAAAATCCATTATAGGTCTTTTTTATACATGTACTAAAGATACTTTTGCATGCTGATCCTTTTTCAGAGTCATGAATTTAGGAGTGATAAGTGATACAACATTACCCATAAAGATAGTTCAAACTGGGGAGACCACGTGGTCACCAGGTGACATCTACGTCACGTCATGTGACATTGATACCACTTATTATCCGTTTGACGAACAGACATGTGTCATAACTATAACAACACGAGGCTACACAGCCAACCAGATAACTCTTTCATTTGATCAAGTTCCAATTATTCGCTCGGCATATCAAGACAATGGCGAATGGGCTTTTGTTAAAAGTTCTACGAGTACATCTCTTTCTTACAGAGGCAATGAAGTCTATTCTCAACTAAACTTCAATTTTACTCTGAAACGTCGAACAACATTTCATTTATTGAACACTATCCTTCCTATGTTTTTACTTGCCTCCATGGTATGCTTCGTGTTCAAATTGCCGGTAGATTCAGGAGATAAACTCGGATACAGCTTGACGGTTTTGTTGGCGATTGCTGTATACCTCACTTTGGTAGCTGATAATATTCCAACAACATCTACCTACACATCGTATCTATGTAAGTTCATAAGCTCAAGTTTTCCTTCAAACACAAACAGTATTTCCAAGCGATATTGTAATGTTAACATTGATATGTCAAAATTTGGTGTCTTGTCTTTTCAGCTGTGTACTTGAATGTGATGTTGGGTATTGCGGTAGCTTCGGCCCTGCTGACAATTTTCGTCATAAACATCCACTTCACACCTGAGGAGGAAGAGATCTCGGAGTTTGTTCAGAGCCTTGCTAAATTCGGCTCACAACTGGTTTGCTGGAAACACCCGTGTTGTCGCACAACCGACAAATCTACAGTGGATGTCCTTCCCTATACGGACAAGATTGATTTAGAGAGCGTTGCTGCAAACAACAATTACGAGTTTACATGGCCAGAGATTGCGAAGATACTGGATGCTTTCTTTTTCCGACTGTATATCGTGTTAATGGTTATAATGACTACTGCATTTGCTGTAGTAATGGCGATGCCTAGTTGGAATTAGCGTTTTAATCCACTTGCTACGTCTGGAGAAAAATTGGTGGAGTGTATTAATTATGATTAACAGATACATAAAAACAGAGACATTAAAAATGAATTACTGGTTCGCCGACAAAAAAAACATTAAACCAGAAGTCTCTGACAAAACTGAAGCTCTTCTTTTTGTTAAATAAATAAAACCAGAACTCTCTTACCAGACTGTATCTCTATTGGTTTTTATATAATTAACAAAGGTAAAACTTAGATTTGAATCTATGGCAACAGCAAATTAAAGAAATGATTCTTATAAAAAATAACTTTCTGGGTAAATTTTAATTGCACTTTGACAAAAAATGTATGAAAACTAGATGTAGTATTTTAAAAGTTTTTTCACAAATTAACAATTTCTATTTTTAGAAACCGTGACATCATTCAAGGAAATCAAAAACTGATAAATAAATTTATGTATCTTAATGCAGTCTTCTAGTTTGCAAAGTTTTATTGAATCCAGACTAAACTGTAGCCACAGTAGGGAGAGTAGCGCTTTGAAAGTATTTCATAGCAATTCTATATCAAGTAACCAGCATCGTTCAAGGAATGAAATATATAACGAACAGGGCTTAAGCTAAAAAGTCTAATAAACAATACAAAATAATACAGAGCAAACACAGTCCTCCAACATTAGAGGTTGGATCAGGTGCCATGGAGGAGTGAGCATCCCGCACCGACCGGCCACATCCGCCGTGTGCTCCTTGTCATGATCGGAAAATAATGGGAAAATCCGCCGACAATTCGGTGTATAAATAATGGCATAACAATAAAAACAATAAAAAAAGTCAGTCAGTATTTGACTTAATGATAAATTGTATTTGCGGAACAAGGGCATTATATCGACCATAGAACGTTCGAAATGATGACTTTGAACGAGACTGCTGATAGTCTTGTTTCATCAACTTGATTGTCAATAATTAAGCTCGATTGATAACTTGTTCATACGTAGAGCATGCTCTTGTGTATCGAATCAACTGAGAGATATAAACCTCGTATGCATTTGATAAAGGTTTATTGCTGCATAAGTAAGGGAAGAACTTGACGATGGAAAAGTTAGTCATCACGTTCATCATAAAGCTTGGTTGTTAGATTTTCATTAACGTCTTTTTCAAATAAAATATCCAATACATATATGAAACAAATGTGTCAGGCTCTAAGTACCAGACACCGATATAAAGAAATGATGTATCTTAGTGTAATCTTTTTTGCCAAGCTATATTGAAATCAATCTAAAACTGTAGAAGGAGTACCGTTTTGAAAGTATTTCACAGAAATTTCTGTATTGAGATGGAAGAGTTGCCAAATTTTGCAAAAATTTCATTTTTTTTTTTTTTTGGTAACAACAGCAATACTGTTCAAATAAATGAGAAATTTGTATTTCAGTGTAGTCTACTTGTATATTTTTAGTTTTATTGAATTTGGACTAATACTGTAGGAACAGCAGTATTTTGAATTTGTTTTAGATATACATGTAGTCACAGGTAGTACTAGTACTTATGGACAAATCCAACCTCCTCGATATTTACTCCTGGGTTTGTTGGGCATTTTATTTTTCACAAATTATATTGATTATAGATTTAGATTTCGTGACCAAACACGTACCGCTGCGATGAGAATGTTGAGTCTTAAGATTTTTTAAGTTACTAATTTTACAATTTGTTGTTTACCTTTTCCCCCAAAAAAATATTGCAGCTGTGGTTTTACTTTATGTTGACTCCGTAACGAGAGGGAAACCAACTCTGAAAAAGAAAGAGGGGGAAATTTGGTTCTGATGCGAGATTTTTTCCGGGGGGGGGGGAATCCTATTCAAGAGTACTATTTCCTGGGGGGGCTAGCTATGGGGAAAATCCTACTCTACAACCGGTATCCATGCCCCGCAGTGGAATTCAAAACCCACAACGTAAGGATCAACTTTACTCCGCGACTCGAAAGCACTAAGCCGTTGACCATTCTTGTTGTAAAATTTTAAGAGTACCAAAATTGCGATCTTAAAATAACCACCAATATAGGATAAACATATGGACTGTTACTTTTTTTCTCTTAATATTATATATATATTGAAATATTTTAACAATAAATTCCAATGATTTATATTAATTTTTTTCCAAATATTACGATTTATTCAACACTTATCCTTAAAATGCAAAATTCAGATGCCAGAGCAGGTCAAAATTTAGTAAGTTACAAACAATACACTAAATAATGTCTGTAGTATTCTCTGTAAAATGGAGCAAAAACGAAAAACAGCCTAAAAATTCAAATTAAGAATTGTCACATCGATTCGTATTCCAAATTGTGGCTGATATTTTGCTTCGTTGAAAAGAAATCAACTTTAGAAAATAGGTAGTCCATATTGAAAACGACAAAAACGATGACGTTTTAGAACGTCACCCAGCAGCAGATAACGATGCAATTTTGTGTTTTACTCCAGAAAAATCCTAAATAAACTTTTAAGGTAGGATTCTTCTCTGATTTCTGAGTAGATGAAATATTCAATGTATATTTGCTTATATGTCTTATATATTTAGGTGAAAGAGATTTAAAACCACAAATTAACCACCAGATCAATCTAATTAAAATTAGATGTGCCGAATCCGCTATCGTTTGAGAAGCGATAGCGGATTCGGAACATCTAATTTTAATTAGATTGCCACCAGATTTAACTTATTCTTTTAGATACGGTATCTTAAGCTGTCAACTATCATTTGGCAAAGAAAAAGTTCATACATTTTAGTTTTAAAATTTGATTTTGTATATCTTTATATGGAGCTCTTCTTTTAAAGGAGATCGAAATAGTCTGAAAATGGCTGCCACCCACAGCCTCTTTAAATAGAAATGGTAGTGTTCGAAAACTAGCAGGGACTATATTTTTGGCGGAATGGTGGCGTATGAAAATATCTTCTTTTCTGCCTCTCATAATTATTATACAACGAATTTATAATAGTTATAATTTTTACACAATCAAAGACTTGAAAAATTTTTCAAATGTTATCTAAATTAATAATAAGGAACTAAAGTTTTAAAATATTTCAGATAAATATGATTTTCCAAACAAACTACAACTATGTTAGCTTTTAAAAGCTTCCAATTTAAGTACAGATATGAGCCAAAAATCTGTAGAAAGTGTTTTTACTCTCTTATTAAACGGTCAAAACTTTTTGTTTTTGTATCATTTTGTATCTCTACATGACTTCTTTACCATATGTGAAAATAAGAAAAAATTAAATATAGGGCGCATTATATAAAAATAACTTGAATATCTAAAAAATTTAAGAAAAAATAGAGAAAATTCGCCAAATCCATTTTTGTTAAACTATTTGTGTCAATTTGGTAATATCATTTTATAGACCCTATATGGTAATATATTTTTTATGCAAAAAGAAAAACATTTAATCTTTTGAAATAGAAGACCCTGTCGCATGATTGGATGCAGTTATTTTTATTCTTAATGTCTAGGGAAAACGTAATGGCCTTGACCTGACCTTGACTCTTACATAAAACGGTCAAAACTAATCTAAGTGATACCATCAGTAAGTAATATTGTCTCCTTGATTCTGTGAAAATTTCAATAATTTTTAAATACAAGAAATACAATTTTATGTGAGAAGATTGATTGATTGATTGTATATTGTTTAACGTCCCTCTCGAGAATTTTTCACTCATATTGAGACGTCACCGTATGCCGGTGAAGGGCTTCAAATTTTGACCTTTACTCGGCACTCAGGGCCATTGAGCAGTGAGGGATCTTTATCGTGCCAACGCCTGCCGCTGACACGGGGCCTCGGTTTTTAAGGTCTGTGTTCAAATACACCGTGTATATCCCAACATGCGGAGTGTATACTATGTTGTGCGCGGGGTGTATGCTTCCGAAGCGAGAGAAAGGGGGTCAATGTACGTTCTTTGTCCATTTTCTCAACTTACGGATATTTTTCGCCAGTAAGCATATGCCTACGGAAGGAAGCATTGTCTAAGGAGTATATGGATACTTGTGAATCCACTGGACACCTTCTAGTTTTATCAAACACCTCAACACAATTCCGAGGATCGGAGCAAGATTGACGCTACACTGTGTTTATGATCAAATATCAGAACAAAGCTTTGCTTTATCGTCACTTTTATATTATTGTTAAATATATGTTTACAAAATAAAAGTTTGTACAAATTGTCTGTAAATAAAACAGTTCGTATATAAAGAAATTGACGAAAAATCAATGTTGTGTCCGGGGTGTATGCAACATGTTGTACGCGGGGTGTATACCCCATATTTTTCTTAGGATTGTTTAATGCAAAGTATCAATGGAAATATTATATTCACACAGGTTTAAAAGCGACAGATAGTGTTGATAAAAGACCTTAATACTAATGCCGAACCAAAGAGTAATTTCCATAAACTTTCTGAAATAAGAAAAATCAACTAAATTTAAAAAAGAATAAAAAACAAACATATTCCAACATAAAAGGCGCTCGATTTGCAAGGAGCGATTGTTATCTGACTAAATGCTATACATTGTAGATGGTGCAATGATCAAAATCTACGTAATCATAAAATCTCTCCAGAGGGTCCCTCGCCCCCCTCCCCAATGCCTGCATTGAGGACACTTTGCCCTTTTTTGCTCATTTTAATCTACCGGTAAATATTTCGCCTGTTAATAAAAAATAGAAACTCTACATGAATGGTGTATTAGGAATAAATCGTTTTGTTTGTTTCTGCAACATTTATGTTATCAATACATGTATTCTTAAGCATTTATGAGAGTGATGTAGAATCTTTTTTGAAGGGGGGTATACCTGAAAAAAAAAATTCTTGACATAAGTTGACTAGCTATAAAAAAAAAAAGGGGGTATCGAAACTCAAACTCCTATTTCAGATAGGGTTGTAGGTCCCATCTTTTTTCAATACCAATATCTCATTTTTTACTTAAACATACTACATACCATTTTTGACTATGCTGCAAAAAAAAAGGAGCCGCAACCTGACTTTCGATGAACATTTTCTGTAGTGAAAAGTTGTGACTGGAACAAAGAGGGGGGGGGTGATACTACGTGTCTGTATGATACATATATACTGTATTAATTTTACTTTCAATTTTCGCAATATGTGGACTCATTTTTCCTTATCTGAAAAGATTTCATATTTTACAAATCACAATAAACATGTAAAGCCGGCTATGAAAATGCACATTTGTAATAAGGGACGACAATTTTCCGAGAGCATGCACAATTGAAAAAAAAACATTTTTGGTACAATTACAATTTTACGTTGACGTGTAATTAATATCAATTATGTTCACCCACCTCTAATTTATTATCGTATATACACGTAGTAAAGTTAACCCCCCCCCCCAAATGGGCTAGGACACAAACACACCCTCCGCGGGCCCATGCCTATAGAAAGTATGTACTCAGTAAAACACAATGCCTCAATATAAAACAAATAGTTTACTGCCAAATATGGGCTCCTGGGGGCAAAGTACACAACATATAAATACTACATGAATGAGACCATTTTTTCTGGTGTTTATGACATTACAAAAAGCTAATATTTTCAAACTCATTTAAAAAGTATTGAAAAAAAGTTATGAGGAAATGTTAAATGTTCAAAATGATGCACGTGTGAAGCAATTATTAAGAAAGGATCTGAATAAGGTGCCTTTAAATCGAAAGAAGGGATGAATTGTTGGTCATCGCATTAAACAGTTAAACAAAGTACCCTGTACATTTACTTCCATGTGCATGCAAAGCAAAAAGTACGATGAACGTGTATCAATTTTATTTCCAGTAAATCGAATTCATGAACCTGAAGTTGTGCTTTTACAAAACTGGTGAATAATTTAAAAAATAAATAGAACTTTTACAAAAGTCAATTGTTAACAATTTTTTTAATGACATTTCAGACGATGATACTACAGAGTAAAGAGAGGGGTATACACCACGCGTACAACATGTTGCATACACCCCGGACACAACATTGATTTTTCGTCAATTTCTTTATATACGAACTGTTTTATTTACAGACAATTTGTAAAAACGTTTATATTGTAAGCATGTTTTTAACAATGATATAAAAGTGACGATAAAGCAAAACTTTGTTCTGATATTTGAACAAAAACACAGTGTAGCGTCAATCTTGCTCCGATCCTCGGAATTGTGTTGAGGTGTTTGATAAGACTAGAAATTGTCCAGTGGATTCACAGGTATCCATATACTCCTTAGACAATGCTTCCTTCCGTAGGCATATGCTTACTGGCGAAAAATATCCATAAGTTGAGAAAATGGACAAAGAACGTACATTGACCCCATTTCTCTCGCTTCGGAACTATACACCCCGCGCACAATATATAGTATACACCCCGCATGTTGGGATATACACGGTGAAATAGCACAGGCAGTATTTGAGTGACTGAGTCTTTGTGTCGGATGAGGACAATCTGTGAAGAAACGGTTTAACTGTAAAAATCTTAACAAAAACTTTAAAAAAGTTGGAACGTCAAGGAAAGACATATGCGCTTCAGAGTTGCTTATATGGTGAAAGCAGAGTTATAAAGTAATAAAAGTAATTAAAACCTAAACAAAGACAATTATTAGTATACATCGAGAACAATTGTTAAAAAATAAATGGCATTTAGTATTAGGAAAAGGTTTTTAATGAGTGGGTATTGGATAACACTTTGTGATATATATAGGTATAGTATTTTTTTAGAAATGCTTGACGCTTTGTTTTGAATTTACATTGCCGTTAAGGTAGGATTCTTCTCTGGTTTCTGAGTAGATGAAATATTCAATGTATATTTGCTTATATGTCTTATGTGTTTAGGTGAAAGAGATTTAAAAGACCATATTTTTCTTTCCTCGTCACAATTGTACAACTTTAAATAGAAACGGTAAATTGTGTTCGAAAACTAGCAGGGACTATATTTTTGGCGGAATGGTGGCGTATGAAAATATCTTCTTTTCTGCCTCTCAAAATTATTATAGAACAACGAATTTAGTTATAATTTTTACACAATCAAAGACTAGAAGAATTTTTCAAATGTTAGCTAAATTAATAATAAGGAACTAAAGTTTTAAAATATATCAAATAAATATGAATTTCCAAACAAACTACAATTATGTAAGCTTTTAATAGCTTCCAATCTAAATACAAACGGTCAAAACTTTTTGTTTTTGTATCATTTTGTATCTCTATATGACCTCTTTGCCATATGTGAAAATAAGAAAAATTTAAATATAGGGTCCATATCAAAATAACTTAAATATCCTAAAAAAATTAAAAAAAACAGAGGAAATTCGGATTAGCAAAAATCTATTTTTGTTAAACTATTTGTGTCAATTTGGTAATATCATTTTATAGACCCTATATGGTAATATCTTTTTATGCAAAAAGAAAAACATTTAATCATTTGAAATAGAAGACCCTATCTCATGATTGGATGCAGTTATTTTTATTCTTAATGACCAGGTAAAAGGTAATGACCTTGACTCTAATATAAAATGGTCAAAACTAATCTTACTGATACCATCACTTAGTAATATTTTCTTCTTGATTCTGTGAAAATTTCATTAATTTTTAAATCGAGAAATACAGTTTTGTGTGAAAATAATCCTACCTTAAGTCTGTTCTGCGGGTACAAAACATGTTGAATCTAAAATGAAATTAATTGATTTCTGTTAAATTGAATGGAATGAAATTTCACACATGAACAAAACAAATATTTTTACATATTATATGTGTTTATTTTAAATTTCTAGTGAGTAATATAACGAAGATTGATATCATCCACGAACTTTTTGAACAACCCTCGTACAAGACACACTCAAATGACATATATAGTATCACAAACAAGACACAGTAAATATTTTGACGATCATTTTGACAGTAGAACATTTCTTGTCTGATTATATAAAACTGTTTTAAACACAAGTCCTGTGCATCAAGATTTATTTTTCTTTCAATATATTTCCTTTATGTAAAACTAAATATCAGTCTTAATACAATTTAACATATTCACAGCAGTTCAAAAACAAAACTTTAGAATTGCTTTTGATTCTTTAGTTTCCCATCACGACAACTGTATTTTTTATACATTGAAAAACATGGTCTCTATCCACTAAGTTTGCTGTTATCTTGGAAATGGATTTGGACGACTTTTTCGCATCAAAAAGTTCACTCTTTTAGCCATCCCTGAACCATACAGTCTCTTTGCTCTTTCTCTGTCCACCTGTTGTCGCCTCTCACATGGTGTTATGTAGTACTGATTTCTTCTTATGGCATCTGATATTTTTTCATTCCTCATTAACCTGCAAATTTTCAGATATAAATTTCAAACATAGGTACTTGGGTCTTAGTTTACAAGATGCATTTCCACTGTGTCCATCTTGTGTGCAGTGAGCCACAGATAAGAATCATTGATTAATTCACACTGTGTTGACTTATTAATTATCACCAATCACCATGTTAATCAGAACTGGTCCTCTTTGTTACTTCATTCACGAAGTAACTTTCTTTTGTCACATATTAACAGTTGTACAAAAAAGAAAAAGATCATGAAAATGTAAGATCTCAAAAAAAAAATGTGCTAACATTACATTTTAAAATATTACATTCTGTGATCAGAACATAAATGTTTACCCCTAGAAACTCCAGAGATGAGATCAGGTGCATGGAAGGAGTAAGCATACCCTAATGAGTGTTGACACCCACCACGAACACTATGTAATGAAGAGGTAGGCAGAACAGTCCCTAGTTTTCAGATTTGTTAAAATGCTGAATTTAAACAAGGTCATAAAAATGACTAAAACATCAACTTATTTGTCTTTTGTTTTGATTGAATATCCTCTTGACTAGCAAATAAGCTGTGGATCCTACCTAAATGAAAAAAAAATGCCCTTAGTCTATTACATGCAATATCCTGATTACACAGGCTAATATGTTGATGGTTTGACCATTCTGGCGAGCGCAGACATTTCTTTTGTTATTATTTAGATCAGGCTTGTAAAGCTGCACGTGCCATTTGACTCTGACGCCACGACTTCGTGAATGTAACTTACATTACCAAAAAGAAGCCTGAACGGTGCTGAAATTAAATGAATGTTTCGTTTGCTATTTATCTTCAATATTCATTCAGTCTACGCGAAAGTTGAAAATTGTTACGGTCTGCTTTTTTAAATTTTTTCCTTTAAATCCATACATCATTATGATACTGAGATTGAGAGGATGGTGGGATGGGGTTAATTCGTTTAACCTTATTGTTAAATGAATTCAGAGTGAAATTCCTTTGTTAAAGGTATCTATACAATTGCATGTATTTTTTTCCTTCATATTTGCTATTATCTTCAATATTCATTCATTAAATCATGGCATGTTAACTTTTAGTTGACCTTTTGTTGCTATTCTCACAAGAAGGGTATCTTTAACAAGAATGCATTGTGGGTCCAGAGTTACTGAGGAAAAAAAAATCTGACTAATGAATATTTCTCTTCCCCCAGGCGTTGCTTTAAGAGCTTTGTAGTGACAAGCGTCACTTTGCTACGCTCGCTGTAATATGCAATATCCTGATTACACACTGACACTCAGACAGGCTAGTTTTCGACTATATAATAACATATTATATAGTACCATACAGTATGCTAGTTTTCTACTATATAATTACATACTAATATAGTAGAAAACTAGCATACTGTATGAAACAAGCACCTGTATAATCAGAATATTGCATATATTAGCCTGTGTAATCAGGATATTGCATATAATAGATACGGGCATTTTTTGTCATTTAGGTAGGATCCACAGCTTATTTGCAAGTAAAGACAATATAATACCCTAAAAAAAGTAGAAAAGTAGCGTATTGTATATAACAAGCACCTGTATAATCAGGATATTGCATATAATAGAGTAAGGGCATTTTTTAAAAATCATTTTTATATTATAAAAAATATATTTTAAGGTTCATAAACCCTCTGCTCACTCATATAAAATGATGATTGAACCTTAATGATTTTCCAAAAGAAATGTACTTTATAAGTAAAATACAAACAATTACAGCATAGCTTGCGGGGCAAAATTGGTCAAAAAAGACACTTCAACTTGGTAAATTTATAAGGGAATAATAGACATTTATGTCATTAAGAGTTATCTCTCTTATCAGAGTATCAATGACCCTTAAATGGAATTTATATAAAAGGGTGATGCATCTCGAATTTCCTCAAATTAAAAAAATATATATAGATTTTGCAATAGTTCTTTTGTTTACTTTTTTGAATAAACAGTTAAAACAATTTCATAGAGGTATATACTTACCTATTTATACTGTTTAGAGCATCATCAATTTCGTTATTTTTTACAAAAACAGTACGAGAAATGAATCGAAAATGTCTCGACATGATCGCGGGTTGTTGTAGTGTATTAAGTCGTTCTTATATTTCATAATTCTTGAAAATTAAATTGTGTGATTATTTTCTATGACCATTTCAGTTTTCGTGTAATTAAGACATGAATATATGCACTAATGGCATTTTAGTATTTAATGTTCGAACGTAATAGAAAACAACACACAAGATCACTGTTGTCGAATATCTTAAGTTTGTCTGAACTAAAAGTAGTGTGCATTTCCGGTAAACATCAATTTAGTGGAGGGAATTTCCTGAAAATTCAAGTTTTTTTTAAAAAGAGTGTCAGTTTGGAAGACTCGTGTTACTGTTTAGTTTTTGTTAGTTAATATTGTTACTGCATCAGGTTTATATTAAAAGAATCTGCGCGACCTCCACCATGTTTGGAGGAAATCCTGGCGCAAGTGGTGGTGGATTCACTTTTGGTACCCCAACGTCTACCCAGGGAGGTAAGCATTTATATAATCTAATATAATCCAATAATGATTATTCAGATTTCGAAGAAGCAACTGATTTGTGATTTCACAATGTTTTCTTTTCTACATATGTATGGGAGAGGAAAAAAATTGCAATGGACCAGATCAGGATTGAACCCGGCCCCCAGAATATTTCTACTCTAGTCAAGCACTACAACAAGTTTATGATTATCTCTTTCTGACAATCGAACACGTCTAATTGCATCAAATCCCCCCTGGGGGTGTTTTAATGTTATTTGAGGCATATAAGCACGATAAGATTGTTTTATGATTGATTGATTGAATATTGTAAAATGTTTAACGTCTCTATCTAGAAATTTTCACTCATATGGAGATGCCACCATTTGCTGAGGGAAAGCTGCAAATTTGTCCTATACTGGGAACTCAGGGCCGTAGAGCAGGGAGGGATCTTTTTCATGTCAGCACCTACTGTGACACAGGGCCTAGTAGATAAAATGTTCTATCGTTAAAATGATAAATGTCCTATGGACCTGGTTTAACGATAGAATTCTCTCCGTATATTCACAATGTAGCAAAGTAAACACGGGCGATAACTCGCACTCAGTGTATTTACTACGAACAATCCCGAGAGTTCTGAATGTAAACATGGCATTTGAAACGAGAAAAATCGTTGAGAAAATTAGTTGAATTTTCGTGTTTTTATGGATTATTTTTTGGGATAAAAGGCATAAACAATCTCAAAAAGGTTTGTTATAATTAACTTATAAGTTATTTTCAGTGCAAATCCGTTTGTATCCTTCAAAATCATTTCGGAGCGATTCTGCAATTATTTGCTACATTGCGAGTATATGGGAGATTTTCTAACTGTGGTGAGGGCTTGTCCTGAGACACAGTTAGATTATTCTAACTAAGGGCCTAGGTTTATACGATCTCATCCAAAGGACCGGTCTCCATGTCCCACAATGGGATTCGAACCCGCGATATAAGGATCAACTCTTTATTTTGCAACTTTAGAGCAGATGCTCTAACCACTGCGCCACGCGGGTGACTGATAAGATTGTAATGAGAAAACAAAAAAAAATCATTACGTGTAAATGTGACAAAGCTTTTGTCTACAGAGTATGATTAAAAAATACCGCAGGATGCCAATGTGACTCATACTCTATTTTACTCTTTGGAAATTCTCTTGTAATACAATGCCATTTAAAATGCCGTTGTTAACATATATAACTGTTTTTAGCTCCTGTTAGTTCAAGAACACCCGTAGGAGGATTTTCATTTGGACAGAAGCCAGCAACAACAGCTGCAGGTATGAAATAAAATTGTAAAAAAAAGTTAACTTATTTTTATTAATTCAGGGGTATGCAATTACAAAAATAAATTACTAGCCCGTCGGGCTAGTGGCGGTAACAAAGTTACTAGCCCGAGGTTGCCAGTCACTAGCCCATTAACTATCGAAAACAATACATGTATAAGTTTAACATAAAGGATAAAAAAAAACACATTTAAGTTGAAATAAATAAAACAAATAATGGTTTGCACTTTGTAATTGTCAGGTACTTCCCCCTATTTATATCGACTATAATTGTCACTGAGATGACTGGCGATAGGAACACACATTGCATATAGGCTAAAACGAATTAAAGATTTTGATTTTACAGAAAAGTTAATTCGTACTTCAATTCAGTTGAGGTAAATATATGTTTACTTTCGTTTTAGATTTACTAGCCCGACAGGCTAACGTATAGATTTAAGATAGCCCGACCTCTTAAATTGGTAGCCTGGGGCGTGGGGCGATGGTAATTGCACACCCCTGTAATTAAAACATTCACAGCATTTACTTTAAGAAATTAATATTTAGTACAATAAACATCGTAATGCTATTTTATTTTGATTTTTATGCGCCCGAATTTTTTCGGGGCGCATATTGTTTTTGTCCTGTCTATTTGTCTGTTTGTCTGTCTGTCTGTTGTCAACTTTAACCTTCGCCAAAACTTTTGAACTGTAAGAGATAGAGACTTCATATTTGGTATGCATACTCCTCTAATAAAGTTCTTTCAAATGACATCAAGGTCAATGACCTTGTGACCTTGACCGTAACCTATATGCTAAAAATAACTTTTTCAACTGTTTGTCATGACTTTTGAATCATAAGAGATAGAGACTTCATATTTGGTATGCATACTCCACTAATAAAGTTCTTTCAAATGACATCAAGGTCAATGACCTTGTGACCTTGACTGTGACCTATATGCTAAAAATAGCTTTTTCCACTTTTTGCCATAACTTTTGAACCATACGAGATAGGGACTTCATATTTAGTATGCATACTCCACTAATAAAGTTCTTTCAAACAACACCAAGGTCAATGACCATGTAACCTTGACTGTGACCTATATGCTAAAAATAGCTTTTTCCACTTTTTGCCATAACTTTTGAACCATAGGAGATAGGGACTTCATATTTAGTATGCATACCCCACTAATTAAGTTCTTACAAACAACACCAAGGTCAACGACCTTGTGACCTTGACTGTGACCTATATACTAAAAATAGCTTTTTCGAACTTTGTTGACGCCGGGCGCATAGTGTTTCACAAACACATCTTGTTTTAAAAGCTCTTCCTCCCTCACTGGTAAAATCTTGCATTGTAGAAGTGAATGTGTTTCTAATGTCAATGACATTGGAATTCTTTGTTCTTTCTAGCATCAGCCACTCCATTTGCTATGGGCATACAACCTCAGGCCTCCACCCAGGGTTTTTCTTTTGCATCATCCACCAGTACAGCTACACCTGGGGGTTTTACTTTTGGATCAGGGACCGGAGGAGTTATGGGAACTGCCACTCCAGGCATGCCCTCTGCACTCTCCACACAGACAACTGCCCCTGCAACCACTGGTCCACAGGTTGGTGGACTGGCAGGGTTCGCTATGGGTAAAATGCCTACAGTGTCCACAGCAACAGCAGCAACAGGAGCCACCCCAGCTGCTGCTCCCACAGGATTGACACTAGGAGGAAGCACAGGAGGTAAATATTGGTAACAGTTATATATAACACTGGCTCCTACAGGACTGAGGGGAAGCACAGGAGGTAAATATTGGTAACAGTTATATATAACACTGCTCCTACAGGACTGACTCTGAGGGAAAGCACAGGGGTTAAATATTGTGTACAGTTGTATTATAAACCACGTCTGCTACAGGATTGACCCTGGAGGGAAGCACAGGAGGTAAATATTGGCATTGCTATACATAGCTATTACATTTTCTATCTAGCTTGCAACATGAGTTTTGATTGTTTAGCAAGACAGTAGGGTGTACATTTCCGTACATCTGACTTTTAGTTCTAGGTAAATAACCTTATGTCACAATGCATAGTTTCTCTGTTCTATAACAAAAATCAAGTAATATGACATCATAATGCACACAAATACATGTAATGAGTCTGTGCATATTGAAATTCCCATGTTACTGTGTATATACAGTATAATTTGTCCAAACTGGCCATCACCGGTTCCATAAAATTCGGCCGGTTTAGACAGAATCCGGAGTGCAGGAAAAATGCAGGAAAATATTAATTATGAAATTTCGTGGTTTTATTTACAAGCACAGCATATGCATAGTAAATTATAATTAAATGATAAAATCAATCAATATTTTGGAGTCTAGAAATTATAAATAAAATAGTCCTACATGACTTACTGTATTTTTCTTTTAGTTCACGAAGTTTGAAAGTCAGGGTGAAATATGTTGCCTAAATCAAAATCTACACAAACGCATTATAATAAAATATATCAAGCGGACCGGTTTCGCAAGTCAGAGTCAATTCAATGTATAACCATAACACATTTATTTACGATTTGATAATCATTGGATAGAACTTTTAATTTTCAAGTACAAAAAATTACGTCTTCTTCACAGGGTTATGGCGCCATTTTGAAATGCGTTCGATTTTCGATCCCGATTTATATTTTGATTTGTAAATCGCGTATCTATTTTTTTTGTATTTATATTTGGTGAAATGGGTTAAAACCATTTAAACGTGTTTTTTTTAACTGTAATTTAGAGACCATTTTTATGCGATAGTAATGCGTCCGGCGTCCGTCCGTCTGTCCGTCTGTCTGTCTGTCTGTCTGTAAACAATTTTTCAAAATGCTACTCCTCCTACAGTTTTGATCTGATTTCAATATAACTTGGCATATAAGTAGACTACACTAAGATACATAATTCTGTGTATCGGATTTTGATTTCGACGAACGGTGTTGGCGTTGTTACTAAAAATAGAAATTTCTGTGAAATTCTTTCAAAATGCTACTCCTCCTACAGTTTTGGTCTGATTTCAATATAACTTGGCACACAAGTAGACTACACTAAGATACACAATTCTGTGTATCGGTTTATGATTTCGACGAACGGTGTTGGCGTTGTTACTAAAAATAGAAATTTCTGTGAAATTCTTTCAAAATGCTACTCCTCCTACAGTTTTGGTCTGATTTCAATATAACTTGGCACACAAGTAGACTACACTTAGATACATAATTCTGTATATCATTTTTTGATTTCGACGAATGGTGTTGGCGTTGTTACTAAAAATAGAAATTTCTGTGAAATTCTTTCAAAATGCTACTCCTCCTACAGTTTTGGTCTGATTTCAATATAACTTGGCACACAAGTAGATTACACTAAGATACACAATTCTGTGTATCGGTTTTTGATTTTGACGAATGGTGTTGGCGTTGTTACTAAAAATAGAAATTTCTGTGAAATTCTTTCAAAATGCTACTCCTCCTACAGTTTTGGTCTGATTTCAGTATAACTTGGCACACAAGTAGACTACACTAAGATACATAATTCTGTGTATCGGTTTTTGATTTCGACAAACGGTGTTGGCGTTGTTACTAAAAATAAAAATTTCTATGAAATTCTTTCAAAATGCTACTCCTCCTACAGTTTTGATCTGATTTCAATATAACTTGGCACACAAGTAGACTACACTAAGATACATAATTCTGTATATCGGTTTTTGATTTCGACGAACGATGTTGGCGTTGTTACTAAAAATATAAATTTCTATGAAATTCTTTCAAAATGCTACTCCTCCTACAGTTTTGATCTGATTTCAATATAACTTGGCACACAAGTAGACTACACTAAGATACATAATTCTGTATATCGGTTTTTGATTTCGACGAACGGTGTAGGCGTTGTTACTAAATATAGAAATTTCTGTGAAATTCTTTCAAAATGCTACTCCTCCTACAGTTTTGGTCTGACTTCAATATAACTTGGCACACAAGTAGACTACACTAAGGTACATAATTCTTTATATCCGTTTTTGATTTTGATGAACATTGCTATCTTTATTAACCAAGGTAAATAAAATAGCAATTTCTGTTACTCTCAAAATGCTACTTCAAATACAGTTTTAGTCTGATTATAATATAATGTGGCATGCAAGTAGACTACACTAAGAACATAAAGAAACTTATTCAAGGATCGTTATTCTCTATTTTTTGCTAGTGTAAAGTTTCAATTCCCAACTGCTTAAGTACTTTCCTCTTCCTTTGCTATAAGTACAAACGAGTAGAGCTTCAGTCTCGACAGAGACTTCTGGTTTTAACTGTAATTTAGTCATTTTTTTTCAAACGGGCTGTGTCACTGCCAAATTTCAGTTCTTCTCATGGCACTAATAATGCTAATGTAAACACAGATTAGCACATCCACCACGAAAGGTGTTAATTGCTTTGGTGAAACTCAGGTAATTATGTGTGGCCGGATCAGAGGATATAGTTATCGTAAATTATGAGCAGTTGGGACCAGAATGACCGTTCGGAATACAGAATAGACAGTATCCGGACTACACAGAATTTTCTCTAATGAATTTGTTAAAGAAGTGCATGGGACTAAAATTTATAGACGGAATGGACAAAAGTCCGGAGTACTCAGAGTCCGGATTAGACAAATTTTACTGTATACTAGGTGTGTGAACACTGTACATTGACAATTGTTTTTTACTCATTTGCAGCAACAGCTACATTCAACTTACCAGGACAAACACCAACAGCAGCCACTAAGCCACTTGGAATATCAGTGGGTACCACTCAAGGAGCCGCCCCAGGCCTTACATTGGGGACCGCCAATACCACCACTGCCACTGGATTAACCCTTGGAGGAACAGCCACCACTGCAAGTGGTTTCCAGTTTGGTGGTGCCAAAACAACAAGTGCTGCACCAACTCTAGGAGGCTTAATTGCTGGCACCACAACTGCTGCCACAAAACCACAGACCTCCACACTTAGTTTTCCAGTGGCAGCCTCTGCTGCAGGGTACTAAACACTATAAAATCAGATTTCCTGAATATGACAAGAATTTTGTTACCAAGTCTATTTCCTTATGTGATGTCAGTGATTATAACATGATTCATTACTTTTTTTTTAATCTGTAGAATATTCACTCTTTAAAATGAATAGCAAAGTTTCCCCCTTTGAACATTTTAGCCTCAGTATTTGCAATATACATGTAAACTAATTCTTGTGTGTATGAAAATGAAACTTAAACATATAGATCCTGTTAAGTCTAGGATTAAAACAATGTGATGAATATTTTTACAGCACTGCAGCCACAAGTTCGGCTGCCAGCACAGTCGCGACAGCCGCCGTCCCAGAGACCAAGATGTCGTATCAACAGCTGGAGGAGAACATAAATAAATGGATGTCAGAGCTGGAGAAGCAGGAACAGGACTTCTTAGAACTGGCCACCCAGGTTAATGCCTGGGACAGACTGCTGGTGGAAAATGGAGAGAAGGTAAGAAAGCAACTACAAAGTAAGAAAGACAACTCCAACAGGTTTAAAATATGTATTATAAAAATATAAAAATTTGTATCAAAAGAAAAATTTTAACAAAGTATTTTTATTTTTGTACATAGATCAGAATTGCTTTAAAGAAATAAATATTGGTAGAAAGTCAATGTCCAATGTCACAAAAGTTTTTAGAATGTTATATGAACATGTCCCAAAGATTGATTTAAGAGGCAGTCCACCGAAAAACCAGGCAGTATTGTATTAACAGGCGGCACATCGAATGTGACGAATATTTGGTATTTTATTAAAAACAATATCAATGTAGTCCAAAAGGAATAATGTAAATGAAGATTAGTTTGAAAATTGCTTATTTATTAAAATATCCTTGTGTTTCGTGTTTTTGAATTCCCCTATATAAACCATTGAAAGTAGGTAAGAAACAAAGAGCTGTAATTTCTAATACAATTTTAACAGGACTATAATTCACACTTAAATAAATCTAGATATATTTCATCTTTTTGTTAAAAAAATAAAATCATTGGGAAAAACACTTTTAATAGAAGTTATTTGGCAAAATATATAGACGTTTTAATGAAAATTTGCGGTGCAAGAGTTATCTCCCGTGGCATCGGTAAATCTGCTAAACACATTTTCATCGGAATCCTAGTGAAATATTTGGAATCGATACACTAAAGAAAATTATCAAACAAAAAATGAATAATTTATTTTCAAAATATAATTCATTTTCGCCTCAAAACATAATATTTAGATTAAAATTGGCTATAATATTCAGGTTAAATCCACGTCTCCATTGATTTATCAGTGACGTCATAATATTGCGTCACAATGAAATAGTTACAAGTTTTCCAGAGAAGTTCGTAAATTCATTGCGTTAAATGTAAAGAAAAATATTTTTTTTTAATGATTACTCTCCAGAGTGCATTATACTAAATGTTAAATAATATTTTAATATCAAAATGTATTTTACACAGTACAAGGGCGGCGTTTCAGCAAGATGACGTTTTGATAAATAATTTTATACATGTCCGAGAGCTAATTATTAAAAACCGATTTACCAGGATATGCGTTAAAATAATTAATGAAGTGTTTATAACGAACATTTCTTATAAAATTGGGAATCAATGATGAATGTTTTAGATTTACGCAACATTTAATTCAACGAAATTGGTAAATTTACCTATGCAGTCAAATCAAAATAAACGATCTACAGTACGATTAAAAATGAAAAAAAAACTGAAAAAAAAGTTATAAAAATATATTTATTGAGTTAAATTTACTGCTGAACTCCCGACTATAATTTGGCACTATAACGGAAGGTGGTTTAGTTAAACATTTGGTTTTTGTTTTTTGTTGTTTTTTAATTTTTTAAATTTATTTTTATTCGGCGAATGAAACAATCACGCGCTTATATTTAATATGGAGTATAAACCTGTGACTATGTTGACCAATACTAAAATGTTTTTACGTTCATGAAACCAATTTTTAAAAATGTTGCAATGACCCCGCACCCCCCTTCCGCGCTTCTTGCTTGCGATGTATCGGCTCTTGAATAATTATACTATACATGAAAGAACTTATTTTCTAATTTACATAAAATCAAATTTTGTAAAAGAGGAAAAGGCTTTACAGATGACAGGTAAGAAAAAACTTGGATAAAGCCGAGACTATACACATAAATATATTTCTTGCATTTAGGCAAATTTAATTTCGCTACTGATAGAATTTATTCTAATTCCTGAGACAAATAAGAAAGAAATTTTACTTGAAAATAAGATGAATAATGAAGCTAGAAAGTTGTCTGCTCTGGTTGTTGCATAATGCATGCACAAATACTTTTTTAAAAATACCTTGTATCTATAAAGAAATCAATCAGATCAGATGTTTTACATGTAATCATGTAAGTAAAAGACATTGGTAATTTAATTAAATAATACATACATTTGAATCTATGGTTACACTCATTTAAAAACAGTAAACTGACTGAAAAGAAATAACAGACAAGCATTTTTTTCTGATAAATTAACATGAAGAGCAAAATTTAGGAAATTTTTCTAAATTTACGGTAAAAACCGATCCCGATCGATAAAAAAAAAATCCAAAATTAATTAATTTATCAAACTAAAGGCACCTGCCACCTATATAACATGTAGAAAAAATTATTCAAGTAATTTCTTAATCATATTACGACAAAAGAGCCAAATTTGACATTACTATTTTAGTATTTTCTTCTTTATACAATTCCGGTCGGGATCGGTTTCATTTGTGAAAACTATAAAAAATAAGTAAATTTGACTCCTTTTATTTCTTTCAAAATACCGTATCCCAATGATTTTATTGAATGACCAAAAAGCTTGTACTTTTTATTCATAAAAACATAAGTAAACAAATATGTCCATGCATTGTATTGGGTTTTATAACGTAATTAAAATTGGATACTGAATTTAAACATTTACTTGCTAAACTCAAATTTGGACCAGATATTTTTTTCTAAAGAAGTGTAAATTGGAGTCTTATTCATTCATAAAATAAAAGATAAAAGTCTATTCTATAAATTATATTCATTGGCACCTCTACCTCTAGAGTATCTGTTACATATAAAACAAAATAAAAAGGTAGTATTTTTTTTACCCTCATGTTGACCTTTTTGCACTTAAAATTAAGCATTTACCAAAACTAGGACTAGAGGAGCACTATAAAATTTTTTGATGTTGTCATGTATAAACACTTGCTTTAATAAGTCTACATGCAAAAAATAATTAAAATCCATGACATGCGATGTGCCACCCATTGCCTGGTTTTTCGGTGGACAGCCTCTTAATATTACAAATCTTGGATTACATAATGATTACATCACATTTAAATTTCAATGAATGGTGTGGTATTTGTAACTATTATTTGATTGACATTACAGATAACCACACTGAACAGTGACATGGAACGAGTGAAGGTAGACCAGCAGAAGCTGGACCATGAGTTGGACTTCATTCATTCACAGCAGAGGGAGTTAGAGGAGCTACTGGTCCCTCTAGAGAAGACAGTAGAACAACAGCCTAATATTAACATTCAGCAACACTCAGCTCTGGAGCGGGAAAACACGTAGGTTTAGCATAGCAGGCATCTGTATAAAGGGAGCTGTCTCTCTTTCACACAGAGTCTACCATCTTCAGAAAAATTTGTCCTGATCTATTACATCACCTTGGCAAAGTCGAGTAGAGATTATGCTATACCCCCACTATTGAGATCAGCATATGTGTCAGGACATTCCAAGAACACATCTCAATCCAAAATATTTTAAACCCTACCTTGACCAAACTTGCAAGCATGAAGCATTATTGGATATACACTACCTGACTTGATTCAGATAAAGGATTTGACCTACATTTCCTGAATGAGTAACCAGGTCAAAGTCTTTGGAGCAATTTTAAGATTAACAAGCAAGTTTGATAATAATTAATAATTGAAGTCTTATGGTGACAAAATTTGCAGGAATGTTGCACTTAGGGATTCATAAATCCAGGCCAGCTTTGGATGCTGTGTAGACATTGTATTTTGAAATGCACACTACAAAACATTTGTTTAGTTTTGTGTGAGACTTTGCCATACCTTTAGATTATATCTGTTAAAATGAGCTTTTTAATTTTTAGCTCTACTGGTCAGAGACCAGAAAAGCTTATGCGATAGTAATGCTTCCGGCATCCGTCCGTCTGTCTGTCTGTCTGTAAACAATTTTTCAAAAATGCTACTCCTCCTACAGTTTTGGTCTGATTTCAATATAACATGGCACACAAGTAGACTACACTAAGATACATAATTCTGTGTATCGGTTTTTGATTTCGTTGAACGATGTTGCCGTGGTTACTAAAAATAGAATTTTTTGTGAAATTCTTTCAAAATGCTACTCCTCCTACAGTTTTGGTCTGATCTCAATATAACATGGCACACAAGTAGACTACACTAAGATACATAATTCTGTGTATCGGTTTTTGATTTCGATGAACGGTGTTGCTGTGGTTACTAAAAATAGAATTTTTTGTGAAATTCTTTCAAAATGCTACTTCTCCTACAGTTTTGGTCTGATTTCAATATAACATGGCACACAAGTGGACTACACTAAGATACATAATTCTATGCATCAGTTTTTGATTTCGGTGAACGATGTTTCCGTGGTTACTAAAAATAGAATTTTTGTGAAATTCTTTCAAATTGCTACTTCTCCTACGGATTTGGTCTGATTTCAATATAACTTGGCACACAAGAAGATTACACTAAGATACACAATTCTGTGTATCGTTTTTTGATTTCGATGAATGGTGTTGCTGTTGTTACTAAAAATAGAAATTTCTGTGAAAATCTTTCAAAATGCTACTCCTCCTACAGATTTGGTCTGATTTCAATATAACTTGGCACACAAGTAGACTACACTAAGATATATAATTCTGTGTATCGGTTTTTGATTTTGATGAATGGTGTTGCTGTTGTTACTAAAAATAAAAATTTCTATGAAATTTTTCTAAATGCTATGTCTCCTACAGTTTTGGTCTGATTTCAATATAACTTGCCACACAAGTGGACTACACTAAGATACATTATTCTGTATATCCATTTTTGAGTTCGATGAAAATTATTGCCTTGGTTACTAAAAATAGAAATTCCTGTTAGATGCTCTCAAAATGCTACTCCAAATACAGTTTTAGCCTGATTATAATATAATGTGGCATGCAAGTAGACTGCACTGAGAACATAAAGAGACTTATAATCAAGGATCATTATTCTATTTATTGCTGTTGTAAAGTTTCAATTCCCAACTTCTATTTTAAAGTACTTTTCTCTTCCTTTGCGATAAGAACAAACCAGTAGAGCTTCAGTCTCGACAGAGACTTCTGGTTGATTACCTGATAAAAATCTTTAGATATTTTGGATTCAACCAGTGACAGCTTCATATTATTTCACACACTCAATTTTTTCACGTTTAATTTTGTCATTATCTTTTTCAACTGATACATATTTGGTAATAATAATTTTCTTACCTGACAATTTTTTAGCTCTACTGGTCAGAGACCAGAAGAGCTTATGCGATAGTAATGCGTCCAGCGTCCATCCGTCTGTCTGTCTGTAAACAATTTTTCAAAATGCTACTCCTCCTACAGTTTTGGTCTAATTTCTATATAACTTGGCACACAAGTAGACTACACTAAGATACATAATTCTCTGTATCGGTTTTTGATTTCGATGAACGGTGTTGCCGTGGTAACTAAAAATAGAAATTTCTGTGAAATTCTTTCAAAATGCTACTCCTCCTACAGTTTTGGTCTGATTTCAATATAACTTGGCACACAAGTAGACTACACTAAGATACATAATTCTACGTATTGGTTTTTGATTTCGATGAACGGTGTTGCCAGGTTACTAAAAATAGAAATTTCTGTGAAATTCTTTCAAAATGCTACTCCTCCTACAGTTTTGGTCTGATTTCAGTATAACTTGGCACACAAGTAGACTACACTAAGATACATAATTCTACATATTGGTTTTTGATTTCGATGAACGGTCTTGCCGTGTTTACAAAAAATAAAAATTTCTGTGAAATTCTTTCAAAATGCTACTCCTCATACAGTTTTGGTCTGATTTCAATATAACTTGGCACACAAGTAGACTAAACCAAGATACATAATTCTATGTATCGGTTTTTGATTTCGATGAACGGTGTTGCCAGGTTGCTAAAAATAGAAATTTCTGTGAAATTCTTTCAAAATGCTACTCCTCCTACAGTTTTGATCTGATTTCAATATAACTTGGCACACAAGTAGACTACACTAAGAACATAAAGAGATTTTATCAAGGATCATTATTCTATTTATTGCTGTTGTAAAGTTTCAATTCCCAAAAGCTTAAGCACTTTTCTCTTCCTTTGCTATAAGTACAAACCAGTAGAGCTTCAGTCTCGACAGAGACTTCTGGTTATTTATACCAGTAGATATCAATTATCTTACATGGCAATAGTTTATATTAAGATATCAGTTGTCTTACTTGACAATATTTTTAAAGATATCAGTTATCTAATAATGACAATATTTTTTATAGACATCAGTTATCTAATATGACAATATTTTTATAGATATCAGTAATCTAATATGACAATATTTTTATACCCCACGCAACTAGTTGCGGGAGGTATAATGTTTTTGACCCATCAGTCAGTCAGTCAGTCCTCTTTTTTTTGTCAGCGCAACTCCTCATAAACCGCTGCACAGAATTTCGTCAAACTTTGCAGGTATTTAGGACACAATGTGTTAATGTGCATATTACCAGGAAATTCTGATTCCATTATTTTTGCCGGGAATATCCGCACTTTTTAACTTAGGCATTTGGCCATACCTTGAATATAGAGATGAACAGTTTGTCAGCGCAACTCCTCATAAACCGCTGCACAGAATTTCGTCAAACTTTGCAGGTATTTAGGACACAATGTGTAGATGTGCATATTACCAGGAAATTCCGATTCCATTATTTTTCCAGGAATTTCGGCACTTTTTAACTTAGGCATTTGGCCATACCTTGAATATAGAGATGAACAGTTTGTCAGCGCAACTCCTCATAAACCGCTGCACAGAATTTCGTCAAACTTTGCAGGTATTTAGGACACAATGTGTAGATGTGCATATTACCAGGAAATTCCGATTCCATTATTTTTTCCGAGAATTTTGGCATTTTTAACTTAGGCATTTGGCCATACCTTGAATATAGAGATGAACAGTTTGTCAGCGCAACTCCTCATAAACTGCTGCACAGAATTTCGTCAAACTTTGCAGATATTTAGGACACAATGTGTAGATGTGCATATTTCCAGGAAATTCCGATTCCTTTATTTTTTCCGAGAATTTCCGCACTTTTTAACTTCGGCATTTGGCCATACCTTGAATATAGAGATGAACAGTTTGTCAGCACAACTCCTCATAAACTGCTGCACAGAATTTCGTCAAACTTTGCAGATATTTAGGACACAATGTGTAGATGTGTATATTACCAGGAAATTCTGATTCCTTTATTTTTTCCGGGACATCCTGCACTAAAAACTTAGGTTTTTGGCCATACCTTGAATATAGTGATGAACAGTTTGTCAGCGCAACTCCTCATAAACCACTGCACAGAATTTCGTTAAACTTTGCAGCTATTTAGGACACAATATGTAGATGTGCATATTACCAGGAAATTCCAATTCCTTTATTTTTCCGGGAATTTCCACACTTTCCAACTTAGACTTTTTTGCCATATTTTGAATATAGAGATGAACAGTTTGTCAGCACCACTCCTCTTAAACTGTTGTACATAGTTTTGTCAACCTATGCAGATATTTAGGACATATTCCATTATTTTATCCCAAAGAGTTTTGCCTATTATTCAAGAAAATTTCTCACCCCCCCCCCTCCCCCCAACCACTTCAAATTAATGTTTGGATTTGTATAATGCCAAGAAATTTTGATTCAATTATATATCTAGAAACTTCATTCCACATTTAAATGTCCTCATGTGCAAGACATTTTGATGTGAAGATTTTTTTATTTTTGCAATTATTGCCCTTTTTGATCTATACTATGTATTTAAAGTGCGCTGTGCCTTTCATTATGTGTTTCACCGTCAAGTTTTGGGGGAGCGTGGGGTATGTGAGCTAGCTCACTTTTTCTTTCATTTTTTATGGATATCAGTTATCTAATATGACAATGTTTTTTATAGATATCAGTTATCTAATAAGACTATTTTTTTTCAAAGATATCAGTTAGCAGAGAACATTGATGCCCAGCTAAAGAGGATGCTGTCAGATTTAAAAGAAATCATTGATCATCTGAATTCCTCTAATACAAATCAGGATCAAAATGACCCAGTAAGTCGTTATTATTGTACTAATCCAGATCAGAATAGCCCACAAGACCTTCATTGCAGCAGGTTCACAATGACTATGTAAGACCTTGTTACTGTTCTAACCGGGATCAGCATGAAGGCAGTCTTTCAGCTGCTCCCATTTCTTATTAAAATGTGCAATATTTTCTTATCAATAATAATATAAAAAGGATTGGACAGCAGGCACTGTAACAAATATCTCTTCTCATCAAATATTCATGTTTTTAATCTCTGACAAAAGAAATATATGAAAAATTTAATTTTGGTTGTAATGCATCATTTGATTGGATAAAAAATTAATCTAAATTGTATAACCTGGTTTGCATACGTCAGTTTGATTTAAGTCAAAAACGTATCAATCAGCTTGACGTTACATTTAAAAAATGAACAATTTGAAGACGTTTTTAAGGGAGATATTATCTTGTTTTCTGTACTTAATGATTGAAAATTACATTATATTAAAGGAATGAATTAAATAGCAAAACAAATTATACTGCTATAACCTGGGTTAGAGCAGTTTATGCTTTTTTACGATTGGTAATGTACCCCATCAATGTTTAGAAGTTTATGTAACCTTTGATTTTTTTTACAGATTCAGCAAATCACTAAAATTTTAAATTCTCACATGGACTCGCTGCAGTGGATTGATCAGAACACAAGTAAGTAAAAACGCTACAGAGATTAAGATTTCATTTTGTCATTTTATGTGATTTGAGATTAAAAGATATTATATCAAACAGCTGTATTATTTTTGTCCATTTGTTATGTCAGAATGAAGTATTTATGTATGTCAAAAACTTGATGCTCACAATTACCAATGCTTTTTCTTTAACTTCAGCATTATTGGGGAGGAAAGTGGAGGAAATTTCAAAACAGATGGAAATTCAGCGGAGAGAACAGGAGAGGAATTTCAGACTTGTGTATAACTGATGTTTGTTTTTGCATCGTTTCACAAATTCTATTAAGTTCACAGATCATCTGTCATGACAAAGCACCTGGGTTAAAGGATGGACCGAGTATGACCCATGAATTCTGTCATATTGATAATAATTAAAGACATTGCACTGTTTGTTACTGATGAAAAATTAGTTCTGTGAAGGAAAACACAAACTATCCACAATGGTAATTTCCAGTGAAGGTGTTTTTCTCTTTAAGCAGTTATGTAAGACCTTGTTACAATGAAAGACAATGGGAAATTCTATTATTCTTTTGAGACATTGTTGATGTATGGGCAAACTAGCATTCAGATTCCAATAAAGACAAAGATAAGTTATATCTGTTACTTTTTTTTAAGAAGTGCTGCATGTTATGTTTTCTATTTTTTCATTATCACTGTTTGTTTTAAAAATTGTCTGTGTAATATGCTATGTTTTTTTTTTTTGTAACCAATGTTATTACATGTAACTGTCAGAGAGCATTAGTAAGGTGTCCGCCATCCTCTGTCTGTCTGTCTGTCTGTCCATATTCTTGTCTGTTCATATTCTTATAAACAATTTATCAAAGTTCAAATCCTTCGACAGTTTTGGTGTCTTCACTAAGATACATAATTCCCAATAAGGTTTTTCAATTTTGACAAATTATTTGCCATAGTAGCTAAAACAAATATATTTCTGATTCAGGGATTCTCTGAAATTCTTTCCAAACAGTATTCCTAGAACATTTTTGGCATGACTTGGTAAACAAGTAGACTATAACAAGATACATAATTTGATCATTTTCTAATATGACAATTAATGTTGCCATGATTACTAAAACTAGACGTGTAGTATTTTCACAAAATGCTTCCTTTCCTAGTTTTAATTGTAATCTTATTTCAGTTAGAGTGGTACACAAGTAGACATATAGAGATGTACAGTTCTATTAATTTAGGGGTTTGATGCCATGTGTTACAATAAATTTTAAAAAAATTCTACAGTTTTTTTATTTACTAGTTTTACTCCTGCTGGCTACAGTTTTATTGGATTTCAGAGACTACTAGTATGCACACAAATAGACTTATTTAAGATACTCTATCATAAAAGTACACACCAGTGGAGCTACAGTCTTCATACAGACTTCTGGTTAAATCACCGTTGTTACTGGTGGAAGGTAACATGTCATCTCATCAAATTCTTCTCACAATTATTGTACATTAGAGAGTTTTCCTTCACCTGAATTTAAAATGTATAAGATCAACTTTAAAAAAAAATGATCGGTTGCCATCTCCTGACTCGGTCTAAAAATATTGGAAAGGTAGGTAGGTAAGATTATTTTCCCTCAGAAAATTTCAATTTCAATGCTATTTTAAAAATTACATTTTTTAGAGTACATATAAAAATAATTGCTTGGTTAAAAAGTTATTAAGTTGGGCCATCTTTAGCCAGTCCGTTGGGAGAGGGCAACCAAACCATTTTTTGAAGAAGGACTTAGTCTCTGTGGTTTAAGTGAACTTATCACATTTGTAACTAAGCTATAAACTGCACCAGGAAATCATTTTTTGGCAAGGACAGCCTGTTTTAAAGAATACTATCTACATGTATTCATGAATTGCATTTTCTTAAAGAAACGTCTTAAACTGTGCATTGTTGCTATTGAATTCAATTTGTCATGGCTATACTAGTAATATTTTCATTAAATAGCATTGCAGGTGGTTTAGTAGGACACACTGATATGAGAGGTCATTTTAAACTCGGATGTTTACTTGTCTCTTATCAATCAGTAATCTCTGTTTGTCTAGTCTAGGTACAAAAAAAATTATGGTAATTTCCATTTTAAAAATGTCTGAAACATTTTTTTTTAATTCTCCAACTATCGAAGCTAGGTTGCAAAAAATATTCCATTTCATTCTTAATTGTCTATAAGTTGGGGAAAACAATCTTGTCCCTTTCTAGATGTAAGTATTACAAAATTGTCTTCTTTTTTTCTCTCGATGAAAAGGGCCACGCTCGACCAAAATTTTTCTTTATATAAAAAATGTGTTTTTCCTGGGATTCGAACCCTAGCAATAAAAAATCCTTTCTAACATATTGCTAAGATGCGAATTTTTTGTCATAAAGGTGATTTTTTTAGGTACAGTGGTTCTTTGCCCCATAGAAAAATAGGGTAAACTTTCGAGAAAAAAAATGGAGCAAAGACCCACTCATATCGAAAAATTGAATGAGAAAATGACCCTTTTTGCCCTTATTGTGTGTATATGCTATTTCATTGACAAATAATTATTTTTTTCTTTAATTTTTCTTTTAACAAATTGTAGAGATTTTACATAACGTATACGTTAAGGATAGATGAAAAAAAGAAGATGGGGGGGGGGGGGGGTTAAGGCGGGCGAAGTGCCTCTAGGGCGACAGATATGAAGTGAAAAATTAAATCTCAATTATAGCCTTATTTTATTTGACATTTCATCTTATATTAAAGTATACTTAATGTAAAATCCCAACAATTTACAAAAATCTCACAAGGAATGAAAATATTTCGCTATGAAAAAGCATACACACACTAAAAAGAACAAAAACGACCATTTACTCATACTTTAACAAATTTTTTCAATATGAGTGGGTCTTCGCTCCATTTTTTTTTAAAGATACACGGTAATCCTAAAAGTTTGCAATAAAATATACATTTTTTAGATTACAAAAACATGGAGCGAAGACCCACTATACCTTAAAAGTACACTGTTATGACAAAACATTCGCATCTTTCCGAGAAAAAGTCCATTAAGTCAAAATTCATATCACAAACATGATTTAATACCCAAATTCATCCGCCATGTAGCATAGTGGTTAGTGCATTAGTCTCAAAGCATTATGATTTTTATTATTGCTGGAGTTCGAATCCCACTAATACCATTCTAATATTTTTATTAAAAAAAAATAATAACGAGATTTTTTCTCTCTCAGAAATGGGTTTTATCTCATAATTTCATAAATTTAAAAAGTGAGAAGTTATTTTAAATACTCAGTTCACATACTGAGTGTGATTTCTTAATATTTAACGCTATAGGCATTCTGCCCGCCTTGTTCTCCCATCTTCTTTTGATATACATGTATAATTGAGATGTGACTTCCATGTTTGTATCACTCTAGGCATCTCGCTCGCCTTTATCACCCATCGCCTGTGATCCGGTAGAGACATCTGACCAAAATTTTTATCTCTACGGATCTGCTGAGGTTACTGTGAGTGAACAGTACCACACAGCTTGTTATTGGAATTTTTTATGCGAAAAGGAGTGTCCTTGACATACAATATTGGTCACCTGTTTGTTTATCGTGAGATAAAGCTGAAATACGTGCTCAATTTGATTTAACATCGCTGTGAAAATGACAGGTAGGTATATGCCCCATTTTGGGCATTATATATTTATATTGTTTAGAAAATTGAATAAACAACTTGATTTATGAATTGAGGATATGACAGAACGTCATTGATGCAAAAAAATCTAAAATGCCGATCAATAATATTACTGAATCGTGCTTCAGAGAAGCGTCGTAAACAGGAAATTTCAGACACAAGTGAAGAACTGATACTTAAAAAAGAACGTGCAGTTTAGTACATGTACAATTTGTAGTATTAATATACACTCTTTTTGAAGAGTGCAACATTGTCTGTGGTCCACTTAGCAATATGTGAAAAACTAATATCGTATGTTAAGCTTACAATGTAAATATATTTTTCATCTGCTTGTTTAAAATGATGTCCTTCGAAATTTAAATATTAAATAAACTTTTATTCAAATTAAACCTCATATGGTGTGTGAGACGTACATTGCCTGACAGTGCATGATTTGCTCAGGGAGTCGGTGAAACTGGCGACAGTCATGACTTCACTTTTTTTAAACATCAAAACTTATGTTAAAAAATAACAATTGAAATATTGCAAGTAAATAATATTATAGTATATCTTGAAAGGTGGTAAATGCTTATTTGCAAAGTTTTTCACATGGAAGATATATTTTCAGATGTAACCTTTAGTATGTTCACATTGAAAAATATTTTTTTTTGAAAATCTTGAAGCTTTTCTGTTCAATTTTTTTGAAGTTGCATGTCTTGACAATTTAGTAAGTATCTCATAGAACAAAGTGGTTTCATAATTGTTTTGTGTCTTTTCAGGAAGATATCGTTTTATGCGGTCCTATGTGGGACCCGTGAGGGGAGTCATTTTAGACTGGAGCGGCACCACCGCCGATAAGTACGTCCTGGCCCCCGCTGTCGTGTTCTGTGAGGTGTTTCAGAAGCACAAGGTTCCCATCTCCATGCAAGAAGCAAGGAAGCCAATGGGATTGCGGAAGGACCTTCACATCAAGGCGATTACCGAAGATCCAGACGTTAGAGCAAGGTGGACGAAAGTTTACGGGAAGGAACCGAACCAAGGGGACGTGGACAATATGTTCAAAGATTTTGTGCCGATGCAGTTGGGTTGTCTTCGTCGCTACACCGATCTCATTCCAGGAACGACGGAGGCGGTAAACATCCTGAAGAAGGAGTTTGGGTGTAAAATCGGCAGCACCACCGGGTTTTTACGCTCAATGGTAGATGTTCTGGTGGAGGATGCCAATAAGCAAGGATATTACCCGGATGTGACGGTGGCTGGCGATGAAGTTGCTCATGGTGCCAGACCAAAGCCTTTCATGGTTTACAAGAACATGGATCTTTTGGACATCCATCCAATTCAGTCTGTTGTTAAGGTAGACGATACAGTATCTGGAGTCGGAGAGGCGCTTGAAGCAGGTTGTTGGGGAGTGGGTGTGGCTAAATACAGCAATTATATGGGAATAGACAGTTTTGAAGAAGAGGAAAAACTTACTAAAGAGGAGGAAAACATTCGTTGTGAAAAAAGTAGCGAAATGCTTCGACAAACGGGTGCACATTACGTCATAGATAGTATCAAAGAGCTGCCCGAAGTAGTTGAAGACATTAATAGAAGGCTGGCACGAGGAGAAAAACCATAAAGGAATTCAAAGCCTAAAAGTATTACTAAGTACTTTGGTCAAATAAGTGTACTATATTAGTACTAAAGTGATGCAATTTAGTTAGTGCTACATTGAATTTTAAACATCGAAACACCTGTATTCGGAACTCGGAAAAATTTTCCGTGGTGTCAAAAGAAGTCTGTACAAGGCGCACGCACGTACTTTATCTGTAGTAAAATTGTATAAATATTCCATTTGAAACCATGTGTGGATTTAATCATTGTTTTTTATCGTCATTTTCACTTGACAAGACCGGGGTTAGGGTGGGGCCATAATAAAAAAAATTCTGGCATTACCAAAAACATTAACCATGTTCTTGACAAAATTTTACACGGGAAGAAAGAGGGGAAAATCTAATGATTAGAACAGTAGGACCAAAGTGATCGGGCCTTTTGTTATAGTGGAGAGAGGAAATCTTGTATTCTTGTTTTCCTTCAAGTAAAAAAAGGTAAAGATTACAAAAGTGATGGATTTTAAAAAGATCTACATGTATAAACAATACAAATATGTGAAAGGGGCACAAAACGGACTTCTGGAAATTCCAGAGGAGGAATCAGGTGCCTAGAAAGAGTAAGCATCCCCTAACTGACCGATCACACTCGCCGTGAACCTTATGTATAGAACAGGACGGAATATTGCGTAGTCAAATTCAGTATTAACCCATATACCGTAGTAATAATAATTAAGAAATGCCAACTTTATACGAGGTTGTTGAAATCTCTGTTAAGGCCGGTACACACGATGAGATTTGTAGCATAATGCAAGTATTATAATACTTTTGTATTATAATACTTTCCTGTACTCACGCTAATACACATTTTATAAGATTGTAAATAAACCATGTGTTTTCCCCCGCCATATTTTTCTCTCTGTCAAAGCAATAAAAATGGAGGATGAGGTTCTGATAGCAGTGTCTATCATCGTACTATGCACTGCTTGATATATTCCACAAGTCCTTTTCCCCTTCCCTTTAAGCCACGAGTTTTTCGATGTCTTTACTTGAAAAGTCGACCATAATTATTTACCATGCGCTTTTTTTAGTAATGATAAAAATAGGATGACCCCTAGTGTCATTACATTTCATTGGTTGAAAGTGATAGGTAAGTTAAGACTTGTATTAGGAAATAGAGCATTGCTCTATTCTTAATACAGTTTTATAAGATTCGAAAAATCTTATGATACACTGTATTAAGAGTGTATACACAGTAAGATTTTGTATTATAATACAAATCTTATAATACAAATCTTACCGTGTATACCGGTGTAACGACGAAAAGTGACCCCCGTAGAATATTGACCGGGAGTAATTTTTCTACGTAGAAATTTGACCCCCTGGTCAATATTCTACGTAGAAAAATGACCCCCTTTTCGGTAGAAGTCATGGCCTTGGGGTCATATTTCTCCGTGTGCATTGTAGAAAATTGACCCCGTAGAATAATGACCCCTTGTCATTTTTTGATGCAAAAACAATTCGTTTTAAAGTAGGAATATTCTTGTTAGGCGAATCCATACGGGTATTTTATCAAGCTGCCTTATGCTTTGGAGTGTTAATTTCTGAAACCTTTAAGCTAAAATAACGAAATCAAAGCTATAGAATACCTTGCATTAATGATACAAACTATTTATCCCCTCTAAAGGAAAACAATATCAAAATGTTCTAACTAAAGGATATAAGAGCAAAGATACGAGAATTCGTAGAAACGTTAATAACATTTTATACGATAAGTTTCCACAGTTGCCATTTTAATCTTAAAAAAGGTCATTTCCAAACTTCCGCCAGAGTTCGTTTGTACCAAACCAAATCTCAAATCTCTGTGTGCGGCGACGCAGAGGACTATGGGTACTATGGGTAATTTCTAGCTGGTGTCAGAAAAAAAGTTTCCGTTATTTATCAATTATAAATCTCTTTGATTTAACCCTGGATACATAATTTTCAAAAGTTTAATGTTTTTTTTTTTATCCCTGCTTTTAAAACTGGCACGAAAAAGGGTTCCAGCTTAGAAAATTCGTATAAAAATATTTGATTTTCTATGAATGAAGTTTCAAACTTCTCTTGGAAAAAATAGGGATGATTTAATTTGTAAAAATAAGTACGAAATTAAATTGCCTCTGACCTACGTGTATGATACAACGGAAACAAAAAGTTGTTAGCTCAAAACCTGGAAAATGTCTTTTGTCGTTTGCTAGTGTCAACAAAACCTTAACAAATTGGGGGTTGTAGCATAAAACATGATTAACTAAAAAAAAGAAGTGCTCGTCTTTCCAAAAAAAGGCACATGTAGTATCGTTTTCCCCGTTCTATCATGTACTTAAAAAATACATATGGTGATTTAAGGAGTTTTTTACCATTAAAAAAAATTTTTTTTAATGATGAAAAAGTTGTTACTTTACATGTTATACTTATGCCCCCGTAAACGAAGTTTCCGGGGTTATGCCCCCGTAAACGAAGTTTCTGGGGTATATAGTATTTTAGCTGTCCGCCTGTCTGTTTGTATATTTGTCCCCAAAACTTGAACCTTGCCCATAACTCTAGCAGGGTGGGACTATGGCTTTCATATTTCACAGGTGTATTTTTGTGACAAGACCTTTTTTTGTGTACAATCAATTTTGACCTTTTAACATTGACCTTGGAGTTTGACACACTTTTACACAAGAAGAATATGGAGATAACTAACAGTATTCAATATCAAAGTCCATTAATCAATACAAAATAGGAGCAGAGCAAACACGGACCTCCGAAACATCAGAGGTGGAATCAGGTGCCATGGAGGAGTAAGTATCCCCTGCTGACCGGTCACACCCGCCGTGTTCTCCTCGTCACGCTGGGAAATAACGGGAAAATCCGCCGCCAACTCAGTGCACAAATAACGGACTAACAAAAAGCACGAAAAACGTTAGTCAGCATTTGTCTCAATGATAAATTGCATTTGCTGACAAGGTCATTGTATCAACCATAGAATTTACAAAATGATGACCTCAAACGAGACTGCTGATATTCTTGTTTCATCAACTTGCTTGTCAAAAATTTACTTCGTTTTAGAATTGTTCATACGAAGAGCATGCTCTTGCGTATCGAATCAACCGAGATATATACACTCCGTATGCAGGTGATGAAGGTATATCGCTGCATAAGCAAGGAAAAGTTAAAGTCATCACATTTATCATATAGCTTGGTTGTTTTATTACCATTAACATCTTTTTCAAGTAAAATATCAAAGTATGAAACAGATGTGTCAGACTCTGTGGTATCTTTCATCTCAAGCTCACAAGGATATATCGTATCGACGTAGGAATGAAAATTACCATTGTTAATTGGCAATACATCGTCGATATATATAAATGTCGAGTTGAAGGCCACAGCAAGTGTTTTCTTCTTTTCACACATTAGATTTTGCACAAATTCTGCTTCATATGAATATAAAAATAGATCTGTCAATAATGGAGCGCAATTGGTACCCATGGGAATTCCAATATATTGTCGGAATACCTGGTCTTCACAACCACATAGATATTGTCAATCAGTAACTCAAGCATCTCTTTCACGTCAACTTCAGAGTAATTGTGTGTGCAATGTGTTTTAACAAAATAATCTTGCAAATGACCAATGTAAATTTACAAGTTCCGTTTTTATTAAAAAAGCAGCTGTCAATGATATCAAAAATCTTGGTTCACACCACTTCTTGAATATATTGCTGCGCAGTACACTTGAAGTTTTCCCTTCACCACTGTCAATATTTTAGTGAGGAGTAACGAAAGAGGTTTTGTTGAACATTTACTGGAACCCGCAATGTGTCTTTGTTTGGAATCCAATATATATAGGATAATTCAAATTCATTTTGGCTGCGTGGAATATTAAAAATATTTAAAACTGACATATAATTTTGAAGAATTTCTTCCTTAGAAAGGGAAGTATGAGTATAAGTAGGATTTCCATTTGTAGAATGAAATCAAAGTTCTTCTAAAATACAATTAATGAGACTTACAAACGAAGACAATGTTGTTACCTGCTTTGTCGACAGGGACCAGTACGTACTGATCATATAATCTATTTAATTTTTTTCAATTCTGAATTATTGAACACAGAATGAATGATGGTTTTCATATTACCCCTCAATCTTTTAATACGCGGCTTTAACATGGATCTGATACATTTAATCCATTCTGAAAAAAAATCAACAATTCCACACTTTTACTTTAGCATTAACTTTTGGACGGTATGTGCTAGAACTTTATGTCGAAGTAATGGCATGACTAAGAGTTCATTAATTTGCAAAGGTAGTGTCTATAAAATCTCAGAAGAAAGTGGATGTAACAGCAACCGTTGGTCAGGTGTCTGTGGGCTAAAAAGTGTTGAAAAGGGATTTTGTTGTTGTTTTTTTTTAAATTACTAGTAATAGATATCTCTAAAGGTTGAACTATTACTCACTCAGATGTAAATTTTTGCAAGTTTTGGAGGAATTTGTAATATCATCATAAGAACGTTCTCGATGTGTATGGTATTTCCTGTATATACAGGAAAAAGTATAGCACTATATATAAGGTAGTTAAAAAGTATGTATTTTAAAGCAGAATTAATGCATACAGATGTATATGTAATTTTAAAGGTAATAGCCAAGGGAATTGAATTTATATAGTTAAAGAACGTTGCTTTCGATTTTTCGAAGGTCCATGTTTGCTCTGCTCCTATTTTGTATTGTTTTATGGACTTTGATATTGAATACTGTTCGGTATCTCCATATCCTTCTTTCTTGCTTCTGTGCTATGTTTTTGGACTTGTAAGAATTTTCAAAGTTTATAGTTATCAGAAACATATCATGCCATTTTCGGAATAAAACCTTTGAATGATAAAGAAAAACACAAAAAAATAAAATCATAAATTTATGCTCCTAAATGAATAAATATTCATTGGGATTCTGCAAGCCAAAAATATATCCATACCAGATACATTGATTGTGATGCTACTTTTAAGATATGCATTTGAATATATGTTGGAAAGGATTAAATTACATAAAAAATTCCCCCTACTTGCACTTGAAAGTATGAAAAAAAATCAGGAGACATATATACAAGGTTTTATTGTATAAAAAAGTAGGGGGTCAAATGTCTATGACGGTCATTTCTCAACGTGTGTGAAGTCGTTGAATTAATGGTCTGGAATGTTTTTCTACAGTCGAAAAATGACCCTACTTGTCGTAGAATATTGACCCGGGGTCACTTTTCTACGTAGAAAAATGACCCCCTGGTCAATATTCTACGGGGGTCACTTTTCGTCGTTACACCGGCCTTTACATATAGCACACTCGCTTTAAAAAATTGATCGAAAACAAAGTCAACTCTTGAGTAGCGAATAGCAAGTAAGATGAAGATGCATTCAAATCATTTATTTTTCATATGTCATACTAAAATTCTGAACAACACAGAGATAAATCCTGCTCACTGATTCATCAGTGTTAGATTATGCAAGGTATTTCACCTCTGATACATAAGACAGTGATTTTTGTCCAGTATAATTACGTCATTGCATCCTGGGGTTTCCAGACAACGAAATACACACTCAATGTTGTCTTCAGTTTTATCATATCCAATCCTTGTTCCCATTGCGAATACCAAATCCTCGCGTCTGAAATACCCAAACGTACCAGCTGAAATAGAGTAGAACTTCACACTTGTTATGATCATCAATTTACAATGAAACATTTACAAGTAAAAAAAAATCTGATACCTTCTACTTTCTCCTCACAGGCACTTTAAACCTTTTTCTTCATCAATAAAATTATCACTATAGGTCGCCCACCTGGCGCAGTGGTTAGAGGGTCTGCACTAGAATCGCGATGTTAGGAGTCTATCCTTACGTCGCGGGTTCGAATCCCACTGTGAGAGGTGGAGACCGGTCCTTCTGATGAGACCATATAATCCGAGGCCCCATGTCGCAGTAGGTGCTGACACGAAAAAGATCCCTCACTGCTCAATGACCCTGAGTGCCGAGTATATATGACAAAATTTGTAGCTCTCCACCGGCAAGTGGTGGCGTCTCCATATGAGTGAAAAATTCTCGAAAGGGACGTTAAACAACATACAATCAATCAATGGAGAGTTTGAAACAACATAATTTGTGTTCCTGCTTGAGACCATTCATCCTCTCGAACTGAAAATTTTTCAAAATTGAATCGGAGACAAGAATTTGTCGTATACAACGGAGTTTACACATCTGTTGCATGTTTGGATATTTTATTAGAAAATGACTTTAATGGTAAGATAACAATTAAAAATTGTATGCTAAACTAAGCTGAGATTGTTTTTTTTTAAATAAAAACTGTCTGCTTTCCTTATTTAGACAGCAGTATACCTTTTAAGTTACCATCTACATATGGGGTTTATGTATCCCAGCTGATTCGCAAAAGCATATGCTGTACGTAAGAACAATTTCTCATCACGAAGCAAGCTACTGATAAACATGATGATGATGCAGGAATATCATCAGTCTCGATTAAAGTAATCATTTCGCAAGTTCTCTGGTCGATGGGATATAATGACCTTTTCAGCAAACACAATCTATCATTAACACACTGAATTGTTTTCGAGTTTTTCCTTTTGGCCGACTATGCCATTGAGCACACGTCAGTTGTGACCAGTCGGCAGAGGATTCTTACTCCTCCATGGAACCTGATTCCGCCTCTATGTTTGCTTTGTTCCCGATTTTTGTATTGTTTCAGGGACTTTTGAGCTGAATACTCTTCGTTATCTTAGACAAAATCCCTCGAGGGAGACAAGAATATTTATAAGTGTAAGAAAAACATTAAGAACAATTCACTAGTAAGGAAGATGGGCGCGTTTGGCGTGTGATCTGCAGGAATCATTTGTACGAAACATTTGTGGTTTAAATGTCCATGATTTGGTTGGCTGAACATACCGGTAGCTTGTCAGAGTTTACAAACACGTCCATAGGTTTTTTTTTCATTTAGTTTGAAAGTGTGAGATTGTAACATTTTTGTCCGTTTTTCCCAGGGGGTACTATAACATAGTAATGTTTCACAAAAAATAAACACCTAAAATATTTAATGCATATTGATGCATGATACGTGTACATGATGTACATTATATAGAATAGAAGATTAGAATTGATTTCGCTCGAGAAGCAAACTGAACCAAAATTAATCTAATTCAAAATTTTAATATATCAGTACATAAAACGAAACTGAGAAAATAAATGGTTGTTTGCATGAAAGAAAAAAAAATTAACGCCCCATGCCGGGCTCGAACCAAAAACTTTTCATGTCCAGTGCTCGGAAAAGGTAGCCCATTCTTCTGAGCTATCACCGCTACATATACACAAATGATTTTAAAAGGACAAAGAAGCACCACATTCACACATTTGGATTTTTTTGGGGAAAAGTTCGTTTTTCGTGGTCTCCGGGTCTTCTCTCCATTTTTTAAAAAAGTGTATTCGTTTCTTTGAATTAAAATACATGCAAATAACGTTTCAAAATCATGGAGAGAAGACCCAGAGATAGAAAAATTTTAGAAAAACGTGTTTAAAAATGTACCATTTTGTACCAAATGTCTGATCTGGCCAATTTTCAAGTTATTTTTTAGCAAATCAAAGCTCAATTTCGGGAAAATATTTTCCTTTCCTGTTGTACAGGAACCCGATAAATAAAAAAAAAAATCTTAAAATTTCATGTGACATGACGAAAAAAATTTCACTTTTCAATTACGCCCAGATTCCTGCCGAATGCCAATCAAAAGCGCCCTCGTTCTTTATAGCGCGTCCAACTTACCCCTAGTTCTCCCTGCAATGTCAACGAAAGCGCTATCACGAGCAATGTCGTATGATCTCAATTTTACCAAGTCTGGACAAAGTGCATCAGGTATCATAGCTGGTAAAACATTAACTCCAGGACCAACTGAAAATCAGAGTTTAACACTACAAGTTACTATCTACATTTACGTACTCAGTACTTTGTGTTTAGAACACCACCATTTTCTCATCGTTAAGTTTAAAAGTAAACGATGATGCCCGATGCGTTTATCTTTTCATCATTAAAGACTTATTTCTTATATATTTGGTGAGTTCGCAGTTTTATCAGCTATTTGATTTCAACGATACATTTTCCCATACTTACTTATTTCACATCCAAAGTCGAGTTTTTCTTCGCATGGTGCAATTTTCCACAGAAGCTGGTTTGTGACTTCGCCATATAGACAAAGAGTGGTTGCCTCGGTGATGTTGTCGGTCATATTATATATTGCTGCCATAGTTGTCGAATCAAAATTATTGTACTGAACTGCAGTGTTGTTGTGCCAAATCATCTCTCGATTGTTGTTCGGATTGTTGAAAATTCCTAACCATATTGCATTGTGCCCACTAAAGGAAATATATTTTTTTATGTTTAAATCAAAACATGAGAACTTCATTATTAAAATTTTGAATTTTTTTTTTTTATGATGATATAAAATGATTACAACTTTTAAAAAAAACCACAAATTTAAAATGATCCTATACAGCACCTGGCTTTCAAAGAATTGGTCAAAAATACATTGGTATTTTCGCTCCTGATGGACATCAGTGTCATCCCATACTTCCTACAGCAGAAATGAGCCTCGTCTCTCGATACCAGATGGTTTTTGAAAATGAAATAGTCTGTGTCGGCTACAAAATTAGAATTCATATATAATACGTATTCGCCTTGCTTTATAATAATTAAGTGATGACCATAACTATCCAAAGTAATTTTTTTTAAAGTTTTAAATTACTTAGTTCAGTTTATTGAAGTCGAGAGACATACATCTCATAGACAATATTTACAATCACACATTTTAACACATGTAATAATGAAATAAACATACAACATACATGAACAAAACATATATAATATTTCTGTTAATCTATAGATTTGATAAAGAGACTGTTCTTGATGCACTTGCTAATTGCAAAAATTTTCCTAAATTACATAATTCTTTTATGTTCTGTATACTAAGTAACTGTACCAATTTGAAGACGCTTGGTCTTCGGGAGTAGTAGGTTTTAATGTATTTTTGTCTTAATGTGTTGTAATGTGGACATTTTAACGCAAAATGGAATTCTCATCTTCTATGTTACCTAACAGACAAAGACTACATGTTCTATTATTTCTCAAAGTTTGATTATATCTTCCTTGTTCAATCATTAACTTATGCGCTGATAGTCTTAATCTGGTAATTGTTACTCTATATTTTAGATGTATTGTTTTACATAAATAAGAATGAAGGGTAAAATTATCTACAAGGTGTTGATAAATGAGACGTTTTGGTGATTTCCTAAATCTGACATAATGTTTTGGATAAATTCGTCACATATTCTCTGCTGTAAAATATCAATTGTGTTACTGTTTATACAATTGCTATCGAATAGTTCTGCTAAACCAAGCCTATGAAATTCATTTTTAATATTTACAATCCAGTCATCATTATTTTCTAACCTTTCTTGTAGACATGCTTGAAGAATGCAATTGTCACTATTTCTTAATTTTAACCAGTATTAAGGATTTTCTTTTTCCTGACCAAATCAAGAGGAAATTTACCTAATTCACCATAGTTATGGAATGGGTAGGAGGGAAATAGCAAATTTATGGTTTCCTGCCGAGGGAAACCATAAATTTGCTATTTCCTTCCTACCCATTCCATAACTGTATACTGTTATATGTATTCTGTCTAACCTTAAGTATTCTTTTACAAAATGAAAGATGTACTTTTTCTATATCTTTACCTTTGTGCCATCCCCAAATTTCAGATGCATAACACAGTACAGGGCTAATATAAGTATATAACATATCTAATTGTGTTTTAACATTAAAATTAAAATTTTTCATTCTATTCAAAACACTATACATGGCTTTTCTTCCCAGTGATGCAAAATGTTGTGTTTTTGCAAATTTACCATTAAAATTAAACAACATACCAAGATAATTAAACTCATTAAATACTTCTACAGTATTCCCATCATATCATAATGATCATATAATGATCTGATACATCTTACCCAAACTTGAATAGAAAGCCAACATTATTTTAACACAAATACAGCTCACTCTAGACATTATAGAATAATTGTACACTGAAATAAGTATTATATCGCTTTAAAATATTCTGCGTGCAAACTATCTTAATTAATTTTTACCGTTGTTAGTATTCTACCCCGTGTTTAGAGAATTGCAGGCACAATGTTGATTGAAAAGCAGTCATGCAAACTGCACGCAGCACCAGATCGGTTTATTACTAGAGGAAAGAGTTATTAACTTTATGCCAATTTCAATCAAAATCACTACGTGAAAAAGAAATCTTTCTGAACCGATTACGGACCATTGTAGAGTATTCAGCGGGACATCTTCTACTGGATACGATTCGACCGAGGAATCCCGGAAATATGATAGCGAAAGGAAAACTACATTTCTGGAATTTTGTGTACAAATCAAAATCAATGCAAGTAAACGGTGGTTGCTAAGATGGGAATCAAATTCATATATAGCCCGTAGTACCATGAAAAACGACTTTGTCTCCTAAGGTCTTTCCACCCTCGCAATTTTAATGGTTCAAAGTACAAAAACTGCATTTACTTGTATTTTCATTTAATATGATTTAAATTTAATAATTATTGCAAAAATAGATTGCCATATTATTTAAGATGGGAGACATATATAAACAGGAGTATATATGTCAACATAAAAAAATCGTACAGTTTTTGTAAACAGTATTATAAAATTCATGTAAAAACTGGTTCAAATCAATCAAATGCATAATTCTGATGCTGAAATTTACGAAATACTTGCTACTTATAAGACACTTTTGAATTTTGAATATCAGGGAAACTATTTTACATTGGAAATACAAGAAAGAATGAAGATACCTTAGAAGGAGTTATTGCCCTTGTCAACATTTTTGAAAACATCTATGATTTTTCTAAAAGATATTGTTCTACTGGGTATAAATTTAAATTAATAAGTTTTTGCAAGAACCTATGACATCATACGAGGATGGAAATATTTTAAGTATAATTTTAATTTTGTTATAATTTTGTTACATGCATTTGTTTCTAATAATAGACTCAATTACTTATGAATTAAGATTCCAAAGTACGTATTTCACTTTCTTTTGGGGAAATATTTAAAATATTTTGATTCGTTTTGTCAAAACCTCTCCATTCTATATTCTTAAACGCCTAGCTAGTGCTTTAAACACTAAAACAGCATTTTGTTGAGAATAGCTGGTTGGATTTCCTCCAATATCTGAAAATAAATATATAAAAGGGTTAAAACAATGAAAAAGAGAAACTGAACAAAATTGAAAAACTGACAAATATTTTAATCATCATAAAAATTCGGGTGTGAATTAAAGATCCGCTTCAAGAGTGAGCTCAAATATTTTGGTACTGTTTTTCTATATTCAGATTTGTACTTTAAATAAATTCCACTAAAACTTGCACAAGTGTTGAAGAAAGAAGTCAAACAAGGACATCGACAGAAGTTCGTACTTTATTGTTTTTCAAATGAATTTAAGCGAAAATATCACGTTTCCAGTCAAAGACAAAGACATGTATTTAGTGATTCATATATACCAATTGTTAGTCCATTATTTAAACACTGAATTGACGACGGATTTTTTCCGTTGTATCATGGCTGCGGTGTTTTTCCTTTGAAGTCAAGTGTACAATAACTGGAGATACACCGATGGGCGTATCCAGAAAAAAACTGTGCCGTGTATATGGGCGGAGCCAGCAAAAACTGTGCCGTGTAAATAAATTATTGAACACCATTGGCGTCGGAAGGAAATTGAAAGTGGGGGAGCTAAGTGTAAAAAAAAAATTATACCTTCAGAAAAAAACCTGACAAGCAAAAAAAAAAAAAAAAGGAAAAATGTCCCAAACTCGAAAATCCTATTTCGTGGGGGGTGGGGGGGGGGGGGGGGGTAGTTAGGTCAGAACTTCAGTACCAAAATTTTTTCCATAAACCACCACTTCCCCCATTTTTAACCTATACTACGACGTGTCTGTGGAAAGTGGGGGGGCTAAACCTACGAAACAATGTTCAATGTCTATACTAAGTATATATTTGTAAAAAAAAAAGTGGGGGGAGGCTAAGCCCCCCCCCCCCCCCCCCGCTTCCGACGCCTATGCCAAGGCGATTTCATCATTTTAAATTACATGTATATTGAATTTGAATTACAGAATGAATGGGCTTTGTAATATACAAATGCAAAATTTCTGCAAGTGAAATAAAAAGTCTTTCTCATAAATTACAGTACGTATATATCCCAAACTACGAAATGATTTTACGGAGCTCTTCAAATATTCAATCCACACCAACGAGAAATCAATTTCTTGACATGAATTCCACACACAAATATATTAAAATATCCCACCTATTGTAATATAGGGCATACGCTGTACTGCATCCACAGATGAAGAGTAATTGACCCTGACACAGCGTTTTCGTGAATACGACAGCTCTCGAATATGTCAAATGATCAACGGGTATCTTTTTTCTTGATTTTGAATTTACCTTCTTCAATTTTTTTTTTCTTCTTTGATATCCAAAGGTTTTTTGTGAATTTCATTAACAATCCAGGGACGGATCCAGCAATTTTTGAAAAGGGGGGACGCTCCAGGTCGGTGCCCCCAGCACTCATGCACAGAATCACACCTCGGCCACTTTAAGTCCGTAGCTACATCTAAAAGAAAGAGGGCCTCCAAAAACAGTTGACAAGGAAAAAAAAACCCTTGCACCACACTCTAAAATCCAGGGGGGGATGCTGCAATCCGACGTCCTTTCTCATGAACACACGCACGTAAAATGTTTATTAAAAATACTGACAGAAAGGAGAGATTATCTATGCGTTCACCTGACAAAAACTACATTTTCTATCGGTGTAATTAAAAATCATGCTGAAAATCTGTGACATGACGTTTGATTGGCCATGATACAAGAAAGTTATTGAATATTTATTATGGTGTATCCTGATTTATTCGGACGAAGGGCGGAGACTCGTGCTTTGCACTCGTCACCGCCCTTCGTCCAAATAACTCAGGATACACCATAATAAATATACAATAACTATTACTTATTTTCTGATCATGACAACGAGCACACGGCGGGTGTGACCGGTCGGCAGGGGATGCTCAATCCTCCATGGCACCTGATCCCACCTCTGATGTTTCGGAGGTCCGTGTTTGCTCTGCTCTTATTTTGTATATTGTTTAATGGACGTTGAGATTGAATACTGTTCGTTATCTCCATATCCTTCTTTCTTGAAAGCGGGAGACAATAATTATCAATGGCCTTTCCATCGTACAGTCTATGAATTTAAATCACAAAAACATTTGTGTTTGTAATGTAAATCTGTTTGGACCATTGTTATACACTTTCTAAAGAAAGTTCGGGTATGTTGTTGATACTCATGTCCGTCCGTCCGTCTGTCACACTTTTCTTCCCTGAACTCCCCCTACATTTTACACAGTAGCCTAATCATCTTTTGGGAGATGGTTAGTGGTGTCATGTAGATGTGCAGTAAGGTTTCGGAATTTTCATTTTGCCCCGTGGGGTCAAATGGGGGTCGAAAAATGATGTTTTTTATGCAAAAAGCCCCGTCTTCCCTGAACTCCTCTTACATTTTACACAGTAGCCTAATCATCTTTTGGAAGATGGTTGGTGGTGTCATGTAAATGTGCATTAAGGTTTCGGAATTCTGATTTTGCCCCGGGGGGTCAAATGGGGGTCGAAAAATGACGTTTTTATGCAAAAAGTCCTGTGTTCCCTGAACTCCTCTTACATTTTACTCAGTAGCCTAATCATCTTTTAAGAGATGGTTGGTGGTGTCACGTAGATGTGCAGTAAAGTTTCGGAGTTTTCATTTTGCCCGGGGGTCAAATTGGGGTCGGAAAATGATGTTTTTTATGCAAAAAGCCCCGTCTTCCCTGAACTCCTCTTACGTTTTACACAGTAGCCTAATCATCTTTTGGGAGATGGTTGGTGGTGTCATGTAAATGTGCATTAAGGTTTCGGAATTCTGATTTTGCCCCGGGGGGTCAAATGGGGGTCGAAAATGACGTTTTTTTTATGCAAAAAGCCCCGTCTTCCCTGAACTCCTCTTACATTTTATTCAGTAGCCTAATCATCTTTTAAGAGATGGTTGGTGGTGTCACGTAGATGTGCAGTAAGGTTTCGGAATTTTCATTTTGCCCGGGGGTCAAATGGGGGTCGAAAAATGATGTTTTTTATACAAAAAGCCCCGTCTTCCCTGAACTCCTCTTACATTTTACTCAGTAGCCTAATCATTTAAGAGATGGTTGGTGGTGTCATGTAGATGTGCAGTAAGGTTTCGGAATTTTCATTTTGCCCCGGGGGGTCAAATGGGGGTCGAAAAATGACGTGTTTTATGCAAAAAGCCCCGAGATGGTTGGTGGTGTCATGTAGATGTGCAGTAAGGTCTCGGAATTTTGATTCTGCCCCGGGGGTCAAATGGGGGTCGAAAAATGGCGTTTTTTATGCGAAAAGCCCCGTCTTCCCTGAACTCCTCTTACATTTTACTCAGTAGCCTAATCATTTAAGAGATGGTGGTGTCATGTAGATGTGCAGTAAGGTTTCGGAATTTTCATTTTGGCCTTGGGTGTCAAATGGAAGTCGAAAAATGATGTTTTTTATATAAAAATCCATATCTTCCCTGAACTCCTCTTACATTTTAGACAGTAGCCTAATCATCTATAGGGAGATGGTTGGTGATGTCATGTAGATGTGCAGTAAGGTTTCGGAATTTTGATTTTGCCCCGGAGGGTCAAACTGGGGTCGAAAAATGACGTTTTTTATGCAGAAAGCCCCGTCTTCCCTGAACTCCTCATACATTTTACTCAGTAGCCTAATCATCTTTTAAGAGATGGTTGGTGGTGTCATGTAGATGTGCAGTAAGGTTTCGGAATTTTCATTTTGCCCGGGGGGTCAAATGGGGGTCGAAATTTGTTTTGTTTTTTTTAAATATCTGATATGTTTAATCACCCTGCTTCCAAAAACTTCAAAATTTGCATTTTCATGTGGATTGCAAAAAGGGGCCGGAAAAAATGGCCCCTCCCTAACCCAGAGGGTCATGATTTGTACAAACTTGAATCTACGTGCCTCTTGAGAATGTTTCCATATTAATCATGCTCTTGTTGTTCTTGAAAAGGAATGTGCAAGGTGAAGTTTTTGATGCAGTTGAATAGCTCTCACTAATACATATCAGCAAATTCAGCATATTAGATTTGATGAAAAATATCTTGAATGATTTAATGAAACTGAGCTTAACGCTTTTATAAAGAAAAGAGAGATCAAAGGAAAGGCTGAGGTTAAAATGTTGTTGCAGTTGAAAAGCTTACATCAGTATGAATTTAATAAATTACTATTAGCAAATGAAGTTTGATAAAAATATAATTAATGGTTTATTTAAAACTTAGATAAACACTAATTTTAAAAAGTGAGGTCAAGGTCAAGGAAAAGTCACGGTCAAAATAAGTTGATGCATTAATAGTTCTCAGCAGTATGTATCAGCATATGAAGTTTGATAAATATATCTTGAATTGTTTATTCAAAACTGATCTAGACATTAACTTTGGAACAGTGAGGTCAAGGTCACAAGAAAGGTCAAGGTAAAAAAGAGTGAATCATTGTAAAGCTTACATCACTATATATCATCATGTGAAGTTTCACTACAAAACGTGAATGGTTGTTTTAAAATTAAGCTAAACACTAATTTATAGAAAAGTTAAGTGAAGGTCAAAGGAAAAGTCAAGGTCAAAAAATGTTGCTGCAGTTGGATAGCTTACATCAGTATGCATCAACATATGAAGTTTGATTAAACTATCTTGAATAGAATCTTTTAAACTGAGCTAAACACTAGTTTAATAAAAGCAAGGTTAAGGTCAAAGAAAGGTCAAGGTAAAAAAATGTTGATGCAGTTGCAGAGTTCTCCTCAATATCTATCAGCATATGATGTTTGATAAAAATTTCTAGAATAGTTTCTTTGAGCCGAAGGAAAGACAGATGGAAGGGTGGAGGACGGACATGACAAAAACTATACATGTATTCCTAATCATGGCATGGCATAGAAAACTTGAATCTACATTATATGAGGATGTTTCCATATCAAGATTATACAAGCAAATTCAAAGAATTGTGGTCCTCTGCTTTCTGTGTTTTAGTGAATGGGATGCCATAATTTATGGCAGATTGTGTGTCAAATATGTACCCCTATCATATGTCAATTTTTGAAAATTAGGTCAAAGGGGAAAAATCATAGCATGCTCGGAAATATTTTGTTGCCGGTAATGTACTTGTCAAATATTAAAGTCCTATCTCTTTTCAATCAAAAGTTATAAGGAAATACTAGTATAATATTTAAGAAAAGTAGGTTAAACTTCTGATGAAGGTCACACAGTCGAAAGTCATGATATATTTAGCAAAGTCTTTTCACATGTAATATACATGTATAATTTGAATGCCCTATCTTTTTTCTTTCAAAATAATCAATTTAATAAAATAATGTGATTTTTTTTAATGTGAAAATTTTCACCCCAAGAAAACCATTGTCAACCGAGGCGCAGCCGAGGTTGACAATGGTTTTCGAGGGGTGAAAATTTTCAATGTTACACTCAACTACATGCTATATTTATTATATTATACTGAATGTTTTATACAAATACATATAGGCCTAACAGTGAACCGTGCGCGCATAAATTCTGCGCAGTCGCTATTTTTTGGAATACCACCCGTCGTCAAGCAATGTTGACTGTTGCTACGCTGGAGGGCGTGGCTTCATTATTCAGCGGGTAATAGTGTTTTTAACAAATGTTTCTCGACCAATCAGATTCAACTAATTTACATGAAAGTATAATATTATTATATGTTATGTACATTTGTGTTATCAGCAGTCTACATTATTATATAAATACTGCATGTAGTTGAGTGTAACATTGAAAATTTTCACCCCAAGAAAACCATTGTCAACCGAGGCGCAGCCGAGGTTGACAATGGTTTTCGAGGGGTGAAAATTTTCAATGTTACACTCAACTACATGCAGTATTTATTATATTATACTGAATGTTTTATACAAATACATATAACAGTGAACCGTGCGCACATAAATTCTGCGCAGTCGCTTTTTTTTGGAATACCACCCGTCGTCAAGCAATGTTGACTGTTGCTACGCTGGAGGGCGTGGCTTCATTATTCAGCGGGTAGTAGTGTTTTTTAACAAATGTTTCTCGACCAATCAGATTCAACTAATTTTACATAAAGTATGATATTATTAATTATCGATCAGACGCATTTTGGGGACTGGGGCTAAATTTCTTTCCCTAAAATGGTAACTATTGCATTCTTGGATTTTATATGATATTGTTTCATATCTTTTACGTTTGATTCAAATTGTAAATATTGCAACAGAATAGAGAATCTATTCTTTAAACACTGAAATTCTTGTTATTCTTTTATCCTTCTGAACTCCGACTTATGTACGGGACTAACCCCTAGACAGTCCCGTTACACATGCAATGATATGTACACCACACTGCACGTGCAGTGCAATCTAAAAATGATAATGGTAAAACTAGTACTTAAGTTGGGTACGTGACGGAAGCCCACTGTGATGCAGGTGTTGAGATACATGTAAAGTACAAGAACAAATTTATAATTATCATTTTACAAAATATGTTTTATCTTAACTTTGCCATCTAGGCCTATTTCCCAAAACAGACAAATAGGGTGTGTTTGTGTGTGTGTTGATGGGAGAGTGGTGGGGGTTGATTAAATTGATTGGGTATATGGCAGCTTTTGAGGAGTTTCTGCCTAAAGTTTGCACATTTTGAAAAATTCATCAAAAACGCTTTACACTAATTTGAATAATATTATTTGTTGTTGATCTATATGAGAAAATAGATATTATAAGTTCCAATTATGGGCCAAAAATTTATAAACCCCCTTTATCAAACCAATTAAATTCTGTTGTTTAATTTCAGACTGGTAATGAATTAAGAGTATGAAATACCTATAAGAGGCCCATGGGTCACATGGTCACCTGAGCATGTATTGTGTTCGATTTGGTGAATACATGTATTATGTAAATTATTGAATTATATTGACTTTTTCCATGGTGAAGCCCAATTTGAAGGAGTGTGCATTTAGAGGCAAGCACCTTAGTGCGGGTATTACTGTCTCATGACAGCATCTAGATGGGTTTTAGCGTCGAAAATGTGTTGTTTCTTTCTTATCAAATAATGTTAAGCTTCCAAAGAATAAGAGGACACACGGTGTTTATAATGGTATTGTTTTTCACGGTATACCAAACTACTGAGTGCGGAGAAAACCAGTGTGTAAAAGTCCCAACGATGCACTTAGACGCAGCGAACAAAATTTGGAATTTCCTGCGGGTCAATGACAATCTGATAAAGGTAAGGATGTCACCGTGGAGTACTATCTGTTTACAGTGATTCACAAGACAGTGTAGGTCAAAGCTTTATCTTGACTTACTTTAAGTCGATATTATCTATATTTAGGCCTAAGAGGACATTGATAGAAGTTGATCGACATCTATTCTTGTTGTTGAGTTTTATAGGGGCTTGGACTCAAATTTGAAGTTAATATTTTCTCAATTTTTAAATGTTCCTATTGCATTTCACGTAAAAATACATGTATAATAATAAAAAAAATTATCCGGAAGTTACACACTCAACGGGCCGATTTCATTGAAAAAAATGAATAATTACGCTAAATGATATTTTATTTTATTTTTTAAGTTTTATCACTTTTTACACTATGTCTTAGTAGAATAATTCGAAATTCAAAAAAAAACATGGACCTCATGAAAAAAATTATTTTTCAGCACATCATTTAAGAAAAGTAGAAATTTTGTAACCAACTCACCTGTATTGTCAGTACGTGCTCAGTGGTGTGTACAGATTTGAACACACGCGGTGAAACGTAAACATTAATAATAACAGAGCTCATGCAATAACTTTAAAAACATTTACGTTTCACTGAGTGTATTCCATTTGTTAAACTCTGCAAACGCCACTGAGCATGGACTGACAATATCTATAGGTGAGTTGGTTTTGATTTCTCACATTTCTACTCAGTGTTTTCTGGATTTTATAGTTTTATTGTTTTTCATTGATTCACAACAAATTTTCTACTTTTCTTCAGTGAAAGCAAACATGTCACGAAAATTGTCTCGAAAATTGTAAAACCTAAGGCTTTAGTTTTTAGTACTCTTATTTTTTGCAACGATGGCAGTGAATCCAGATTCATTTTTTAGAGTGATGTCATAGTTGGTTTGGGAAGCCATGATCCTCGAGTTGCAATAGAAACAGCACTTCTGTGGCTAGAGGGATGGGCAGATATCATTGTTTTTTCTGGTCATTCCGGTAATTTAACAGCAGGTGAGTAGATTTCATTAGTCTGAGAACAATTTTAAATCTGTAAGCAAACTATATCTTTGAATCAATTTATGACATCTTTGATTCAAAATAAATATGTTTAGTTCAACATGCAGGAAGAGATGTATTAATTGCTTTGGCCAAGGTTGTGAGTCTATCCTCTGCCTCAGTCAGTTTATCATAAAAATAATTGTTCTGTTTTCGGACCATTAACCACAAAACCTTTATTGAATTGGGGTAAACTTTCTTTTGTTGTTGCCCATGATCTAAGAATGCACATGGTCTTCAAGCAAGGTCATACCCTTAAGGTTTCATCAAAGGTCAGCATGTCCAAAAATATATTTTTGCAATAGTTCCAAAACTATGTGGTTTACTCCCTATATATAAAATTGAAATTTTTACCACACCCCCCCCCCGCAGTAAAAAGTCAAGATTAATATCCCCAAGCGCTCAATGACCCAGAATGTCGAGTAAAGGTCAAAATTTGAAGCCCTTCATTGGAACATGGATGGTGACATCTCTATTGCGTGAAAAATTCTGGAATGGGGCGTAAAAAAACATACAATCGATCCAGGGGCGTAGCAACCGGGGGGGCCAGCCCCCCCCCCCCCCACTTTTTTCCCCAACCTTACTTATACTATAGGAAATGTTAATTGAAAGCCTGGTTGGCCCCCCCACTTTTAGTGATGTACCGAAAATGTAGTATTAGAATTGGTACTAAAAGTAGTTGACACTGAGAAAAAGTTTTTTCTACTAATCCCCCCCCCCCCCCCCCATTTCAAGGACCCATTTAGTCATACTACACGAGTCCTTCCGTTTGTACGTCGGCGCACCACCACCACCACGACGAAATAGGATTTTCGACTTTGGGCAATTTAAATTTTTCCATTTTTTTTTTTTTTTTTTTTTTGCTTGTCAACTTTTTCAGGTAAGTAAAAAAAATTTTTTCTGCCGAGTAAAGGCTGCCCCCCCCATGGATGGTGACATCTCTACTTTCAAAAAACGATGCTACGCCACTGCGATCATCATTATCCCCAAAAAAGTATGGAACCTGAAGCTTTACCCCCACCCTTCCCCATTGAGTATCTGAAAAAGTGATAATTCAAGAATATTTTTGACGTAACGGTCGGAGTACATACGCAATTTTTTATTAATGGTCTCATCTACAATACATATTTTTTTACTTGTCAGGACGATGGAATAAATCAGAAGCAGAGGTTTTTCGTGGTATCGCAGTATCTATGGGCGTGCCTTCATGTAAAATATATACTGAAATCAGAAGTCAGAATACAGGTGAAAATGTCCGCTTTACTTACAAACTACTGAAGACAAAATACAGAATTCCTCAACGAATAATACTTGTACAGAAACCTCACATGGGCAAGCGAACTGCCGCTACATTCTGGAAACAATGGCCACAAGAATCGAACACACCCGAAATATCATTGGTCGTTAGGACTCTGAGGATAACACTGGAACGCTACCCAAGCGATGACGTCGGAGATTTAAGTGATGTAATTTCCAAAATGATGGGATATTTACAGCGTTTACCTTTATATCATAACCTTGGTTTCCAGGTGTATGCTTACGTCCCTGATGATGTTTGGGAATCATATAGACTTCTTCAGCAAACGAATATATACAACTCTCATTTAGTTTGAAATATGAACAGTTATCTCACGCGTGCTCAGTTGAAACATGAAAACTAAGAGAATAATAGAAATACTTTTTTCGAAGGGAAAGGGTCGACATAAACATTATATACCCATCTTTCTTCTTCGGGTAAAGCAAGGGGTTATTTCTCTTTTGCAGTGTTTAGATCCGCCACTAATTTCCCTTCTCGGTAATTTAGTTCGGGGTCGAGATTCATGTCAAAATATTTTAAGAAGATTTTTAAAAATTACCTTCTTTAAAAATGTATTTTTAATTTATTTATTAAATACATGTGTATATTTTATATAAATTATTACATAATTCTCAAGAAAAGAAGTCGAGACTTAAATATTTCGATATAATTTCCTAAAGGACTGTTAGGGAGCGAGGGTGGCTAACGGAATAGCCACATAAACATTGCGAAAAGTGGACTGATGTTCATGTTGTACAGGTAACAATAGTCATGTTTAACAATTTAATGTAACTTTTGTTCAGGCTCTAAACCTGTTACACGGTCAATAATTCTTTTCTTTTACATATAAAACTGTCAATTGTTTTTGACAAACCTTCGACAGTTTATGAAATGTTTTGTAATGTTTACGATCACAGATCGCGCGATTCATCCAAAATTAGGAAATGTGTCATTGTGAAAACCCAATATCCAGAGAGGTTGTATTCACGCCCTATTCAGCCCTTAAAGTTTAAACATAGAGAATATTTAGAATATGTATACTGTGTTTATTTTGTTTACTTATAATTTTCTCATCAATCAATCAAGGATTGTAAAAAGAAGGAGAACTGGAGGGGGGCTTCATTTCATTTGAGTTTTGCCCCCCCCCCCCCCATATGTACATGCGACAAAACAACAGGTATAATCCTTTAATGTATGAAAAATAGGATCAAAATTGTCCCAATACATGTTTACGTTTACTTGTACCATACTCTCATTTCCCAGATTGTGTATTTTCATTGGTATTCTTCATATTTCTGGTCAGTTCATACCTTTTCATACTTTGCAGGTAACTATTACATTGGATTAATCTAATTTATAAAACTCAATATTCTTGACTGACTCCTAGATCATTTTTTATGTGTCCTTTTTTCTGAGTCAGTGCATCAATTTAATAAAAAAATTATACAATTTTTAATAGCTATTAATTATCCTTGGAACTATATACTATGTACATGTAGAATCAGTGCTGTCATCAGTCAGATCAGTGCAAAGGCATAAACTAATACTTGGTTATAAATGCAGAAACTGAAAAGGGACATTGATTCATAAGGCTGCTCATCTCTGTCTATGCATGAATTCTGCTAGGTTTCTCATTGTTGATATTTATTTGTTTATTTAGTTCAACATTGTAAATTTGTCCTTGAGTTAGAAGTATGGCTATGAAACAGTTCTGTTTACTTTAGTGGTATATCATCATTTAAAAAAAAAAGAGAACCTGGGATACAATCAGGAACTGGCCTGGACAGTGGGGGTACAAGATATGATCCTACTGGCTGAGATTATATACAGGTGATATTTAATTAAGAACTTATCTTAAGTCTGGTGTCTCTCCTGAGCATATTAAAACTGTTGTGACATTGTTAGTCTTTTGTGTGGTACAAATCCTGTCTTGATCAAAGGCTTATTTTTCTGTAAAGTGATTGCATGCCCTTAAAATATTTAAACATTAAGCAGGTATGACTTATTTACTGCAGACATAACCAAGATATTCTTAAAAATATCACCAATCCATATCCGAAAAAGAAATCCCTCGCTGGATTGAAGTAAGATATTGCTAACAGTTGATTTTTTGAACTGCATACTAGTATATTGTGGGGTCAAATTTTCATTAAACCTTTTTCCAGAAAATGAAAATCGGAATTACAATTGTATGTTTTTGGTTTGCAAGTGCACTACTGGGGGTAGGTTGGGGGGGGGGGGGGGGGGGGGGGGGGGAGGTGTGTTCAGGGGCTCCTCTCCCCCCTGGAATTTGCATAGATTTTCAATTTATATACTGAACCAAGCAAAAGTGACCTTGGACTTCCCTAGAAAAATGTGGGCCCTCCTTGAAGACTACCCTCTACACTCCACAAAACAGGTCAGTGGTCAATATCATTAAAGACCTCAAATCTAATTTAAGAAGCAAAGGTTACATGCATCAATATAAAGTATATACGGAAATTTTCTGTAAATTTCATTTTTAAAACACATATATATTTTAATAGCATTTTTACAAAAATTACTAATCAATTAAAAGTTATTAAAAGCTTGCAAAAAGTTATTAAAACTTTAAATTTTTTGGCTTGTCTGAACAAATTTTAACTTTATTCTTAATCCTTGGAAAAGTGGAAGATGTGTTTAGCATGATAAGTATTGCTTTTATCAAGAAAAATAATTTTATTCATAAAATGAGAACCCTTATAAAATTAATGAATACGCCTTTCCTCATCGATTTAAAATGTGGGCCACTTTTTATCTGCACAAAGGGGTACTGGTATGTGATAGTGCATTGTGCAGAAAAATTGCCTCAGGAATTCTTTTGAGTATGGAGCCACGGTATTACTACTCTTGTGCTGTCAAGCTTTTCCTGGCTTCCCGTCCTTCATTTATTGATTGTTGGCTTTCAGTGTTTAGTGTGTCGGGTAGAGAGATAATTAGTATGCATAGAATTCTTTGATGTAGCAGATTCTTTTGATTAGATAAACGTTTGCTGCAGCAAAAACTTTTGTGACACAGACTGAAAAGGTCACATTTTATGCATAAATAATTCGATTTCAATCATTTCAATAGAGTAGTTTGTGTAAGAGTTTCTTTGATACCATTTCATAGATTTATCAGAACTAATATAAAACATTGCATATATTTTTTTTCCTTTCTAAAATTAAAAAGAGCATACAATTCACTGGGAACACTTGGAGGCTTCACATAGAATAAGATTCTTGTTTTATGATGATGATTTAAAATGATAATGGTGACAGATTGAGAAGAATAGAAAAATGAATATAGTACAGCATTACCATATTGAGACACTTTAACTAATTTTTAAAATTATTCTATATAGAGGCATTGCTATTAATTATCAAAACTCCTCCTGATTTTGATGCTGGTTTGTTTGGAATAATTTTTTTTTTGTAAATTACTGTATTATGACATGTCTAAAATAATATTAAACTGCATGAACATAAATAGACATTGGACCCTGTGTAGGGAGCAGCCTTGACAGCTCTTATGTACTCTGACTTCAGAACTTTGACAATGTCACACTGTAAAATCACATTTTTTCGAGAGGTCAATTTTTCGTGGTTTGAGGAAAATATATTGGTTCATGGGGATTTGATTTCGTGGTTGAAGAATTGTCTAGTAGTAATATATATTAAAAATTGCATTTCGTGGTGTATCTTCATACCTTGAAATCCATGAAAATTAACCCCCCACAAAAATTAGTGATTTCACAGTACTCTGGTTTTCATTCAGATTTTTTCTGTAATTGGTCAACATTGTGACCTTGGAAAATCGGAAAACATGGAGGATCAGGTCTGAATTTGTCTGTGGTTGTTCCTTTCAATAATAGATTGGGTAAAATTCCAGAGAGCTGGCAACTAGCTATAGATAGGTCTTTGATGTGAGGAAAAATCAATGGAATGGGTTTATTTCTAACAGTCCTGTATTTATCCTTGTCTCCTTATATTGAAAAGAAGCCATTGCAAGCTTTGAAAAAAAACCTAATTATTCTGTTTGTGTGAAGTAGTAGGTCATGTGACAAGGATGGCTAGAGGGTAGGACTATATTGTCAGGAAGAAATAATTAATAAAGGTTTTATCAGAAATCTTGTCTGGGTCTTATTGCCATGGTAATACCACTAGACTATCTCAGGAAATGATTGCTCTAAAGACCTTCTCTTGGGAACTTCATGGTCGAAATGTATTCTGAAGATCTAATTTTTCAACTATAGTGTACTCCACTTTTTATTGCAGTGTAGGTGTTCTAGTTATAGGAGTAAGGAAATGGTTTTACTTATGGTTAAAATGTAAAAAAAAAAATCAATTCAATGAACATTTTATGGACAAATTTAGGTACTTTTTTAGCATTGAGAATAGATGAGCATGTGAGAAATGGCAAAGCATCTCATGCAAGATATATCATTGTTAAACCTTTAAAAATTTGTTCCTATACAGGGTTCGACACTAACGCTATCCCGCTGGCCACCAAAAATTATCGGGCTACCAAACATTCTTTAAACTTGCCCTGTAACATTTTAAATTAATAAGTTCAAGAAAAATAATTATAACTTACATACAATATACCTGATAATAGTTAAATTTATTTTCAAATATGTTTTATCAGATAATTATATTTTTTTAGTCAAAAATGTATACTTTAAAGGTGATTCAAAATACCCTAAATGATATAAATATAGTTTTGAATTTAAAAATGTCTTAGGTACAATATATGACATATAATTTACACCCAAAATTCAGCCAAAATGCAGATTTTGTTCTTATTTTCAAAATTTCTCTGCAGGCCCCCGTTTCTATGCACAAAAATGCCATTCAAATCAATTCCAGGGTGTTTTGCGACTCGGCAAAAACATGAACAGGGCTAGTATTAGAATGTGTGTGTGGGGACTATGGTTTTAAAGTTAGTGTCGATCCCTGATACAAATCTATACGACAAAAAGTCTAACATTTCTAATGTTTTGCTGAGCGGGCATAACAAAAATCAATGTTTGACCGCTGGTGAGATGTTGGAATTCAATATTTTGATGTTTTAACATAATAGCAAATCATCTCTTTATTCGTTGGTGTTCAACAGTGATGGACCTATATGTTACATCACAATGACAGTACAAAAACATGTATGTCAAAAATGTTTAACAAAACATTTATTGACTTTTTTATAAACTGCTTTGTAGTTCATGAACATTGGTCAGCCTAACGACCTCAGAAGTTTTATAGTACTGTAATGCAAAACGCATGTTTGAATAGCAATAAATGTATAATATTATCAGTTAACATGATTAAGACTGGATATGTCTTCACAACCACCAAAAATTTTGGTACATTCGTCATGTAATTTTTAATAAATTCCAGCATTATCCAATTGCAATTTGAAACACTTCTAGTTATGCTTCAGGGAATGTGCAGTTTACGATTAAGAACTTGTGCAGAGTCAGGCCACACATAAATATATATGTTTACAATGAATTGGATGATGTGAAATAAAATGCATACACCTTCATATGATTTAATTTTCACAAAGTCCAAAATTATTTTTACTAAGCTTTAAGAGCCTCATTCATAACCTTTCTCTGTGATTTTCTGCTCTTAAATTATATCTTGGTAGCACATTGTGATGTTTTAGCTTTCAAGAGTTTATCTTCATATTTCTGTGCATGACTATGAAATACCATTTGAATCAATTCCAGAGTGTTTTATTAGAAAAATACAGCTTATGTGAATGTGTGTGTGTTCGTTTATGGTTATATGTACTATGTGAAATAGAAGTGCCATAATTTGCACTGGGATCGGTGTTGAATGCAGCCTTGATTTAGAGATATGCTTTTTGCGAGGGGATGCTCTGCTTTGCAGTGCCCTTGTTCAAATTAAAAATTGACGTATGCATAATAGCAAATCATCTCTATATATTGATGGTCAGGTACAAGCCATTTGTGAGTGAAAAACAAAGAAAAAAATATGTTAATCACCTAAATATATACTTTTTTTTTCATAAACTTATCTTTCATTACACATAAATCACTTTTTATTTGCGAGTTCATGAAGCATAAATTGTGCCAACCCAAGAAGTTTATTATAGTAATAGTACTAATACAGCATATATTGAATAGCTAATACAGTCATACCTGTAAAAAGATAAGTTACATTATGAAATTGTAAACTATATCGTAATAATTTAGTAAATAATACAGTAAAACTATCTCGCGATATTGCAGATAAGGATATAGTGAAAATTATCTTGATCCCTAGTATTAATATAAATTTAACAAATTCTTACATGGATATAACGAATTACGGATATAACAAAGTAATTTCATAGGTGCCAGTGATTTCTTTATAACCGAGTTTTACTGTAATTTCCAGCATTATACCCAATTGCAATTTGATAGAACTAGCCACCAATTCTCAGATTAAATTCCCCTTTGTTGGCCTCCCTACAAAAAAAAATGGGTTACTATCGTAGTAGCTTTGTTGGCACATTTGCAGGAGTATCTATGCCAGGTATTGCTCATTCATAACCTCTCTGTGTGATTTTCTCACTTCACCTTCCGATCACAGCTGGATGTGTAGAGGTACTCTATGTACTGTTAGTGTGTGTATGTTATGGTATTACCCCGGAGGTTACCTGCATTTCTACCTGTGTTATACTATTGCAGAGAACAAATATTGTCTGTACTACCTGTGTACATGTATAGGTAGGTACAGTATATGTTCAGCTTAGGTTGAAGGAGTCAAGCATGTCAAGCATCTGGTAAAAGTGCATTTTTTTGAAAAATATATGTATAATTTTTCCCTCTGAAAATTATGCAACATTTTTGAATAACTTGGTTTGGACTTTGTAGATAGTGCCTTTAAGATGTAGCCGGAGGATTAACAAACCAGATATGGACCAAAAATCAGAGAGACAGAGCTGACACCAGAAGACAGAGCTATCCTACCTACCTTGATATATACGTACCTGATCAGGTAGTTCAAAGTTATCACATATTCATCATCAGAACATGTATAATTATTATCTAAGGTAATTATTATGAATAATAAGATATCATTTATTCCGTTTATTCCTTTTACAATATATCTGAGGAATTTATTTACTGTAATCTCATTAGAATCATCACTGGCTAAATGGAATTGCTTACTTTGATTTTAAAATGAGAAAAATATATACATATATAAACTTCATCAAGTTCCTTTCCAAATTCACGATATGTGCAATTTGACATCTTCAAGTCATTTAGCTATACATGTACTAAGTAAGGTACTCATATAGAATTAGAAATCCCAACTATAATGATGCTGCTTATGTGTGATTTTTTTTACCATGTCATAGTTAGCTGGTAAGCACCTCATTTCAGTCATTTGGATTTCTAAAACTATGAATTACAGTGAAACCTCATTATCTCAAACTCAGAGGAATATAAACTATAAGACATCCGAGGATTCCGGATTTACTGGGTAAAATACATGAAGAATATGTAGTTAGGACTTAGAAATCACTTTGACAGACCCGTGGTATTCGAGATGTCAGTGTTTGAGATACCAAAGTTCAACTGTATTGCCATTTCGTAGGTTTTTCTTCATTAATTCAATTTTTCGGATTTTTTTTTTCAATTATTCTGTTTTACATGTGTTAACCTCTATCATTTTTTAACGATTTTGTATTTTTTTTCATTCACCTCTGTGATTTAAGTAGCTCAGGAGACACTAGTATTTATGGATTATATGGCATAATCGATTGCTTTTGATGCACTTAATACTTTTACTGTCTTCAAACTTCATTTGCATACAGTTCATCTCCTGTTAGCTGTAGAAGTCAAGTCTTAAGTTTTAGAATCAATACTACAGTAAAAAGGCCCTTGTGTAAACATTTCCAATATACCAGGCATATTTTTAGCTGTACCAAGAGAAATGGTAGAAAAGCAATCCTGGAGATATTTTATCATATAAAAACATCAATACAGTCTCTATATGTGCTGGAGAATTCAGCCAACTCAATTATCTTGGGATTTCCTTCCAGTCTCCAGAATATGTTTAGCCAAGGGTATCCATTCTACCTCTTGGTTCAGATCAATATGGCACCGAACTAATTTGTATCAATGAACACGATTGGATGACTATAATGTTTGAATTCAGATATTGATTGTCAGTAGCAGGATGGATCTGAAACTTTCACAGTAGGCTCTTTGCCCATATATAGTATGATGGAATGGAGTATGTTTTTAGCAGTCAATGGACAAATCTGCTATTGATACTTGTATTTTGGATGGGCCATAGATTAAGTTCAAACACCCTGAAATTGGTACAGTGAAACTCTTTTAATAATCAAAACCCTTAGAAGTCAGTATTGGAATGAATTCTGTTACTGTAGCTGTTTGACATTTTGAATGTAATGGATACAAGATGGAATATTGGATTTATTGATGAAGTCCACGTTTTGCCTTTTATTCGCTCTCTGGAATGTATGCTTTAGTGGAGGATTTTGTCTTGGTGTTTGGATTTAGTTCTTAGAAGGTCTGCTAAATCAGGGAAATTCATACTGAGTTCTAATACACATTTGTCCCATATAAGAAGATGAGGCACTCATCAAAAATGGCTGTCAGTTATATGTTATGTAAGTATAAAATGGAATTCTCTGGAAGTGCAGTCCAAAATTTGTCATTGTTTTCCATGTGTCTGTTCATTAATTCAGTGTTTTTAAATAACTACACTGCAACATGATCTTTATACCTGTTTTGTCATAGATAAGTAAAAAGACAGTGTGCCTACTTCATAAACCCCCAAGGCTCTTGTAATGGACAAGGAAGCAAATATTTTCAAGTATATGAGTTGTGAAGTAATCAGTGAGCTATATTTATTTTTACTAAGCTCTTTGTTTATAGAGAGGGAAAAATAGATCAGGGACCCTCCCCCATTTTCGATTTTTTTTTCTTCCATTGTAGAGCACTCACTCTGTGATTGGAAGGACATGTGTTCGAATCATGGCTGTAACTGTCCAAAGTCAATAAGAAATAAGTAGCAACAAATCCCTTGCCAAGCTCTTGGCACTTTGGGGTGAAAGTTGTGGGTCCTTTGGATGGGACTTAAAAAACCAAGGCCCCATGCCATGGAAGGCATTGGCGTGATAAAGAACCCTCAATGGTCAATGGCTGTGAGTGCCAAATACAGGTCTAAATTTGAAGCTTTTCACTGATACATGGTTACGTCTCTATTTGAGTGAAAAATTCTTGAACAGGATGTAAAACAATATACAATCAATCTTCTTAAATCTGGGATCATCACACCTTTTTCCTTTTTTCTTATATGCACTACTTTTACCAATAAAGTTATCTTTTTGTCTCTGTGAGCTGTGTTTAAATATCTTGTTTGTGACTTGTGCATAAAAAGAAAGCACATACTTCTCAAATTGGTGACCATTTCACTAACAGCCACCTGGCCTCGAGTCAAGGTTAAGACTGTATATATAGAGAACTTTTCTTTGTCTGAGGACCTTGTGTTTTGTGCTTCCTACACCTCTTGTTTGAATACTAAAACAAATTGGTATTATATATAAAACTGACTGTATTTCTGGTGGTTGAATTGCTTGTATTTATATAGAGCAGTGCAGTCCATATACAAAAGGCAAGACTCTGACATAACTTAGTGAACACTAAACATATATCAGAAGACAACCTACTTCTTGTTAGATTTTTAATCTCAACACCGAGTAGTATTGGTTACCATTAATATTTTTCCAAAAATACAAAAAATAGGTACTAATAAAGATTTACCATAAATACTCGCCTATAAGTCGGAATTTTGGGAGTTAAACTTTGGTCCAAAACTCTAGGTAAGACTTACAGGCAAGTTATAAAAAGACTGGTATTTTAAAAGGTCAATCCCTCTAATATAAGCTTCAAAAACACAACTGACTTATAGGCAAGTATATATGGTATCCATAAAGATACAAAGTCATCTTTGCCTGTTTCATACATGTAGTACACTGAAATACAAAATCTTCTTTAAAAAAAAATTGGTATAACTAGCATGAGTAGAACTTTCCTTCATGTCAATGTGGGAGGAAATTAATTTTCTTGGTCCAGGAAATGTACATGAAATTCATATTCACTTGGCCCCACTATCAGGGGATCTTGTGTTACAGCGGGTCTCTGTATATCATATAGTTAAAATACATCAATTCTTCAAAAACCTTCTCTAAATATTAAGTGCTTAGGTATGATGAGCAAGGGTACCCTTTCCAAAATTTGTAAATTCCATGGCCCCGGAGTCAGGGGTTCTGGAGTTAGGGTGGAACTCTATTCATTATTTTCTTTAAAAATCTTTTTCTGTTTTCTAGGGTATCAAGCGAACATACAAAGTGCATGGTCATAAGTCAGCAATGGTGCCTCTTTTAATTAAAATTGTGAAATTCCTGTTGGCTCATCCCTTGGTCAGATGTTGTGTTAGGTTGAGACTTTAAAATTATGTAGTGAAAATGCAACTCTTCTTTGAAATTCTCTGCTTAGTATTGTTTTATACTCAGGTGACAGTAAAGGCCATGGGTCCTTTGTTTAGACATTAATGATATCAATGTGAAGTTCTATATCTTCATGCAATACTGCAATAATTTAATACTAATATAACCAAGTAGCAGATTCCCCATTCATCATCACTTCGTGTTTTGACAGCTTCTTTTCTGGGATCCATTTACACAAGTGTCACCTGCCCATCAGAATAGCTTAACTTTCAGATGCTAAAAAGATAGTTCAGGCTTAAATTGACCCTACCTGCTCCCATTACAGATAGAGGTGATGTCAGGTGAAAATTCTGTTTAATCTTGGAGACAAAGGTGATTTCAATATCGACAATATAATTGTACAAAGAACCATTGAGGCTGTATGTGACAATTTTCTATCATTAACAATCAACATTTGGGTTAGTTGTTGGGTCAAAATGGATTATTGATTATATGACAATCAGGGGAATAGGTGAATTGTTCAGCCGATTATGAATAGAATATTCAAGATGATAGCATCAGGCACTGAGTTAGGTGCCTACTTCAGGCATGCACCAGCAATCATCTCATGCTTGTTCTTCTTCTTTCTTCCCCCCCCCCCCCCCCCCCCCCCCCCCCCCCCCCCCCCCCCCCCTCTCTCTCTCTCTCTCTCTCTCTCTTCTCTCTCTCTCTCTCTCTCTCTCTCTTCTCTCTCTCTCTCTCTCTCTCTCTCTCTCTCTGTCTCTCTCTCTCTCTCTCTCTCTCTCTCTCTCTCTCTCTAACATTAATGTGTTACAATTCACTATTGAGCCACATTCGTTCCAACACGTTTCTCCAGTGTTTCTGTCAGACCACTGAAGAGCACCTACATTGCGTGTCCACCAAAAAAAAAATCAATCCCAACGAGCGGAAGAATAATTCAGTTTAACGCAGCAGAGAAAGATGGATGCTGAATTTGTAATGAAGAAATCTTCAGCAACAGGCTTGTATTTTATCATTAATTCCACTTGAATGGAGATCAATAGATCCATGGCTTTCATCAAATGTAGCCTTTGAGAGGGAAAATTGTGGAACAGTTCTACTAAACTGCAAGACAGTTTCTAATGCAGTTAATAACAAGCAACACCAGCCTAGTGTTACAGAGCTTTACACATTTCTTTGAGCAAATTCACTTCTGAATTGTGATTACAAGGTGCATGAATAGTACTCACGAAACAGTAATGCTTTCATTTTCAGCTCTGAGAGAAAAAAAAAAATTCTACCATCAGAATTTTTTCATTATTCCTAAATAATAGCCAGTCTTTCACTGTTGGTCTAAAATTCTTCCACTCTTGATCAATTCACAGTGAATTTGTGTTCCATCAGTACTAATATACTTTTTAAGTACTGGTAATTGTTTAAAAGGTATAATCTTCACAACCTGTGACAACCAAAGTGAATATTAGACAAATTAGAGACTATGTACAACTTCATTTTTGGGGGGAAGGGACAGAACTTAGCAATGCATGTACTTTGTTGAAATTTTGCCTTCAGTTCAGTAATTTTGAAGTCAAAGGGGGGAGGTCCATTTGATAATGATGAAATTTATTTTTTAAGATCTCAAATTTCTGCTCTTACAAATAAATTCTTTCATTTCTTAGTGATTCTTAGTGATAGAAAATATTTATTAGTATATATACAATCACTTGTAAGACTTACTAGCCACTCCCCCCCCCCCCAATAAAAATAGATAAATACATGTAGATAAAATGATATTAGAAGTGAAGTCAGTATTAGAGATAATTTGGATGACTTGATAGTTCAACTATTTTTAGCTCACCTGAGCCAAAGGCTCAAGTGAGCTTTTCTGATCACAATTTGTCTGTCGTTGTCGTTGTCGTCGTCGTTGTCGTCGTCGTCGTTGTTGTAAACTTTTCACATTTTCGACTTCTTGAACCACTTTTCAACCAAACTTGCCACAAAGCATCCTTGGGTGAAGGGGATTCAATTTGTCAAATGAAGGGCCACGCCCTCATTCATGAGATAATTGGGAATTAATGAAAAAATGGTGGTATCTTTTAAAAATCTTCTTCTCAAGAACCACTGTGCCAGGAAAGATGAAACTTTTGGGGAAACATCCTCAGGTAGTGTAGATTCAAGTTTGTTACATATCATGACCCCCGGGGGTTGAGCGGGGCCAAAATGGCCGACCAAAGTTTTACATAGAAATATATAGGAAAAATCTTATAAAATTTTCTTCTCAAGAATAACAAAGCCATAGTTAATCATATTTATATGAAAGCATCCTCAGGTAGTGTAGATTCAAGTTTGTTCATATCATGACCCCCGGGGGTTGGGCAGAGAAAATGGCTGAAGTTTTACATAGAAATATATAGGAAAATTCTTTAAAAATCTTCTTCTCAAATAGCAAAGCCACAATTGATCATATTTATATGGAAGCATTCACAGGTAGTGTAGATTCAAGTTTGTTCATATCATGACCCCTGGGGGTAGGGCGGGGCCAAAATGGCCGACCAAAGTTTTACATAGAAATATATAGGAAAAATCTTTAAAAATCTTCTTTGAGAATAGCAAAGCCACAATTGATCATATTTATATGGAAGCATTCACAGGTAGTGTAACTGCAAGTTTGTTTCATATCATGACCCCTGGGGGTAGGGCGGGGCCAAAATGCAACATCAAAGTTTTACATAGAAATATATAGGAAAAATCTTTAAAAATCTTCTTCTCAACAACCACTGGTGAAACTTATGTGGAATCATCCTCAGGTAGTGTAGATTCAAGTTAGTTCATATCATGACCCCCAGGGGTAGGGTGGGGCCAAGAAAAAAGTTTTACATAGGAAATAGTGGAAAAATCTTTAAAAATCTTCTTCTCAAAAACACTGGGCCAGGAATGATAAAACTTTTGTGGAATGTTCAGGTATGAAGATTCAAGTTTGTACAATTTGCAATGGGGGTAGGGAAGGCCAAAATGGCTGATCAAAGTTTAACATAGGAATGTAATTGAAAAATCTTTAAACATTTTCTTCTCAAGAACCACTGGGCCAGGAAAGATGAAACTTATGTGGAATCATCCTCAGGTAGTGTAGATTCAAGTTTGTTCAAATCATGACCCCCAGGGGTAGGGTGGGGCCAAAATGGCCGATCAAAGTTTTACATAGGAATATATAGGAAAAATCTTCTTCTCAAGAACCATTGGACAGGAAAGATTTTTGGAATCATCCCGGATAGTGTAGATTTAAGTTTATACAACAAGACCCCCAGGGGTTTGGGCAAATAACTATCAAAGTTTTACATAGGAATATATAAAAAACCTTATGAGATTTATAGGGAATTATTTCTAAGGTTGTGTAGATGGAAAATACAAGTTTGTACATATTTTGACCCCTGTTTAAGTCGATATCTCAGTAAACTTTCAGGATGACTTAAAATGGATAGTTCAACTTCCATTTTCTATTCAGTTGTAGGACAATTGTTATTGCTACAGATAATCAGAGAGTTTCATTATTGTCAGGACGAGAGATGAAATGGAACTCATTTGAAAACTATTGATTTATTAAGCATTAATTAAATTTACTATCAGCAACGGGTTAGTGATTTATGGCTGCATTTGCTAGAACATTGGATTAAAAAAGATGCTTCATTATGGAAAACCAATGTCATCTGTTGTTCTTCTCAGGCCGAGCTTGCCGCGGTTGGCTAACTCTGATTTTTTAGTGTCGCTACCATCATGCTTTTTAAGCAGCTGTGTCAAAAAGTGAATAATTTATGCAATCATTCTGTTGTAGTTCCATTTTGTGCAGTGTTGCACAAGATTCATTAAAAGCTGTTATCTTTTTTTCTCTGTTTCTGCCAATAGGAGTGTAAAGAGAGCTATCAGTCATCCATGTTTGGTTCCTATGTGTCTGATTGGATCTAGTCTAATTTTGTACAGCAACAAAGGAAAGATGATGGAACCTCATTCTGTCATTGTTTAGATAATGTATATGCTGTCACAGTGTAATATATACAAAAGTTAAACATTCTGCAGAAGCTTTTTATGCAATAAAATCCTTGATGGGTACTATTGTTTTGAATTTCAATTAAGCCTTGATAGTTCTCCATTGTAATTCCCACTGAAGTATTTTGAATTGTTAATGGTATGAAATGGATCAAAGAGAATTCGAGTGTTTTGATCGGGATTTATTTTTTGTAGTAAACACAGTTACAGTGGTAGAAACTTGCTGATGTCAGTCCATTGATTGCATCATTAGAGTGTATTATTTGGGAACTGCATCCAGTGATGTGTTGTTTGGATGTCAGCTAATCTAATACACCTTATAGAAAAAGTAGGAGGATGTATTGATTCAGCAAAGTTTACAAAAGAGAAATAATGTTGTCTCAGAATCTTGTTGATTACTTCACGATTGACTATTGAAATGGCAAATTAAAAAAAAGTTCTCATACCAAGTATAGCTGAGTAGGAACATTACACAATTAGGATTGTTATATTCAGTAAAGAATAGTCCCTATATTCTCTATATAGAGAAACATTCAGCATAATTGATATCGGCTCCTCTAAAAAATATTGACAGTCATTTAATTTTCCCTAGTATTGACTGACAAAGAGAATTTTCTAGCATTTTAAGCTATTCTGAGCCAAAGGCTCAAAGAAGTAATGCTATGGTCATTTGTGTGGTGTGCGTAAACTTTTTAGAATGTGGCCCATAACTCTAGAACCCTTTGGCTAATTATTATCAAATTTATCCCTGGCCCAAGGGCTCCCATTCATTCTAAAACTAGGGTTATGACCCTTAAACAAGGGGCGATAATTAGGTAAATAAGAACTAGTTTTACCTAGAATTAGGTAAAGAACTACCGGGCAGATTATCACTAAACTTACTTACAAGGATGAAGATGCGTTTTTTAAATGTAAAATTCTTTAAAGCATTGTCCTAGGGCAAAGATCTCAAGTCTCAGTATTACTTCAAAGTTAACCAAAAATTACATTTTTATTAAAACATTCATTCATGGGGGTATTCATTTTCACATTGATTTATAGGCATATGTTGGACACTGAAAGGCTTATGATCATCAAGCTTTGTCAGTTGATGCACCTGAAAATGGAAATGGTTGTACATGTAATGGTAGAAAAGATTTAACCTCAGTTTTTACATAGCACAAAGATTTATGATAGAGAGCCGGAGGAGATTCACATTTTATGCCAGTTTCTAGGTGTCCAATGTCAGTTACATTGAGATGTAACATTAAGTGCATGCAATGGACATTGAACTTAGAACCATATTTGAAATTTTTCAAGTATATTTCTACATTCCTTGCTCTTTTGTTGTGTTGTTTTGAGAGTATGTCTTGAATAATATATTTTTTTTTATTGGTCCACAAACTTTTTGATAAACTCAAGCTGTATATACTGAAACACTTCACAATCAATTGATTCTAGGCATCTACTGACTATAATTCAGTCTGTGATGAAGATTTATTCCTGCCCTACTTTCTGACAATGGGGAATGATTAGGTTACAGTACTAATGGTCTTTTTATACAAAAGATATGGCAGATGTTTTAGGAGATCTTTACACTCATTGATTATCTGTGGCTCTAAGGGAGACATGTGTCTGTGCTCAGGGTCTATATGTCAGTCAGTTGATGGTCGTACCTTGTTCAGTGTACATCTTACACAAATTGTCCAATATGGCTGATTAAACATTAAACCGAATTACAAATTCACTGTATTTAGGATGAGATTTTAAATTCAAATTGCTACATGTATTATTATTGATTTCTGTCTGAAGGTATTCATTTAGATACACATACTACATGTATATGATTGTAGTATTTGTGTAAATGATAATAACAGTTGAATATCCTGAACAATGATTAAAGGCTAAAATATCTCTTTCCAGAGATAATGTTGCTTGATCTACGTCTATTCAAAATTTAGTTTCGAAATTTGAAATTTCAAAATATGTTGCTTCTTGTTAATAAGTATGCTTAGAATAGAGATATTTTTGACCACCTTTAATTCAGTATCTTTCAACCAAACACCAGCTAGAGAGAATAAGCTCAAATAAATTTCATATATGTTTATGCACATCAGCCTCAGGTCTCCTGAATGTTAATTTTGTTTACCAACGAGGATTGAAACAAGGAAAACTTGGATCAGTAACTCATTTCAGTAATCCATAAATAAACATATAAAGGCATTATGCAATTTTTGTGTATTTTGAAAAGGAAATGACTTTTCAAAGTCGATCAGAAAGATGGGAACTATAATTTGTAAGTCATATAAAGATGGTAAGTTCAAAAAGACTGTGTACGAGTTAAGCTAAGTGCATGAATATGCAGAGAAAAGTTAAAGAATACTTATCAAAAGAAATGAAATGAAAAGCTAGTTCTATAGTAAATGTATTATTTTTATTTTTAGGTGGATTAAATTTCCAGAATGACTCTGGAACGAAATCTGCAGCCTGAGTACTCGGCAGTTATAATGAGTAGAGTACCCAACCGAACATCCAACCTAGATGTACCTCAACAACGTGATGAGCCGATCAATAGCAGAAACAGTCCGAGTACACTCAATGTCCTCACTACCAGCTCAGATTTTGAGTTCTCTAATAGGTATGTAATCAACCCTCCTCTGGGATTCAAAATCATATGTATAATGGCCTAAATTGATTTTCCTATAACTAAGTGTATTAGCTTTTAGAGTACATTTCCAAATGAGGTTGTGACAAGTTCATTATTCTAGCATTTAATTGGCAAACAGATAAAGAGAAGGGCAGGTTTCTTCTGAAGAAAAAAAACTTAAGTCTGTGACAGTCTGTAAAAGAACAATGCATGAAAATTCAATCCTAGCACCAAATAACGAGAAAAGGCGGAATAAAATATCAATTTGTATTGATATTCAGGTGTGCCTAGCCAAACATCACTGTACAGTAACTTCCAAGAGTTATAAATCAGTCACTCAGTCTTAATTCTGTTATAAAAAGGTGGTAATTTCAGATACAGATTTGACTGTTATAAAACAAAGAGGACCTTTAATGAAATGAACATAAAGCAGATGGCAAATCTTACATACTGGTAATAATTGCATTACACATACTGATGTTTTAGAAGTTTATTTTGCAAGGACAATAAGACAAAAACTACAAAATATTAATATAATCAAAGCTTAAAAAGTTCATGCATTATCGATAAATGATTTATAAAGCCTTTTGTGAAGGAATGGATATAAAATTCTAATGTATCACATGCTGCTTTATAAAATATTTATCAATTTTTTTCTACAATACACAGCCTCAGGAAAATGATTCTTTGGCTCAACTTGAGGATTGTATTGTTCAATAAATGATATGCTTTTCTCACTACATGTGTAAAATGCAGAAGGCAGATTATGTAATGCCCATCTTAGAGATTTTGACTTGATACCTCGTAAAAGAAATATGACCCTACTTTTGCAACTCTAGAAATATTAACTGCATAGCTATTGCATAAATCAAATTTAGCATAAATTTAATAAAGTAACTTGTATAAGGCCATCCTTGAAAAATTGTGTGGTGGCCCTCTCCTAACTGATTGGCTAAAAATAGCTGAACTCTAAAAACCTTTTTTAACCTGTAGGAAGCAATTATTTTTTATATATACTCTGGTTAATATAATATAAAAAAAAATAGCATTGAAATCAACATTTTTTGAGAATATAATCTTCTCATCTACCTACCGACCCAATATTTTGAGACCTAGTAGGGAGAGGGCAAAAGAATATTCTTCTAAAGTTGGCCTAATTAGTAAAATTTATTATACAGTCAAAACTATATTAAGGTAGGGGGGGACCTTTGAATAGAGGTTAGAGGCAATAGAATTCATGTAGATACATATGCAAAATTATGAATGATGTCTAAAAGATAGAAATATTGCCAAAGCTGCTAATCATAAGTATATGAATTGGGGGAATTTCAAGTGAGCTAGGGGTTTTATTTGTGTTAATCTGTGGTCAATATGGATAAGAAATGGAAAACCATCAGATTCAATAGTTTGTGAAGCCTATTGATAAAGGCTTCAGTTCCAGAGGCAGATTTGATAAAATTGATGATATTAAACTTGAAGTGTTTACCAACACAGCCTAGATAACCCCCAACAATAAACAGGTATAAACAGCCGTTGAGGGGTTTATAGATTGTTTTTGGGGGAGGATTGTTGAGATAAACTCTTGTCTACCTCCAGCGGACCTGTCAGTCTGTAGGTGTCTGTGGAGGAAGTCTGGACAGGCCCGGTCAGTGGGAGGAATGGATTATCAGCTGATTGGATCAGTGTCAGTGTCCAGTCCTAATTAGCCAGTGATGTGATGGAGGTTGTTTATGCTGTCCAGTTAATTTGTTGTTAGTTAATGCCAGCCACTGACCACTAATTTACTGGGTGTTAATGATTCTATGCTATAATCTCATTAGTCACAGCCCTGCCTATCACCTGCAGAGAATAGTGCAAAAGAGTGATTTCTTGTAAAAGAAAAAACAATTATGTTTTGTCAATTTAGAATAATTTTATTATTGAAAAATGACAGTTATATGGTTAACAAAAATCCTCTTGAATCAGTTTTTTGATTTATTTGATGAATTGACAAATACATGTAGTTATTAATGTTTAAAATAAATTTTTATTGAATAAATGATTTTGAAAAATAAGTATGCTTTTATGATGACAGGTGACTCAATTTTAACCTGAAAGACCTTGATCCTTGAACATTGCAGGTGTTAAACTTTTGTGTTGGTCATCACTGTTGTTTGACGGTAGTTTTACATTAAATATTGATGACAGATAATTATGTGTATTGACTTGTGATTTTGTCGACCGAGTTCTCTGCGATGACATCACATGTTTGTCACTACATATATAGGTATTGGACGGTCACCAAGTGCAATGCTGAAAGCAATTTCTACTAGAATCACCTCATTACCCTAAAAACAAAGTTTACAAAATAATAAAATTTAGATTTTTTATTTCTAGGATTGGCAATGCAATTGTTCAAGTGCATCAGATCACAAATTATTTTACTATATGCTTGTAGCAATCTCTTTATTTTCTAAATCCTTTCTGCAGTTTATTTTTATCATTGTCATTCAAATTTCTATTAAAGAAAATTAATTAAACTAGGTATTGATATTTTATTCTGTGTTTGGTGAGCATGCTTCTGAAAGTTGTCGTGAACAATATTGGACATGCAAGACAGGAGGTGAAAAGTTATAAATAACGACAAGATCCCATTAAACAATGAAGTCATCAAAGACTTGGAATAAATTAATCAGATAATGCAGTGACAGTTTAAGAAGATGGCTAGTAATCAGGGCATCAGTAGCCTCACTTAGTGTCACAGTGACTCACTGGTCTTATTCAGCAGACATTTCACAATACCTGCGATGTGTATTGCCGAGCTGACTCAGTTGTTGTGATTGCTGAGCCAGAATCGTGACCTTGTAGTAAATATGAACTCGCAGGCTAAGGGCAGGAGGCACTTGGAGGGTATCTTATATCTCAAAAACATTGATTTTTAAATTATTGAAAAAATATCGATGAGTCAACGGTTTCTTTTTTTGGGACAATTAATACCTGGTACCTTGTATGAAAAATCACCATCTCCCTCTTGTAGTCTCTTTCTTGTCAGTAATAGTGTCTTGCTTTGAATAGAGATCTTGCATAATACTTTGGATGTATGGCATATTACTGTATTAGTGCTACAACTTGATTTGCATTTTATAGTATCAATGATTTTTATTTTAGCTAATTAGAAAACTAAGTTTTCTAGTTCTTAATTCACTTGATCAACTAAAGTGAGCTTTTCTATCATCTGCTATGTGGACTGCCTCAACATTGTTTGTCCATCTGTAAATTTAATACATTTTGGACTTTTTCTCAAGATTCTCCTGGACAATGTAAACCAAATGTGCAATACATACATGAATAAAGGGGATTCACAGTTGTTCAAATGAAAGACAGTTGCCCTTTCCAAAGGGAAAATAATTAATGGAAGACAAGTCATCAGAAATTTTCATCTCAAGAACCACTGGTCCAGAGAAAATAAACTTGGATGAAAACTTCCGGACAAAAAGTAGATTCTAAATTGTTCAAATTTTGGCCTTTGGATAAGTTGGGGGTCAAAATAGAGTTTCTTGGTATATAGAAAACTTCTCTTTTTCTCAAGAATGGAAGGACCATAGTACAAGTATGACTCCCATGAATGTTGTGGCCCATTGGTCTCTTGCGACAATACTTTATATGTCTACTTAGTTCTCTGAGTTTTGTGCAAATATTGCTCAATATGAGGTGTTAGTTACATCTCTTTTGGGGATGGGGATGAAAATTTCTTGTTGGTTTACTCAGTGCAAGTTTTTTTCTGCCAAATTTTAAGACTTTTATTTGGAGCTCAACATGAGGATTTTATTGTTTAATAGATAAAATGCATTCTCACTATTTGTGTTAAACTCAGATAGCAGACATTAGGCATATTCCAGTTTTAAATTTTAACATGTAATAGCAGGACATGTAAGATATGACTTTTATGAAAACAAAATGTTTTTACTTTTAGGTATTAAAGATAATTTCTAGTTAACTTGAGACTTATGTGACCTTGCATTTTGAATTATTGAATCCCAACTATCTATATATATACTTCAACAGCAATGATTTTATGATCTTTTATAACTTAGTTTGGTCTTGACCTACTTTTTAATTCCACAATAAATAACTTTGAAACAAACTTCCCAGGGCAACCACGTAGTAGTTTTTATCTTAATTATTGTAATTCTTAATGCTGTGGGCAAAAATATGTTGCTTAAAACTCTGTTGAAAGAAGATCACTCTTTTCTTTCATTTTATTAACTTGTTCATATTTATGAGCATTATTATTCAGGGCATTTATTTTCTCATATGTTTGGATCTGTCAATACTCAGGCTAAGCAATATATGATATTAATCTTCTAATTTTAGCATGCTCCAGTTGGACCATGACCTTGACCAGTTAAGCTTGACTGAGAAGTCTGATGATTCCTCCTCCTCTGCCTCCCCCACAGAGCCCCACTCCGCACCTGTCACCCCTGCCCACCGTCAGGAGGGGCCAGCCATCACCGTAGGGTACCGCCGTGCCACACAGGGGGGTTTCCTGGAGGGACTCCTGGGGTGCCTGAGGCCAGTGTGGACCATCATAGGAAAGGCCACCACAGCAGAACTTAAACAACAAGGTGAAATATTCCTCAATTCTGTATCAGACTCGCTGTTCTTCTGATCTGGAGGAACTTGAAGTATTTGTATGGTATTTGATTATCCAGAATGTAAAATTTGTCAATACAGGGTGTGTGTGGAGTAAATCCAGGAAAATAGGATTTTTCAGCAAGAGTTGTACATTGCATAAGGAATCCTCTGTTTCCCCTCTCTTATTATTCTCTGCCTCCTTCTATTACTTCAGAAAGTGTGATGTCTTTACCAAATTGTATATTCATATATTAGTATTTCATAAAATGGGTTAAATATGATAAATTGAACTTTTCCATCATTGCAGTCTTGTTCTTATCAGGATAAAGTGTGCATCATTCAAAAGGACAAGTTGGTCAATTAAGTCATACATAGAATATAATTGAAAATGGAGAGCTATTTTGACCAAATGATAAAATTAATCGTGATGTATAGCTGAATTTTTTGGCTTAATATCAGTTGTACTCTGTGAAGGAATGACGTCTTAGAATTTTTCAGTTTGCCCAGGGGGAGGATGAAATATTCATATATGCATTCAAATATAGTCCATTTTACGTTCTTGGAATCATAGAAATGATAATAGCCTCCCTTGGGTGTAGACAATTTATACATTGTGAAGTTCAGCACATATAAATGTGTGAGCTTTTCAGTCATCATATCGGTTGATAATATCCATAAAATTTCCGTCTTATATATTAACATTTTATATATGGTACAACCTTGTCTTAGGTTGTGTTGCCAGGGGCAAAAACTCTATTTGTTTCTCAAATATTCCACAATCACTTTAAAATCTTGGACGAATAAAACTAGATAGATAGAAATATAAAATTGTTTTCTTTAACACATGAATAACTGCTAAAAGAGGTGATCTGTGCGTATCCTGTTTTTCTTTTCTCCCATCAATTTGAGTGGGCTGATCATTCAGTTTTCTTATTGATCCACTAATACAGCATTTATCCTTTATACTTTTTTCTGTATAAATGCAGATCAATTTTTGATATTAAAAGTTTCGATTGCCTGTGCGAGGTAGGGATATGTAAATATGCCTAAGTAGGTAGATTGGCTGTAGGTCGTAGCAGCTGTTTTGATATTGACGTCACAGCTGATGTCAGTGTACATCGCCTCATCCTGACCATGTCTCCCCGACTGTACAGGGACTAACGGATTAATGGGGAAAAAGTTACTCAAGGCTATTTGTTGTTATTTGTGTGGAGACAAACTCAGAGGTAGTATTTATCTAGGGGATTTTATTTTTATTTTTCTGTCGACGTGTCTTTATTGGCCGACTTGCAATAGGTATATTCCTGCAGTTGCCATATGTTATGATTTAGTCACTAAAATTAAGAATCCTGCATCTTCCAAACTTTAAAAAAAATTAACATTTTACTTAAGTTTTGATTTTTAATTATGCTGTAAGATTACTTGTATGCAGGACTTATTTGTTTCCTAAGTCAAAATGTCCACAAAGAACCATTGCATCATTGCAGAAAATTCAATACATTCTGTGCTGATAATATCACATGATGCTTTCTGCTAAATCAGCATATAATAAATTTAATTTTCCATTTAAGCAAAGATAATAAATAAAATGGTATGATGTCCAAAAAACTGTTTTGATATTACACAAGTATTTAGGTTAAGGGGTTGTATGTAGCAGCTGGGCTGGGAGGCATCACAAGATGTGATCATTTGTGATTGTAGCCATTCTAAATGAGATCAATAGGGTGGCAATTTTTTATTTAAATTTAATGAAGCAGAATAATACACAGGGATGGGTTTATCAGAACTAGATGTATTACTGTCAATTGCCTCAGGTGAACTTTTTTTTAAAATGAACTGTCAAATTTAGGTCAACTCAAACGTACTGATTTGTGGAAATAGGTTTCATAAGAATTTCTTAAATTTTTCAGAAAACTTATCGCATGAATTATGAAATAAAATGTATATGCATAATTCTTTTTACAATCAACTACATGCAGAAGTTACTGATCAGTAGTAATTGTTGATACATGTATACACTAATGTGACACAGGCTATTTTAGTACTTGTACTTGTATTAGCATTTGAGAACCTGTCCCTTATTTCAGATGACTGGGAGATTCCGTTTGAGAACATCACAGATCTGCAGTGGCTAGGCAGTGGGGCCCAGGGGGCCGTCTTTTTGGGGAAGCTTAATGGGGAAGAAGTAGCAGTGAAAAAAGTCCGAGATGTCAACGAAACAGACATCAAAAATCTACGCAGACTCAACCATCCCAATGTCATCACATTTAAGTAAATACATTGTATAACACCTTAAGCAGAGTTATGTTGAATTAAGTTGACCTGATTATAAGAACTACCTGTGTTTCTTGTTTAGGGGTGTTTAGTTGTTTTGAATGTAAAAACCACCTGTATTTCTTGTTTAGGGGGGTTCAGTTGTTTTGAATGAGCTTATTTCTTGTTTAGGGGTGTTTGCACACAGGCTCCGTGTTACTGTATTATCATGGAGTACTGCCCCTACGGCCAACTGTATGAGGTTCTAAGGGACGGGAAGGAGATCCCGCCCGCCCTCATCCTGGACTGGGCCAAACAGATCGCCAGCGGCATGCATTATCTTCACAGTCACAAGATAATCCACAGGGACCTCAAGTCACCAAAGTAAGCCCTCAAACCAATCCTTAAACAGGTGGGAAGTGTCCATTGTTCTTATCTTTGTGTCTTTTAAGTTGTCTTGAAAAAAAACGCTTTTTGAAATGCTATTCCTTGTTAGATATGTCTGAAACTTTGTAAAAAGTATTTAGAATGTTTAATGTTAGGAAACCCTTTTTTTTTATCATACATTGTAGGTTGAAAGCTAAATGGAAATTTGTTTGCTTTTTCAGTATTCTTGTTGCCAAAAATGATGTAGTAAAAATATCAGACTTTGGTACAAGTAAAACCTGGAATGAAAAGAGTACCAAGATGTCCTTTGCTGGAACTGTGGCATGGATGGCACCAGAGGTGATCCGAAATGAACCCTGCTCTGAGAAAGTAGATATATGGTAATTAGTTTCCTCCTGAAGTGGAATTTTTAATGTGCTTTTATTTTACTTGATTTATCCCTCTGGAAAGTTAATCAAGTAGAAATTTCATTAGGCAACATTTTACATGATTGGCTTTGGTATTAAAGAAAATTAACCGTTGCAAAATCAATTTGCAGGTCTTTTGGTGTAGTTGTGTGGGAACTGTTGTCTTCAGAAATCCCATACAAGGATGTTGACTCCTCTGCAATTATCTGGGGGGTTGGAAGTAACAGCCTACATCTCCCGGTACCGTCTACATGCCCTGAAGGATTCAAATTGCTTATGAGGCAATGCTGGTAAATATCTTTGTTTCTTTTTTTTTTAACTTTTATCTAGCTAATAAATGTTTGCTTGACCTATTTTTGCATTGGGAATTTATTCATTCATTTTCAATTTTATCATTGCACGATTTAATCAAATTTTACAAAGTAAAACTGTGATAACCCTTTATCTATTAGAATCATGTATTAAAATATATACATATTATTATAACAGTAACTTGATCCGAAGGGTCGTATCACGTCGAGTTGACAGGCGCGGATCTTCAGATCAAACAAGACGCGAAGTGTCGAGTTTGATCTGATGATCCGCGCCTGTCAACGAGACGTGATACGACCCTTCGGATCAAGTTACGGTTAAAATGATAAATTTATTATATACCCCCTTATAACTAGCTAAATATAGCAAAATAAAACTTTAGAGATCAATTGTATAATATTTATCCATGAAACAAAGCATAATGACTTTTTAACGCGCAAGAAAAATAACGTCATGTTTTCGCGTTCTACGTCATCAGTTTCAGAGAGTGGTGATATGGATTCAGAAAACCACAGTGTGGTGATCCGGAAAGTCGGATCATGATGTCACGTGATTGCGTTAATTCTACAGTAAAATTGAGTGATACACGTTAGGTATATAATAAAATAAATTATCTTGCAGGGAAGCAAAGACAAGGAACAGACCTTCATTCAAACAGGTTTTAATGCATCTGGAAATAGCAACACCTGAGCTTCTGAAATTCTCCTATCAAGATTTTATAACAGCACAGGTATTTCACCCAAGTTATATACAGTGGAGCCTCATTTATCTGGACGCTTTGGTTCCTAGTCAATTTGTCCGGATATGTGAAATGTCTGGATACCTGAATCACCTATTAAACAAGACAACATAACATTTTAAAATTCTGTTCGGATAAAAAAGCATCCGGATACTGAAGCATCCGGATATCTGGCGTCTGGATATCTGAAGGTCCACTGTATACCTACATAAAAATTCAATTCTTTAGTCAAGTTTTCTTTGAAGAATTAATTTTAGAATCAGTCACTTTACTCGATATTTTGATATTTTATGGATTTGTTTGAATTATTTTTTATTTTATTATCCAGACTATTTGGAAGGATGAAATTCGGGAACAATTACAGTTGATCCGTTGTGAGGGAACACATATGCCCCACCTGGAGGAAGAGTTGATTAAACGTAGAAGAGAGGAACTCAGGTGAGATAGAAAATCAATGATGGAAATCGCTCATTATAGAGTACTAGACCAAAGTGGTAGTATGTTGTTGTTTGCTAATATATATGAGAGTATTTTTTGTATACTGTAGACATGCACAAGATGTCAGAGAACATTACGAAAGGAAGTTGGAACGAGCTAACAATCTGTACATGGAACTGACTGCTTGTATGCTGCAGCTGGAGAAAAGAGAGAGAGAATTACTAAAGTAAGCCATGGCAGTAGTTAAAATTTTTGTACTGACTCAAGAAATCCTTACTTTCATCTTCATTACCTAATGCCTGTGTTGTACAAAAATTCTTATCAATATTTTTTTTCTTTCAAAGACGTGAGCAGCAATTAGCCATGTATGACAAGAAAAGGAAAAGCATTGTGCGACCAGTAATTCGGGCACAAGAGAGGATTGATAGACTGAGTAAAAAGCGAACTTACAAATCTGGCTCAGAACTTACCAGGTACAGAGCAACAGCTATTTTTATGCTTATCTAAGAGCAGTAACTCTTCCTTCTTTCTCTTTATATGGAAAAGCAGGATACAATATTGGATTGCTTGATCTCTTTCAAGCAATAATTTAATCATAAATCAGAAAAATTAAATAGTGAAGTAGCTGTGATGAACATTTGTATTTTATTAATTTCTAAATGATGTCTAATATTTTTCAGCCCAGACAACCCAGAGGGAGTCATGGACAGCAGTATGACTACAAGTTCTGAGCAGGTTCTACCATCTCCCACAAAACTACGCATGAGAAAAAGTAGACATCGTCGTAACAACAGTAAAAGTAGTCTAGGCAGCATCTGGCAAAGTCCTGCCAAAACAGCAGTAGCAGTGGAAGAGGATCAAAACGAATACCATCTCAAACACTGTGACGAAATGGACGTCACTCCACGTGTTTTCAAATACTTAGGGCCAGGAACAGCCCTCAGGGAATACAAGTCAACCGAGGAGCTTCATCTACCTCTGAGTGAGAGTGAGCGCACTCAGAGGCCGTTAGAACTCGGACAAGTGAGTGAAATCAATGAGAAGAATGTAAATGATGTTTGTTTTGGGTGTGACGGAGTGTGTAGTGACCACACCTGTAACAGTAAGCGGTCCAGTAGAATTAGTGTGGACGTCGAGAGTAACGACTCGCCCTGCTCTCCCTGCCCCATGAGTCCTTCTCAAACAATGAATGATATAGAGGAAAACTGTAACCAATCAAAGGAGTGCTCAGTCAGTGATGTGGAAAATACGACGAGCTACACACCAGATAAAGACTCCAATGAGAATATCAATAATTTTCCATTGAGAGGTGGACTTACACAGACAAGTGGAGATTCAGTGTTTACAAGTGATTTACAAAATGAGGAAGATAATACTGTTATATACAACAGTGTCAAACGAACTTCTAGTGATTCAGAAATTAGGAGGTCGCCAAAATTAATGCAGCACAGACTTTCCAGTATTGAGTCTTTAGATTCAGCTCCTGTCATAGGGAGGGAGAGAATAGCTAGGGCACATAAGGTAATATGCTAATTTATATAACACAAATACAACATTTTATCATCTACAATCTTATTTAAATAATTCTGAAACAATTTTATATATTGATTCATAAGAATTTGGAATGCTATTTGTCAGAGACTCTGTACACAATGTGTAATGTGCTAAATTGCGTTTGATGCTTTTTGAGATGAAATTCATTTTGAGCTGAACACAGAGAATGTACAAGGAATGCTAACATGTTTGATGCTTTAATTAGCCATGGAGTTTTGTTTATGGTTTAAACTGTAACACTGGTGTTTGTTATCAGAATTCAGAAGACTCCTGGTCTGAGGAAGAGGAGGGGGAGGTAAGCGATGACGGTAAGGCCAACAGGAAGCGGAGGTCATACTGTTCCACGCTGAGCTCTGAGGGCTGTCTGTCGGAGTACGAGAACAATACCAGCGATCATTCCACATCCTTCAACGGGGACGGCCTGCTGTCCACCAACAGCTCGGAGAATCTCCAGATGGAGCTGGCAAACTGTGCTGTCACCTCCGATGGACTGTCCGACAAAGAACTGACCGTCAGAAAAATGGCTCAGCAGGTCTCCAACTCTCCAGAGCGCGTCTATAAGGTATCTGTCTATATGGAACTTGGTTTTCTTTGGAAGAACAAATGAAAAAAAATAATTATTCATTTTTTCCTTATTTACTGTGTTCATTTAAGATTTGAATTAATATAAAACTTAATTTTTGACAATTATTTGCAATAGCAAATAATGATATAACATGTATTTGTCAAATTCCCTTTAAAATAGATTTGCATGTGTACATACATGTCAGAGGTCTACAAATATATTTTCTGCAATCATTTAATTAGGATTTTTCTGAATTTAAAAGTATTGTGTAAAAAGTGATTAATTTTGGATGTTTTTGTAGACTTCGGACAGCAGTTCAGACTCTGATGAGTGCTCAGACATCACAGTGTCCACGACAGTACATCGCACCCAGGCTTGGTGACCAATGGCAGATTATTTATATTCCATGTTGAAATGGACCCAGTGACAAGGAAATTTTAGTTCATTACTAACTCTATGGTTGTTAAAGTTAAAATATCAGTTAGTCCTGTTGTTGGTTTATATCAATTGTGCATCATACTCCATACATTGTCTGCATATCATAACACATTTCTGCTTTAAAATCACTGTGTTAAAGGTAGCTATACCACAGCCAAACTGGATTGGAGATTACAGATTGATCAACACAAGCAAGTCTCTTTTCTTACAGCACTTTTGAAGTTGACATCAGATCATTTGCTTTTTAAGGTCAGACGACACCTTCCTCAAAAATATATAATTTTTCCTCAGAATTTGTCATTGAAGTCTAGGTACTTAAACAAGTTTCCTCACAAAAAATTAAGGTACCTTACCAGGCATTTGGACAAGACACCACAGGTCATATTTCTTATATAACCGTTATAGGTAATCTTCTGAATGGGCTATATCACAATTTTTGGTGTATTTATATTTAACAACATTTTGAAAACAATGTAGAAATCAGACGAGAATGACTAATTTGAATTATTTTTTTATGTAATACCAAGAGATACAAAACATATATTTTAGGAACGTGTCGTCTGACCTTAAAAGGAAATTTTGGAGTAGATACACATATTGAAGTTTTCTATGAGTTTGACATTAAATAATGTTTTTGAAATATAATAACCAAATGAGGTAACTTGTAATAATGATTTTTGATATTAGACAATGTAAGCCTCCAAAACATCGGTGTACAAATGTATATAGGATGTTTATTCAATAATCCTGATTTCAAACACCTGATAGAATTATTATTATAAAAATGGATCTTTATATGTTAGAATTTTGATAAATACATGTAGCAGCTAGAAGAACTTTGGTAAATGAAGTTTACATTTAGATAATGTGAGAATTTACATTTAGGTATAATGTTTATTGTAATGAGAAGTTGATTAGTGAACTGAAGCTCTGTAGAAATTTTTACAGGAATTTGTCTACACACAGGATAACTAAGATGATATTGATATATATAACAGAAATTCAAATAAAATAGTATCCAATTTAGTTTGGCTGTACTTACAATGATTAATTCATTATTTATACTTATAGGACAAAGTGATACAAAAAAAGCACAAAAATCACATTTGGTCTAAGAGTATGTGTATTACATGTATATATTGCTGTGCAATGTAGCTGCATATATGTATGATGGAAATATATACTCTTAAAATTCTAAGGGTTGTTCAGCCTTTGAATTCCACTTTAAGATAGTAATTATTAATGCCTGTTGGTTAATTGTATTTATTTTTTTTTTTTGCTAAGTACTTAAGATATTTCTCAAAGTTTAAAACAAAGAAATCCATATTACATTGTTAAATCAGGACTGTTGTCTCGAAGTAATGGTGCCCTGAATGAAAAAGGGACTCTAGTCTAAAGGAAGTCTTTCAAGTCTTGGAAAGATAGAAATTATTTTAATCATTGGTAATAATTTAAGTAACAATGCTACTACCTTAATTATATATATATCTTCAAGATGTCTATTTATTATGATTTTAAACATTTAAAAAATGTTGAATAATTGATATTGGAATGAGTAATATGTAAAAGAACTTCATGAATGCATTGCAAAGAACCTACAGATGTATTCAGGTCTTTGTTTGTCATTCTATCTAACAGTATTTTTTGAAATGTTACTTCAGGTATTGCATGTACATTTTGTTCATGTTACTCTATCAAACCAGTCATTTGATACCTGAATCAGAAAATCCATTTCTTTTTATTTGTATTTTTGCAGTGCTTCCATCCTCCAAGATTTTATGTTGCCTTCCATTTAATGTAGCTAGTTATTAACAAGTCATATTTTTTTGTGATTTCCTTTACAAGAACGAACTTTTTTTCTGATGTCTGTATACCTTGATTTACCACACTATATACATTTACTTGTCGATAGTTAAGTTGTACATATCATATCAGAATTTCATACTTGTATATACCTCTTGGTATAGTTTTTTTTAAAAGAATTTTAAACTTTTTTTGTTTGGCCAAGTGCTCATTTTATTTAGATTTTTTTCTGTTAAAACATTCCAATATTTTATTGAGATATTGTTGACTATTGTACTGTTTTATCTTATTGTTGATATGATTTTTCAGGACTTTTCCATCAGTATGTGCTTATGAATTTGATCTTTGTCATTCAAAAGCTTGTATAGGTTGTTCATGAATTTAAATTTTGTCATATAAATGCTTGTCTAGGTTGTTATTGTCAAGCAGTGACTATAATCTGTAAAGCAATAATACCAAATAGAATAAGGTCGTATAATTTTCGGCAGTTCAATGAATTTGATAGTACAAGTAATTTGTATATAGAATGCATTTTATCAAGATTGATACTGCTTTTTTCCCCATATCTGTTTATTGCAGACGACCATGATTCAATTGTGTTTTAAACACCATTCTCCGATATGAGATGTCTTTATTGTGTTGGAATTGTAAATAAAAAAATCTGTAACAAACAAATTTTTGTTATTTTTAAAATGAAAGTTCAAGACTCAAAAGTTTCTGAATTTATGTCACTCGATGAATGTAAATTCTTGATTGATCACTGAGCCTGGAGCCATCACAATTTTGGTAAAGGGCTCAGTGCTTATTACAATCAGTCAGCAGTTTGACACCTTGATGTCTAGGAGTAAGAAAGACTTTAAAAAGAACATGACTAATTTTGATGGTTTTAGTCCCTACCTAGAGACCCCAGGGGAGGAGGGGTCAGGGACCATGAAAACCTTCTCTCTTAGATTTTCTCTGTCAAAATTGTTTTAGTGATTTCAGGAAAGAAACTAAAAATGTTCAAATGTTAATTTGCCTAAGTGACTTGGAAGACATAACACTAGTAATTTTAAATTCCCTTCACCCAGAAATGCTTTGTGGCAAGTTTGGTTGAAATTGGCTCCTGAGAAAAGTTGATGATGTGAAAAAAATGTCAAATGACAGTTGGATGCCAGACAGACTAGAAAAGCTCACTTGAGCCCGAGATGCTCAGGTGAGTTAAAAATGGTTAAAGGTAAAGAAATCTTCACAAAAACAACTGGGCATTTTATCAAAGAACTTATAAAAGGATAAGGATGTATTGTAGATTAAAAAATTGTCTAGGCCATATAGCATTACTCCATGGCAAACGGCCTGGCCCCAAGGTCACTTTTAAATTGACCCAAAACATTTTGTTTAAATTGTGATATTCTGCCCACTATGATATTTAAAACCTTAAAGATTTTGTCAGTTGATGCAATTTACATTGAGTCAAAAGTAGATCACAACTTTTTTTGAATTTTGCAGGACCCATTTACCTTGCCAAGTTGAAGATGAGCTTTTGTTTTTATTACATCAATTGAAACAAAAGTGGATAAGAATTTATTGTATATTATAGTATTCAGGGTTACAATCATAGTGATTAAATAATATCTTTCCTCATTCATTAATTGCTTTGAAAGCACAAACCTTCAACCTGTCATTCCTTGTCTAAATTTTCGAAGGTTTGTATGGCCATTCCTCCAATGGAGATTTAATTTTTCTGTTACATTTTAAGTGCTCTGACAATAAGTTGCATTACTGCAACTTTTCAAATACAGGTCAGTGTGATCTACTGCTGAATTTAGAAATCCAATGACCCATGATGTAATAGGTATTAAAGTTTAAGGATTCTATACAGGTCACAGTCTTTAAAATATAATGCTTAAGATTTTGAAATGATAAACCTTTAAATTCCAAAAAGATATCACTGTGACTTGCTTTTTAGCTGACACATCTCAAGACCCTAAATGCACCAACTGACATGCCTAAAGACTAATAAACAAATATCAACCATCAGTCAGCCAACTTCATTGAAATATATATGATCAACCTGTAGACTATCCAGAGCTAGTTGATCTAGATTTACCTGTAGACCAAGCTCATCATTAGACACTCAAAGAGATCAAACAGACTATTGTGTCCAATTTCCTTCCAATGTATTGAATTAAAAATGAATTTAATTAAAAGACTAAGAAAAACATATTAAAGCATTTTATTAGTTATTAATATACTTCAAACATTTTACAGTATTCATTCTCTTATATAAAAGTTTCCATGTCCAGGAATCTTAAATATTGTTCATATACTATAAATGTATTACAAATTACAGGAAAAGAACGGACTGATTCAGTGATTTCACTGACCTTAAACAGAATTACATCAACATCTGCAGCTTTCATTCCAAGTAATCATATTTGTACAGAAATTTTTACTTTTGGATAAACCTTATCAAAGATTCACCTTTGACCTCTAGATCTGTGGATAATATGAATTTGGATAATCGAAAATAAACCAGCTATTGAATCATATTCATGAGTAATAATATGGGCAATTATTTCCACCTTTAACCTTTTCCTTTAAATTAGTGCCCCCCCAAAAAAAACTCTGAGATGTTTACATCTTAGGATCCTCCATTTTTTTTTTTAAATATCCCTTTAAAGATACCTCCACCAACCCACCCTGAACACACTATAAAGGTAGTGATTGAGACAAAACACACAGTAAGAAAGACAGACAAACAGATGAGGTAACTACCTCAGTCTTGATATTAGGTCATAAATATAAAATAATTAGGATCATACTGTCCTTCTTGCATTATCAGTTTTCCCTTATAAAAAATATTATCACACATCATGACAATTTTATCAAACAAAGGCCATCCATCAAACTTACACCTGTACCAACATTTGATGCTATCAAAACTTAAACTATATATACCTCATGCACATGTAGACTGTGTAAACAATATACTCAAGTTATTTATACACAGGAACATATATTAGGATGAATACTCTATTCAGTATCCTTTTCTTAGGCCAAAAAAAATTAATAAATTGTTTCTCAGGCAACGCCGCATCAGTTCAAAAACGGCCGCATTGATCAATTTTATTGACATATTGAAAAGAAAAATAACCCAATTTTCTATTTTTCCAAGTTGAAAAAGAAAATCGAGTTATTCCCCTTTTCATAAATGCTAAGATAGACGTTTTTATTACAGAAACTATATCTTTCTTCTAAATCTACAGTATTTTATAAGTTAACTTTTAAATAAATGTTTGGAATAACATTATTTAAAGTTGATTTATATATTATAACTAATTTCAGAGAACAAAACTTAAGAGTTAGTAGATATCACCATTTTATTGAACAAATGACTTTAAAAAAGGTGTAGACTACATCCTGCTTCAAAAAAAAAAAAAAAGCCTGCCTGCTGCATTGAATTCAGATTTTTTTTAGCCTGAGAAACAATTTATTAATTTTTTTTGGCCTTACTACACATTTTTAAGCCATTCCAAGTTTTTCTTTTCAAGGTTTAATATCAAATACACCATGGTTTTTGACTTCCCAGTTTAGAAAAAGAACAAGGTCTCTCTATATTTGTAGTAAAATGTAATCTGACAAATCCATGTAGATTTATGTTCAGGATAAATTAATACTTTGATTTTGCATGGGAATATATATATCTATTAGGAATGTAGAATTGTAAATTTAGATCTTCATGATGATATCAGTTTTACGACTAGGGCTGGGCAATAATATCGATATTTCAATATATTGCAATACAATGACAAAAAATATCGTATCGCAATACGATTTTGTAATATCGATATATTGGCAATATGCTTAGATTAAGGAATTTTGTCATTAAATATAAAAAAGGACTTATAAAAGTTTGTTATTAAGCCAAACAGCAAGACAGATTAAGCCAAACAGCAAGACAGAAGTTGTTTTGTAGGAAAATTTCAGAGCATAACTTAAATGAAATTAACTAGATTTTTTTCCGTGTTGGTAACTTATCCTAGTTATGTACATTCTGCATGTAAATTATAGTAAATATAGTAAGAAAATTCCATTTTTATTACATTAAAAATATTGCAATACATATCGCAATACAGTAAAAAATATCGCAATATATCGCAATACGAAATCTCAGGCCAATACCCAGCCCTATTTACGACTATAGTTTAAAGCATTTGTTTTACTTAGTCTTGTGTGTTTTGTGAGTAGGCAAGAATTTCTAATGAATGGTGGAGAAAGCATTGGAATGGCCATAAGTTTTTGCCAAGTACAGAGTAACAAATAATATTGAAATTTAACAATGTTTCCTCATCTAACCATAAATTTCATGTAAAATATGGAATAGTGGTCTTATAAACAATTATAAATTAGAGATGACCTCTTTTTCCATAAATGAAATGAACTTTCCATGTATTAAAAAAAAATCTGATGTGTATTCGAACACATATAGCACCTAAAACTGATAAGATACATGTAACTACAACCCGAGTGATTGTCTAACTGTCCTGTGGGCTATTTCTGTGAATTTATCTCTGTTTTCCCGCCATGTCTTGGCTGCATCAACATTGGCTGCACTTTCATCATTGGGTTCTGTCAAAAAAATTATACTTTTTAAAAAAATGTATTCAGCTTTGCTATATTTATATTGCAATTCTGTTTGTCAAAATATTTCATACTTGCAATATTTTTAGAAAATCAATCCATCGATTTTTTATATTTGTGAAACAAATGTGTTACCAGTGGCGTAGCGCCCTTTACGCAAAAACGCAAATGAATACACAGATTTTTCACCAAAAAAATAACAATAAAGAAAAAATTGTCGTAAGTTCAATGAAAGATTAAAATAAAATAATTTATATTAAAAGATATTTTTAATCCAATACTGCTAGTACCTGCTAAATAGATTAAAAGAATATATTCAGCTTCTATCTAAGATCTTTGATACAGTTGAGTATACATGTACATAGTTTAATTTAGTTTAATTTTTTTTTTTTAGATTTTCGAGGACGAATTTCTTAATTGTGTCAATTTAAGCAAAAGCAAATAATAATCCATTCCACATGTATGTTATTTACGAATTCCCCTAATAATCTCTTTAAACCAAAGGTACCTGCGTTGTATATGTACTTTACATTTTATATCAAAACAATTAATTTGTACCATGTAACGAATTGAGAATATTCAAGTTTTTTGTGTTGATATACCTGTATATAAAATTCATTTCGCGCTTATCATAAAAAAAACCCAGGGTTAATTGAGAAATAAATTTTATAGCAATTACTACAACATTGAATTTTTTTGTCAAAATTTTTTCCAAGGTTTCCCTGAAGTCCATAATAAATTCTCTTTCGTCAGTAAATTTCAAAATAGTTTTTTGTAATATAATTGAAAAGTTGCTACATAAAAGGAGAAAAAAGGACAAGATAGGGTAAGACCAGTATTTGGCCCCCGATTTTGGGTGTCTTTCAGAATGATCCAACAGTGTATCCATAAAAACCTGTTGTCACCCCTGCCACAAAATGAGTGTTGGTTTTAAAATCTAGAATATACAAGGGTCACAGTGAGGTCAGAAATAGGTCAATTTTCGAAATTTCTCATTTTTATGCAAATTTTCATTAATTTTAGAGCACATTTTCTTTCGGTAAACATAGAGCACATGCTTGCCTATCTACCAAATTTATATATTTTATACAATGATATCAGATGCAGTTTATGTGTAAAAATCTAGGCAAGCTTGTGCTCTATGTTTTCCGAAGAGAAATGTATCCCAAATTTAATGAAATTCCATCAGAATTGAAGAAATTCTGGAAAATGCCCTATTTTTGCACCCTCTAGTGGCTTCAATGAAAGCTTTGAATGAAAATTAGTACTTGTCTTAAAGTACCAGGTGAGCATGAATTTAACTTCATAACTACAATCTATCACAATTTTACCAGTGTTCTGATTTTTATGTTAAATAAGGGGCCAGATTCGGCTGTTACCCTATCTTGTCCTTTGAAAAATTAGCCAACTTTACGAAAAAGCGAAATGTTCTTGTGAAAAAGTATTGTGAAAATATGAGTTATAGCATCCTCACAAAGTCAAGGTTTTTATTTTTATTGACTTATTTCATGAAAACAAGAAATGCTTTTAGAAAAGAAATTTGGGGAGTTGTATTGTCAAAACTCGGCAAGTTTTTGTTAATATTTAGTATATTAGAACTACAATAATTGTAAAAATTGAACTATTTTAAGGTGGTTTTCTAATGTATAAAACCCTTTATATGCGTGAGCTTCTGGGGGCTTCGCCCCCCGGGCCCCCACCAGGGCCCTGCCCTGGACCCGCTGGGGGCCTAAGGGCAGACTCCTTGCCTTTCTGAATACAGTTAATAATTTCCTAGCTACGCCACTGGTTACAAGAAATTTAATTGTATGGTGTCACCAAGTCTCTGTAACAATTATAAACCCTGAGCTAAAGCCAAGTCAGATTGATTTACAAAACTTAATGATGAATTAAACAACTTATTATTTCTCCATTACCTGCGAGCATACTAACAACAGACAGCAGAATTTTCTCGACACTTTGAACAGGACTCCATCTCTCAGCACTGGTTTCATATCCCATAGGATCATCTCCAGGGGCATGTAGGATTGAGATGCATACTCTTCCATCTGGGTATACTGAAAAAAAGGCTCAAAATTTGAACTAACAGTTGGTTGGTCATTTGTTTTGTCTTATGTTCTAATCATAAACATATCTGTTACAAACATGAATACAAATATACCTACTGTTTGGATGAAACAAATCACAGGTAAATTTCATCTTTGGGGGACTCAATGGATAATCAGGTGGAAATGTAAGTCTTGAAGGAAACACACCACCCTCAAAACAAGTACCCTCTGGGCCCCTGTGATGTGAATTTTAAAAATATGATATACAATGTTACAATACTTTTTTTAAAATCATTGATTATTTGCATGGTTACTACAAGGTATATATTTGCTTACATAATATATGCTTCCCATTCAAAGAAATTTTCTTCATCTAAAGGACCAGCAATAATTCCCTCTGGTGGATTAAGTGTAAGCTCTGTGAAAATATGAATTATCCATCAGTACAAGTATAGAGACCTAATTTGTCCCTGGTACAATAATCCGAGATTCCTCTGACTCTAACCCCCGCTTTTATATTATGACTTGTGCGGGGGAGAGTGCTGGATGGTATTGAAAACTGGGAATTTGGCGAAACAAAAGGTGTCGCGACTCTGCCTACCTTTTACAACTTTATTTCGCGGAGCTAACTCCCGAGACGCGAGAAATCAGTAAAATGATTATTATTCTACTTGTTAATTGTCATTACAATGATGCTACCGCCGTTTAAACGGTCCTATCACCGACAAATGAAGCATCACTTGAATTAGGTCGCCTCCTCGCCATTCGACTTCTTTGCGCATGACGTCAGCACACAAATACACAAAATTCCAAAGTAACACGTGCTCAAAACACGTGTGGACCTTTCGGAAAAATGTGAAAGTGTTGTGAAAAAATACATAAAACAATATAATGATGTTTCATTTATTTATTTATAAGGAAAGCAATTGTCAAAAACGACTTCTTTGCTAAAATTAGGTTAAAAACAGCATTAACACCAAACATGATATTTTCACGTGATAGTTTTGTTTGTGTATTTGTGTGTGACGTCATGCGCAAAGAAGTCAAATGGCGAGGAGGCGACCTTATTCAAGTGATGCTTTATTTGTCGGTGATAAGACCGTTCAAACGGCGGTAGCATCATTGTATTGACGATTAAGAAGTAGAATAATAATCATTTTACTGATTTCTCGCGAATAGAGTGCTCCATGTTGTAAAAGGTAGGCATATGACAATCCAAACATTTTCGCCAAATTCCCAGTTTTCAATATGGAAAATCTTATTCTCCCCCGCACAAGTCATAATATAAAAGCGGGGGTTAGAGTCAGAGGAATCTCGGATTACTGGTACAAACAGGTTGGGCACACACCGCCAAATGGTCATTTAACCCCCGTTTGGTGGTCAATCGCCCATATCGGCGTCTTTTTTACCTACCAAATGGTGGTCTTTTTTATTCAAATCCAATTTTCATTGAAATAAAGCAAAAGCGCATTTACTTAGGCATTGGGGCATTTTAATTAACAAATTCATCGCACATTTAATAAGATTTAGTCAATTTTCCATGTGGAATTTCTGTGGAACTTCGTAAAAACGAAACCCACAGCTGTTCGTGACGGCCGAACTATTAGCTCATACAATACAAAAAATTATTTTGTTGTGTATAGTTCGGTAAAAAATACATTTAAGCAAGAAGAGTTAATCTAGAGAAGTAACTTTTCAAACGATCTTTCTATCTGCGTCTATATAATTCTTTATAAAATCCCGTTAAACACGAGCTCCTCGAATCTTATTCGTATGGTGGGCACTTAGTGCTATAATATTCATTTTTCCTACATTTGAATGTAACATTTATTCTTTATTTTCTTTTAGGATGAAGTTACGATTTCTGTGCGACCCTTTGTTGTTTAGTATGCATATCTATGTTGTATCTACTATATTTATTAAATATTTTTGAATAAAAGATTTACAAAGTGACATTTGCAATTATTCCTGTTTTTATTCCAAGATTATGGTTTTCGAGTGATTATTTTAACATGAATTCACTGCATATCACATTTTTATAAAAAATAAAGCCATTGCTTACGAAATAAACTCAATAAAAGCGAATTCTTACCATTCCTCTTATTTTACTTTTTGAAAATTAACACATATGGGCCTCCGTAGTTAATTCAGTCTTTTGACCCAAGTTTGGAAAAGATCGTCATTTTTGATTGGTTTAGTACTGATCGGTTGCCCGGTTGACAGAAATATGAAGTGATCAACACGATTGATAGGATCAACTACGCGCGAGACGGAGGGAATTTTTCTTATAAAGTTAAAACAGAGAAACGTTACATTTGTTTACATAGGTGACGATTTTGTCAATTATTTGATCGACACTGCGCAAAAAAGTTTGAAATTTTAATTTTTTTCGTTCAGAGTACAGATAAATATCTATATTTTATTCCCCGTGAGTTGAAATTATGCGCTATTTCACGTCATTCCAGAGAACTGAACAGAACGATTTTTCTCTCCCATTTGGTGGTTAATAAAGACGCCGATATGGGCGAATAACCACCAAACGGGGGTTAAATGACCATTTGGCGGTGTGTGCCCAACCTGACAAATGCACTATATTTTTTAACATAATTTCACAGGGAGTTTGACATTGTCATATCCATAGGCTTCATCATTCAAAACAAATATCATGCATCTTACGTTTATATTCTGCCATAAGCCGTTTTAGTGCTGATCCAGCCATGATCTCTAACTTGCAATTTGTAAACTAATTTCTAAAGTTTTGACATCATCTACTCTTTTTCCTGAGAAGATAAGAAAGTCTTCAATATCACGTGACATTTTTCGAGAGATTCCATTGGACCGATTGAGCGGCTAAGTTCGAAAAAATCAGTGATGGCAACAGACGGTCCTCTAAAGGTTTGATCTACCATTGTTTTGCTTTTAAATCAGAACCGACATTACATTGAATAGTTTTTAAACAGTATGTTTTCAAATATAAAGCGGTTTTTGACGATCGGTTGGTTGTTTCGTAAATTAGAGTAAAACAAAAACACGATCACCGGTTTCGTTTTTCGTGTTTATTTTTGGAAAGTGTTCTCATAAAATCAAAGGTATATGCAAATGTATGATAGAAGTGATCAAATTTATACCAGGATATATATCGCAACTATAAAATTCATTTAGGATTGTTGACTTTTTTTTTTTGTTTTTCAAGAGATCGGGATCGGAGTACACTGTTCGAATTTTCATAAATGGAGGGAATGTTGACCTGTTTCTAGCTTTAATTAATTAGAAAGTATGAATTTTTTTTCAAGATCATCGCTGGTATCAGATTTATCAGATGTGAAATCGACAGTCTAATCTAATATATTGTAGACTCTATTTAATAACATAAATAAGAAGAAGACAGGGGAGACAAAGGGTTCAGCAATGGATTCTGAAAATACAGACATCGTACATTTACCGGGAGATGCTGATGGTGGCAAAGGGAAGAACAAAAGACTGTCGATTGAGAGGATCTATCAGAAGAAATCACAGTTGGAGCACATTCTACTCCGTCCAGATACATACATTGGTTCCGTAGAATCTGTGACTCAGGTAACAAATGGGTTTCCTTTTATCAGGTTGGGAACACATCCCCTTTAGCGAGATCATCTCGCTAAAGCGCGATTATCCCTCTTTAGCGGAAGAAAAAACATTACCATAAACGGGAATTTTGTTGTTTTCGCTACAAAATAATCAAAAATCTCGTGCGTATTGAAAATCCGGGAGAGAGCTGCATTGAAGCGTGAATTTACTACAAAAAACTGACAATATTGGCTAGAAAGTTAAGACAATCACTGCTGCGTGTGAGAATAAGAAGCTGAAATCCACATGAAAATCGGGCCTTTTTAGCGAAGGTTTCAAGATTTACAGTCATATATGTTTTTGAAGCATATAAAATATGTATAGATATCCAAATTATATTCGTGAGAGTCTTAGTTTTCCATTCTTGTAAAAAATCAAAAATAATATTCTTCAGAAACCCATGATATTTGCTTAAATATTTGATCTTTGGTTGACGCTAAGAAGTACGGTAGGGCAACAGGGTTGTAACGTTTGTGGAAAAGTTATGAATATAAAAAAAAAACAAGTATAAATTGAGATTTGTATAGAATATGGATAAACCATTAATTTAATAGAATATTGAAAACAAACTAATAAAAAAAGGTTTATTTTGAGTCTAACCGATTTGACTTAGTGAAAATGTTGATACATGGTAAACTTGTAAATTCAGGAAAGCATGATTCAACGGCGTCGGAAGCAAAAATCAACCTGAAAAAAAACTTGACAAAAAAGAGAGAATTTGACTAATTTAAAAACCCTATTTTATGTGGGTAAAGGGGGGATGTAGCTTCGAACTTTTTTTCAGTTACCACTTACCCTTCTTTTCATTAACACTGAAACGTGCCTGTTGAAAGTGAAAAACATGTTACCTTGAATTACTTTTCATAACTATATATGAAATTAGAGAAAACAAAAATTCGAAATTGCATTTTTGAAATTACTGCTTTTAACGTGTTGTTATAATTTAAAGAAGTATGCCCTAGGTATTCGTATTTTAATGACATAAATTCTTAATGTTTTTACCCGTAGCAATGGACAGTTCATCGTTTGAGGACACTTCAATCGCGTTTGAAACATAAGTTGGGATCCTGCATAAGTTAACATGTGTAAATTTTAATAGGGAATCAGATGCTTTCCAAAACATAGGCTACTAGGCTACATGAAAGAACACCGACCAGGTGGCATTTTTATATCTTTAAAAAAAAAGGGGGGCTTCTAAAAAATCATAATTCAATAAATAAAAAAAGCTAAAAGTGTTGATTGTTTATTGTTAAATGCCGAGTCGGCAAATTTCAGCCGTATTTTGCGGCAGATTAACACTGCTAAAGACACGCTTTATTTTTAAAGAATATCAACGAACACTGTATGGGATACTTTTAATTTTGCATTTTATTATAATTTGTAATTGTTTTATTGAATTAATAAGAGAGGCTATTGTCACCTTTATATATAAGCGATGATTTACCGTTTATGAATTGCTTCCTTATTAGAAGAGTCTGAATTGATCACCGATAAGACTCTTTCATTAAAATGTCTGTGATTTGAAAATGGTTATGTGATGTCGATAGCTTTTACCATGCCTGATTAGAATCTTGGTATATTATACATTTAAAGAAGTCAGTCGCACAACCTACCTACTGTATTTGCTCCTGAAATGTGGATTTAACCATCCATCTACATTTTCTCTAGCCGTCTAAAATATTTGTTTCCAATATAACTTGCAAAGTTTGAGACAGTGCAATAGTATAGGATAAAATAATTTTTAGGGTTGGTTAATTTACGTAGGACGAGATTTTAAAACTGACACTGAACGTTTTTTTTTTTTATTTTACGGATAAAATATACATAGAAGAATTAATATATCTGTTAGAATATCCTGGGAACTCTGACGAGTAGCAAAGAACCAATGAGGGCACTTCTTACAGTAAGAAGGTGGGGCTTAATATCAGTCAATCAGGCGATTTGAGAATCTTTAGGTTTACCAAACAAATTTCGTTTCGAGATCGTCATACCCAACGGATAGTCCAAAGTGACGGACACCCCATCACTATATCATTCTGTATATACTCCCGCTTTTCAAGCAGGCGTATTAAAGAAAATAAGGTAAACTTACAATTACAATAACCGATACCGATAATTATCACCTGTGGTCCTCCGTAGGAAGGCTACGCTATTGTTCATAAACTCATTCTAATTTCCATGATTTGCAGCAGTAGAGGCAATATTTTGAAGCAAATTTATTGAGATGAAACAATAAATATTCATCGAATGGGTTGACATACTTCCGGATTTTCCTTTTTCAGAAGTTAACATGATTACAGCTTGAATCGGAGTACAAATCTCGGTTTTCCGAATGGATATTATTAGAGAGGGATAATCGCGCTTTGAATATTCAAAGAGGATGTGTTCCCAACCTGTTTATATAATCACACTTACTTGTTTAGATAGAACGTTCTATCATTAAAATGATATTGTCCTACGGACCCGGTTTAACGATAGAATTCGTTCCGTGTATTCGTAAGAAGAAACACGGGCGATTAACTCGTACTAGTGCATTTACTAGGAACAATCTAGAGAGTTCCAAATGTAAACATGGCAGGTAAATTTGAAGCGAGAGAAAAACGTTGAGAAAATTAAATGGATTTTCATATTTATATGGATTATTTTTGGGGATAAAAGGCATAAGCAATCTCAAAAAGGTTTGTTTTGATTATTTTGGTAGTTATTCCCAGTGCAAATCATTTCATATTCTTCAAAATCGTTTCGGAGCGGATCCGCTCCGATTTGCTACATTGCAAGTATATGGGACGTATTCTAACTCTGGTGAGGGCTTGTACTGAGACACAGTTAGATTATTCTAACTATTACTTGTTATAAATGATTATTGTTGTGTTTTACCTGTAAATAAGAATAAAATAATCAAGCCTGGACGGTGGGTCAATTTACCCAAAAGGAAAATATAAGGAACCCAAAAGGACTTGGAATGATAGAGGCAACTGGCTATTCAATGAACATTTTTATACATAATGGAAAGTACAACAGAAATTTTAGAGGAAAAAACTTTTAGGAGGGCTGCTCCGATACCGTATAGATTTGAAGGATGAGAGAGAGACCTAATGCAAAGTATTTGCATGCTTTTAAATCTGAAAGCACAAAATTTTGTAAAAATGAATTTATTTCTCCTTAGAATTCAAATTCATAGCACAAATGTAGGAAAGGGTTATTTCCTTCTGATTTTGTTTCTGTAAAAGAACAAAAGTAGAACAAAATCAATTGTTGACATTTTTATGAAAAAGAATCACTATTTATCAGATTTATCTTATGATGGATGTTTTTATGATTCTTTTGTCTTGCAGGCCATGTGGGTTTTTGACTCTGACTTGGATCAAATGATTTTGCGAGACATCACCTTTGTTCCTGGACTGTACAAAATTTTTGATGAAATTATTGGTAAGAAATTCAAACTGTAATGAAGTGAATGCAAGCTTATTGCTTAACTGCTTTTTTAAAAACAATGGGAAGTGGAGACTTTTTCATAACCCTTTTACTGGTTAAAATTTAATATTGTGCATTCTTAGTTGACATTAGTAAACAGATTATCAAAAATGTATGGAACATTATTAGCCACAGTTTTCATTATACAATGCATCAATTGTAATTTTGATTTTGATGTCTTTACAGTAAATGCAGCTGACAATAAACAGAGGGATCCCAGCATGAACACAATTAAAATTGACATTGATGCGTAAGTTGTTGTCTTTTGCTACTACCTGTAGAAGAGATGAAAGATGAAAATTATGCAGGGTATTTGCTTCAAAATGTAGTTTAATTGTTTATGTATGATTTAGAGGTAGTAAAGTTTTTCTTTTAAAAAATGACTCCCATGTCTAGTATGGGGCCACAGCAGAGGCTCTAAACTTAGTGTTTTAAAGGAAATGTCCAATATGTTCATATTCATCTAATAAGAGAATATTGTGTGAGAGGGGGGGGGAGGGCTAAAAATTTAATCTGAAAAGTGCATGAAGTATCCAGTTAAACAAGGTGAATGCACTCGCGCCACCTTTTTCTCAGTTTCAGTATTTGGAATTTAAAAAATGACATGTACTCTGAGTATAATGAATATGCAGTTTTTAACAAATAGAATAATGTTTTCAGTGAGAACAACAAAATAAAGATTTGGAACAATGGAAAGGGTATCCCTGTCATTGAACACAAAACAGAGAAGATGTATGTGCCAACAATGATCTTTGGGCATCTGTTGACATCCAGCAATTATGATGATAGCCAGAAAAAAGTTACAGGTAAGTAGGGCTTAGTATATTAGGCAACATAATTGGTATTGCGGAGACCAATCCAGAAAAAAAGTTCCATCCTCACTTTTTCGTAGTTTAGTACTCAAATATCACTTCTGATAGCCATTTGCAAGAAGCCTTTGCCTACTTTGTTTGAAAATGCATTCAAATACATTGCTTACGATGTTCACATGTTGATAAGCAATGCATAATGCAAAGCTTTTGAACAGACAGGAAAAGTATATCTGTGAACAAAGAATTTATCATTATTTTAAAGAAAATTTGAAAATTAAAAAAAAAAATCCTCCCTCATCTACTCAATTGCCAATAAAATGCCTTCCTCTTGCATCTGTTTTGCAGAAAATTGGCTTATGAGAAAATATCCACATTCCTTTTAAAAGGTTTAAAATAATTTTTGATATAATGTTAATTAAAAAGATATATGAAGAATTAAATTTGGTCTTAAGTGTAGCCTTTATTTAAATTAATGTAGCTTTATTTAATTTGACTTAATCAATTTTATTTTATTCTCAAGTTCAAAATACTACATGTTTTGTCTAGTATTGATAGAAATTTTAACTGTGAAAATTGTGGACAAATATAAAAAAAATATGTAGATCTATCCAGAAAGATCATCTTCATGAATTTAATGTGCATACATGAATCACAGGTGGAAGAAATGGATATGGTGCCAAGTTGTGCAACATTTTCAGTAAGAAATTCATTGTGGAGACATCTTGCAAGGATTACCACAAAGCTTTTAAGCAGGTTAGAATTCTGTGAAACCTTTTATACTTTAAGGTCAAGATCTAAGATGAAAGGTGTCTACAGATTTATCAAACTTGAGAAATAAATTCCTTCATTGATGCTTTGCAACTTTAGCTTGGTCAAATAAGGTGTTTCGGGGCATAATTTGTAGATAAACAAGATGAAAAACTGTATATTAAAATGTCATTTTTAATGAAAAATTAAGAAAACCAGTCATGAAAATGGGAGGGTTTTTTTTTCATACTCGGCAAAGAAAATGTATCCAGATTGCCTACAGTCTTTCAGAAAACGGTAATTAGAATGTTCATGGCCTCTTCTGTAAATCAATATCAAATTTAATATAGGTATCCGTTTACTTTTCATATGATTTCAAATTGAATGACATGAAAATACCCTATTTTCTACATAATTCTGCTAATGCCGTAAAGTACAGGAAAAAGAAAGTTGAAATTGATTATGACGTCATAATGGATTTAGCACCAAAAAATTAGTCTCAAGTTATTTACTAGATCTTGACCTTAACATGCAAGATAATGCTTATGCAGGTTAAATGTTCTACAGGAGTTATTTGCAAAGATGAACCTTATTTGAAATTTTGTATTCATACACATTGTTTCTTTAACTTAATGTGATACCAAAATTGATGTATTGCATTTCATCTCTAACTTAAAAAAAATTACTAATTTATTTTGTGACTTTTTAAGACATGGATTGACAACATGGGGAAGACAAAAGAGCCCACCATTACAGATGCCAAGAATGATGATTTCACATGCATTACTTTCTTCCCTGATCTTGAAAAGTTTAAAATGGAGAGTTTGACAAAAGACATGGTGGATTTGTTTACACGTAGGGCATATGATGTCGCCGGCTCATCCAAAGGAGTGAAGGTTTTCCTCAATGGAAAAAGACTTCCCGTAAATATACTAATTTTATACTTCAAATCTGTTTGTGTAAAATAAGTGATATGAAATTACTAATTTTTATAATTTGATATGCATAATGAAAATTGCTCCTTTATCTATAGGTGAAAAATTTCAAAGACTACATTGGCCTTTACCTAAAAGATAAAACAGATGACAATGGGCAGCCATTACCTGTCATTCATGAAGTTGCCAATGAACGATGGGAAGTGGCTGTAACCTTAAGTGAAAAAGGGTTCCAACAAGTCAGCTTTGTTAACAGCATTGCCACTACCAAGGTAAAGTCCAAAGTTTTTGTTTTATTGGGTGATATGAAAACATAAACAAGAATCTTGGAAACTAGGACAAAAAAAATGGACTATATCAAACATAATTTGGACAAGAAATGCAGAGTTCAACATTGTGTATTGATGATAACTGCTTTCTTCTACCCTAATGGGCACTTACAATATATTACAATACACAGTATAGCATTTACAAGCATCCATGAGTAAATTTGAAAAGCAATAAATATATGTTTGTTTTCTTTGTTTGACAGGGAGGACGCCATGTGGATAATGTTACAGACCAAGTTGTGTCCAAACTTATAGATGTTGTGAAGAAAAAGAATAAAGGGGGTGTCGCCATTAAACCCTTTCAAGTAAGTCATCTGAATCTCCCTTCTTTAAAATTAAGATCGAAATAGCTGTTAGCATTCTCTTTCCACATTATACTGTATAGGGGGAAAATAACTCGCGGTGTTAATATTCGCTATATTCACGGTGTTAATAAATCCGTGAATTCAAGAAACAGTGAATAATTTTTCAATAATTTCCATGTTTTATTTGGAAATTTGAGAATAGACTATATATACATAGATATACATACTTATATACATGTACGTGCAGTACATCTCGGTCATTTCAGTAATTACGAGTAGTACCGTACTGTCATATAATTATTTTAATTATCAGGCTTTAATTTAATTCAAATTATTCAGCAGATAATAACCTGTATTTGTTAAAAACCTTTTTTAGTTGCCAACGCTACATGTTTCTTCAATCAAAACACGTGTGCCATGGGTTTTGATTATATTTTAGTGTTACCACGTGTATTTGTTACCTGCATGATCGAGCATATTAGTTTTTTTTATCGACATTTTGGTTTTAAAAAATCATTCAAACTAACTTTGGAACTTACTGAAGATGTGGAAGGGTATTATTTTGTTGACCCACATTAACACATTTATTATCGTCCAATGGTTTTTCGCTGCGTTGTATTGAAGATCTTGGGGTGTATATATAGCATATAGGAAAGCAATCTGACGTTTATTAGTCAAGGACTTTTGATAACTGCACTTGTTATAATTTATTAAATCTAACTATTTTATATTAATCTACCCTGTTCGTGAGATAAAGACACAACGCTGACTAATGTCGTTTACATGTAGCTATGGTATGGATAAAACGGATATAGACAAGGGAGGTAACCTTTATTATACATACAAATTCCGCGAATTCAAGAAACCGCGATCGTGTCAGATGAGAGAAAAACGTGAAAATTACAACCCGTGAAATTAATCCCCTATACAGTACTTTATATAAATATAGGTTGAAAGGTTTAGGTTAAATTTCTTGTATTTACAGGTGAAGAACCATATCTGGATATTTGTGAACTGCTTGATAGAGAATCCTACCTTTGACTCACAAACTAAAGAAACAATGACTCTTCAAGCCAAGCAGTTTGGATCAAAATGTGCTCTTTCTGAGAAATTCATCAATCAGGTAATAATAAGACTTCATTTACAATTATGTTTTTTGTAAAATATTTAAGCTACAATTGTCAATGCATGAATATTGGGTTATAAATTATATTTTATGATATTGAAGGTCAGCAAATGTGGAATTGTTGACAACATATTGAGTTGGATGAAGTTCAAAGCTCAAACTCAGTTGAATAAAAAACTAACATCAAGTAAGACCACCAAACTGAAAGGCATACCCAAGCTAGATGATGCCAATGATGCAGGAACGCGGAACTCCAGAGACTGTACCCTGATCCTGACTGAGGGAGATTCAGCCAAAACTTTGGCTGTTGCTGGATTGGGGGTAGTAGGGAGGGACAAATTTGGAGTTTTCCCCCTCAGGGGTAAAGTTCTCAATGTACGAGAAGCCACTCACAAACAGGTAAGTCTAATGGCACAAACATTTATCAATAAAAACTAATATTTGAATATTATGTGGATTCTTTCTGATTGGTGTATATTTTTACAAATTCTAAACCATTGGTTTATATTTATACTTGTTTCATTTGACATGGGATGCTCTGCTAAAAATAGCAGGGAACATTATTAACTTCGGATCCGCCGCAGCAGATCAGATACTTGTTTGTAAATATTAAGAATCTCTATCTTAGATAAATGTATCCAGTGGTGAACATGCATCAGGTTTTAGACACAAAAATCAGCAAATGGGGTTATAGATTAAGTGAAATTTTAAGGGTTATTTTTAAAAGATGTTGAAACTACATGTGGACTTTTCATCTGCCATTTAATGTTAGGCCATATAAAATTGAAATCTTGGTTCTCAGGCCCGCGCGCATCCGTTTTGAGGTAGCCGCATTGCCGATTTTATTGTATTTTTGATAAAATGTTGGTATTGCGGAACCACATGTCATTTGTTTCGTAGTTTAGTATTCAAATATCACTTCCGGTAGCCATTTACAATGAGATTTTGGCTACTTCGTTTGAAAGTACATTCGAGGACATTACTTACGATGTTTACACGCTGTTAAGCAATGGATACAGCAGAAATTTTGACCAGAAATGGAAAGTATATCTGTGATTAAAAAAATTATCTTTATGTTAAAGAAAATTCGGAAATTAAAATTAAAAAAAAATACCTCCCTCATCTACTTTATTGCCAATAAAATGAAAAATAAAATGCCGCCCTCCCGCATCTGTTTTGGAGAAAACTGGCCTGAGAACCAGGGAATTAAATTTAGATAGCCTTACATGTAAATTTTATTTTACAGTTGGTAAATGTTATAAACATGTTGCATTATTGAGTTTTTTCAAATGCTAATCTTTACATTACAGATCATGGACAATGTTGAGATCAACAATGTGATCAAAATCATGGGTCTTCAGTTTAAGGAGAAGTATAATGACCCTGACACGCTGAAGAACCTGAGGTATGGTAAACTGATGATCATGACTGATCAGGATCAGGACGGCTCTCACATCAAGGGACTCCTCATCAACTTCGTCCACCATTTCTGGCCCAATCTCCTCAAATACAATGTGCTGGAAGAGTTCATTACTCCCATTGTCAAGGTAGGAAATAGAACTTGTACAGTATGTATAGATAAAATTTATGAACTGGAATGATGTTTTTGAAAGTGTATTGATTTTTAAATAGTAACAAACTTAAATAGATAGAAAATAATCAATGTTTTGTAGTTGGATGTGGAATTTGATTTACTCACAGAAATTTTTTTTTTCGATCTTTTGACAAGTGTAAAGCACAACTGAAAATATCAAATAAATTCTGTTTTGCGACTGAAATAAATTCAGCAGAATTTTTGGGTTATTACAAAGATATATGAATATGTTATAATAATTTAATCTTGGAATTTTACAGAAAACAAACTGAAGTTTGGTATAAATTGCAGGTCACAAAAGGAAAAACGGAGCGTTCATTTTACAGCTTGCCTGAGTTTGAAGAATGGAAAAGAGAAACTGAGAACTGGCACACTTACAGAGTCAAGTACTACAAAGGTCTTTATCTTAGGTCATATAGACGTTGATTAAAAAAACAAGAGAGATATTGCCTGCCACTGTGTGCATTTGTTTGTTTGTTTTCAATTTTAAAGAAAAGTGCTTGAATTCTGAGGTTTGGGGCAATTTGAGACAATTTTTTTTTCATCAGCAAAACTTTCGGTTTCTTTCAAAAATGTATGAAACTAGCAACATCCATGAAGCTGTTGAAATTTTCTTATCAAATTAGAATAAGATTTTCAAATGTAATCTTTTTCTGAGGAATTTTTTGATGGGGGGGGGTACTTACTTGTATGAATTATATTTTTTATTTTTGATGACAAAGTAACAATCTTTAAAACTTTACCATTCAGTTTTTTGTTTTTTTTTTGAAAATGCTTTGATATAAGTTGGAGAAAGGTCAATTTTTTTTGAAGGGGGGGGGGGGAGTTGTTCTTTTTATCAGTCTCATTTATAGTGGCAAAAAATCCTTGTTGCATTTGAATGCATAATTTTTTTTCAATATTTTAATAGCAACTTCTCTGAATTGATTTCCTTAAATTCTTTTCCTGTAGGTTTGGGTACCAGCACATCTAAAGAGGCTAAGGAGTACTTCAGTGATATGGAGCGTCACAAGATCCCATTTAAGTACACAGGGGCAGAAGACGATGCTGCAATTAACTTGGTATAGGGTTTTGTGTTATCTAAACTTGAATATTAACTGTACGTGTACTAAAAAAAGCAAGCTTCATATTTTAGTGGCTTTGGCGCGAACAAGAATACGCTAATTTATGAATACCGCTAAAAATCATTTACTAATACAAAACAAGGCATGAACATGTGTAGCGCTAATTCATGATTACACTACAGTACTTCTATCAGGTTCATGACAACTGAAGAAGATAGTAATATAATTTATCTTCCTTACTTTTCAGGCTTTCAGCAAGAAGAAGGTTGAGGATAGGAAAGAATGGCTGACAAGCTGGATGGAGGACAGAAAACGCAGATCAGAGATGGGTTTGCCTGAGGTATTATTATTTTTTATTGTACACAGTTCTGCTTGTACATGTATTTCTGAGGTATTTGTAGTTATATTATGGACTGATGAAATTTTTTGTTTTCAGAACTATTTGTATGGAAAGGCCACCAAATCCATTTCTTACAATGACTTCATCAATCGGGAGCTGATTCTCTTCTCTAACGCAGACAACGTACGATCCATTCCTTCCATGGTGGATGGGCTCAAGCCGGGTCAACGAAAGGTCGTCTTCACTTGCTTAAAGAGAAACTTGACAAAGGAGATCAAAGTGGCTCAGTTGGCAGGGTCAGTGGCAGAAATGTCTGCCTATCACCATGGAGAGGTATGTTTGCCATTGTAATGCATGTAGTGTTATGGAATATTTAAGTTATTCACTATGCAGTAAAACTCCTTTAGTACAAACACGGATATTTCCAATGTACGAATATAGCAGAGTCATCTTGGATCCCCAGCTTTATAAATTTAATGAATTTCTTAAACAGTTATAATGAATTACGGATATAACAAAGTAATTTCACAAATCCCAGCGACTTTGTTATAACCGAGTTTTGCTGTATGTTCTTTCTTATAAAACTGATTTTGTACCAGTATTTGATTTAAAATTGTAAGTTTGAAAAAGAATGTTCTTTAAATTTCGAAATTGAAAAAAAATTATCCTAAAAGACAGAAAAGTATCATCTTTTACTTGTAGGTCTCTTTGATGAATGCCATCATCAACTTGGCCCAGAATTTCATTGGTTCAAATAATCTGAACATCCTGCAGCCCATTGGACAGTTTGGAACAAGACTACATGGTGGTAAAGATGCTGCCAGTCCTCGATACATCTTTACAGCTCTCAGGTTAGTGTGCTCTTAGACTCTCAATTCGTTTTCATTTTTCAGTCTAGATTGAATTAAAAATTCAAATTAGATGCAAAAATGATTAAAAAATAAAATGCTTTCTTTGGTTGTTAGTACCGTAATTTTCGGATAATAGGTCGATACTTTTTTTTCTCAGAATTGTTGGGGTCGCCCAATATACGAATTCGACCTTTCTAAGGCTCAAGTTTACAAAAAATGCCCCAAAATCAATAAAATTTACGTCAATTTCAAAGCAAATCTGTGCCACTTTCATAACTTTTTTCATTATTTTACGCATAAAAATTAATGCCCAGGTAAACAATAAAATATTTATTCTATAGCTTTCTTACAAAATAAATTCCATTAAATATCCGTTGATGACAAAGGAAAAAACTGTGCTTCATCAAGTAAATAATTCCTCAACGTGTTATCCATCATGCGGTAGCCATCTTGTGAAGTTAGGAAGTCGCTACCGTTTACTAAAAGTAAAACCGCAACCGTATCAAAATTTAAAATACGGAAAATTTTTCAAGATCACGATTACCGCTATACAAAGATTGGATTCTAACAGAATTTTAATTGTCTGACAGATAAAAGGATTTACACTGTGTGTACACGCAAAGGTTTAGACACCTGTGTTGGTTTAATGCCCGCAGGGCATGATTAGCAAATCCATAGCAAATGCCGTTATAGGGTATTAGTGTTACACATCATTGAACAAACAAAGCCATGAAATTCATAATGTCTGTCAAATTGTGAATGTACCGGTACTCTCAATTAAATTTATAAATTAAACTTAAAGCGTGGTAATATTATTTCAATTCTTACATTCAGTGGTCGTTTGCGGGTTTTAGCAAATCCCTGAAGAACAAAAATGAAAATGGCGGACATCGAAGCAATTGTCTTCCACCGGTTAATAATGTCTGAATGTGTCCAAGTTGTTCTGAAATCAGAATTATTATTCTTTGATCTCGGGTATTTCACGAATTATAGCTGTAAAATAAGAACGTATTTACATGATATTTATGCCTGTGGTTTAACAACAGTATGAAACTACGGAGGCATTGAACAGGCAAGTTGGAGAAAAATAAGTAGTAACACAATTCAAAGAAGTTTTAACTACATTTTTTTAAAAACTTTATTTAAATGCTGTACTCATTAAAATACCCATTTATTTTCTTGATACGTTCATGTCACGGAATTACCCCGGTAATTTTAGAGGTTTACCTGTTCTGATACGTTGTATCTGCGTAAGAATCTTTAGAAAACGGGAAACAAAGCCTCGTCCTATATAGTAAGTTCGTCCTATCTTAGGATTTTTCAATCAAAGTACTCAGAAGTACAGAGAGCCGGGCTCATTTACAGAGTAGAATGGATTTCTTACATGAATCACGTTTATATTCTGATGAAAAAATTATTTTAAAACTATCAATATAAATGATAAGACACTGACAGTGAGTTTTTCAATCCTAATACCAAGGTCCGATTTTGTCAGAATCAGAATTAATCTGGTACCGCAGCTAAATGTAAACAAACAGGCCAGTCTGGTTCTCTCTCCTGCTTTACCTCGTATGGGTAGAGAACTACGGTAACACTGATTATCAAAAATCCTTACGCTAATGAACTATGTTCTTTGACTTATGAAGTTTTCAAAGTCATTACTACTAATGTTTATTTTATATAGATAAAACTTGGTTTTATTTTTGTTACATTATCTAGCGTTTGTATTATCTCAAAAGCGGTTGAGAGTAAGAACTATATTTTTGCACGTAACTTTAAAATGGCGACTATGGGGTTAACATCCTGCCTTGAACAGGATCACATAATTGCTCTTTGAGCAATAAGCCCGGCTAAAAATTAAGCCTGAAAATGAGCCTTTCGACCTATATACCCCATCGACCTATTATCAGAAAATTACGGTACGTGAATTAATGTTTTAGAAAAAATACACAACCCAAGTAAGGGAGGGGGTAGTATTTTCAAACTATGGTTCCTTTGACTAAAAGAAGTCAGAGTTTAGGGCAGAAAAGCTTTGCTGCAAAATGCTTGGGTGACTTGTATTCATGTCATGAATTTTTGTTCTATGTTTAACTCTTTATTGTAGCCCATTGGCAAAAATGTTGTTCAACATGAATGATGAGCCTCTGCTGAAACACAATTTTGATGACAACTTGAAGATTGAGCCTGAATGGTACTGTCCAATTATACCCATGGTGCTGGCCAATGGTGCAGATGGAATAGGAACAGGATGGAGCACCAAGATACCAAACTTTGATCTTAGAGAAATTGTTGCCAATCTCAAAAGAATGTTAGATGGAGAAGATCCACTCCCAATGGTAACTTTTTGTTCATGTTCAATCATTTACTGACTTGGAGAAAAAAAGGACAACAAGGCTTAAACAATTTAAAATACCTGTAGATTCTCATTTAGTTTAAGTTTCTGCATGAAGAAAGATAATTTTACATTTGTACAGTGTAAGAGTGTTGTTACAGGTACCAAGCTACAAGAACTTCAAGGGTACGGTTGAGGAGCTGAGTGATAATCGGTTTGTAGTCAGTGGAGAGGTAGCCATTATTGACGATCAGACAATCGAGATTACAGAGCTGCCTGTCAAAACATGGACACAGAACTACAAGGAGGACGTACTGGAACCCATGTTGTATGGAACAGAAAAAACTCCAGCAATGATCACGTAGGTCACACAAAATTCATTTTGCAGTGAAGGAAACAGATACAAGAGCACCACTTGCTTGCTATTTCAAAACATTGTAAAGATAATTTCTACAAATATACTGTACATGTAGGACAGCCAGTGTTACTGTGACAATTTTATGTATTTATAAAGGTTTTATTATATGGTAATATGATCTGATCTTTACATCATCTAGCTGGATATTTCTCCACATATGCATATTTTTACCCACTCAAGTCAGAAAACTTGTATGTCTTGTTTAGTAATGCTGGTTTGATCTATATTTAGGGATTTCAAGGAGTATCACACAGATGCTACTGTGAAGTTTGTGATCAAGATGACCCCTGAGAAGTTAGCCGCTGCTGAGGAACAAGGACTTCACAAAGTGTTCAAGTTACAGTCCAACATCTCCTTAAATACAATGGTAAGATCTATCAATAGAGCTGTGTACAGTGGTTAGATCTATCAGTAGAACTGTACACAATGGTCAGATCTGGCAGTAAACCTTTATACAATGGTTAGATCTCGCAGTAAACCAATATAAATATTCAATGGTAAAATTAAGTAGTAGTGTTTTATACAACAATTGGATCTATCAATAGCTACAGTTAAAATCTAAAGAACAAAGTCAGTATATCGTCATTAGGGATGGCAATTTGTAACCTGTTAATCGATTAATCGATTAGAAAATCCGTAATCGGTTAGTCAGAAACAATAAAATACATGTAAATTTGAGCGCAGTTTCCTTAAAATCCCTTCTGCTTTTTTTTTTTTTTTTTTTTTTTTTTTAGAAAGGAAAGCGCTGCATAGATTTTTATTTAGTGTTTTTACACATCTTATAATTAAGAATATTTGGAGGTAATTATAGCTCTCCAGATTGAGATCGCAGGGTAATTGGTCAATTTGTAAAGTGTTAATTACTGTTTTTATAACATCATGCCGTTATCCAGATAGTCCTGTGTGTTTTTTTTTTTTATGATATTGAAAACATTACCGTTAAGCACTTTTAATCATAGTATGTCGATATTTTGCTTTTATCTCTTAAATTATATTATGATAAAGAACGTTGTAAATTGTAAATAAAGTGAGAGTTCAGACATAGACTAGTTCTGATTATGGTGACAACGCAGAATTAACTTCTTTAACATCTTGTTTGGAAAATTATCTATGTCAGATTTCTCAAGCAAGATTCATGGTTTTCTTAATTTTTTCTTGTCTTTTGAAATAAAGTATACTCTTATGTACATAAAATTCCCTGATCAAAATATAAAACAGAATGTAACTTTTAACATCTTTTTAGCCTTTATGTGTATATGAAAAGAAAAGGTCTAAATGTATATCTTGATACGACTAACCGGTTAATCGCTCGAAACGTTTAGGGGTTAACCGATTAGCAATTCTGCAATCGATTGCCATCCCTAATAGTCATATATCTGCTTAAATGCTGTGGTTAGATCTGTCGATAGCTATAGTCCACCTTTCTCTTTTAATACATGTACAGTGGTTGGATCTAGCAAAAGACTAGTATACAATGTTTAGATTTATCAATGATTAAAAAATGATTAGATCTGTTGTTGGTCCAATTTCTACAGAAAAACAATGGTTAGATTTATCAGGCCTGTGTACAGTGATTAGCTAGTTTATAGTGGCTCAATCTACATTCTCATTGGATTTTATTTGTTCACAAAATGGATTTTGGTTGTTAAAAAGCATCATGTGTTTTTCTCATTTTGACAAATAATTGATACCTAGATATACTGGAAAATATGCAAATAGCAAAATGTTTTGAAAGTGATGATGCTATTTTGCATTAGTTGCTAACTCATTTGAAAAGTTGCTAACTCATTTGAGAATTTGACTTGCAATTCTTGAAAAGCTACATGTAACTATTAAACATTCTGTTTTAAAGGTGTTGTTTGACCACAATGGATGTATCAGAAGGTATGAGCAGATCACTGATATTCTAAGAGAATACTTTGATCTGCGTCTGGGTCTGTACCAGAAACGCAAGGACTACATGGAGGGCTTACTGGCAGCAGAGGCTAGCAGATTGGAGAACATTGCCAGATTTATCATGGAGAAAATTGATGGCCTTATCACTATTGGTAAGAATGCAAAAACTGTCCTGCTATTGAAGAAGGACAAAATACCTGATATTCCTTTCTGTAATCTAGGAAGCTTAAGATATGTTTAGAACATTTTCTTAACAGGAATGTTAGTAAGAGGAATATATGACTATGAATTTTTCAGAAAACAAGCCAAAGAAAGAGCTCATCCAGATGTTGGTCAGGAGAGGCTATGACTCTGATCCTCTGAAAAGATGGAAAGAACTTCAGGCTAGAGAAAATGTAATAAACTTACAAAAATATTATCAACCAATTGCTAAAATTAGCTGTAGATTCCTAAATATAAATGTAAGAAATTTATTTATTGTGTATAAAGTTTTTGAGAAGTAGCACTCCTGAAAGTAAATGAGACCACTTTTATTTTTATATTGCGTAAGTCTTGAGAAATAGTCACTCCAATATTTCCTGTTTTTGCAATTTGATATGTATGGATTGTTGCAATAAGGAATCTACAGATCTAGTATACTTCTTAGAAATTACTCTGAGGAAAATGATAATAGTGATTTTTCTATGTTTTGGGGACTATGGTGTCTGTTCAGTATTTATATGTAGTTAGGCTAGGTACTGTTAAGAATTGAGGTTACTTGTAGGAGGAGGGAGATGAAGAGGATGATGATGAGAGCTCAGCCTCAGGATCCTCAGGGGGCCCCGACTTCAACTACATCCTAAACAACCCTCTGTGGTGCCTCACCAAGGAAAAGAAAGAGGACCTACTCAAACAGAGAGATGAAAAGGCAAGTCATTAATCAAAACATAGATAGAACTGATTCTTAGTTCACTTGGTGAATTATGACCATGCTCTCATTTAATGTATTGGAAGCTTAATACAGGTGAAATCAACATTTTATTCTGGCCCTTGTGAGTAGATTTAAAGGAAACTCAGACCTGCCTACCCTTCTGCTTTTGGCGTAATTCTTTCGCTTTTTACCACAAAATTACGCTGATACGCCACTTATATTAATTTTACGCTTTTGATATTTTGGTTAAATTTCCATTATGAACGTCTATATTCAGAGTTAAAGTACAACATGCTGAAATGAAAAGATAAGTTCTTATAAAGGTAATTCAAAGACCAGTTCGATAATGTACGTAATATAACTAGTAGTTAACATGTAAACTGGTATGGCGAAGATCGGAAGAAAATGAGAAGGCATTACTTAACGTTAACAAGTAAAGGATATTGTAAAACATACAGCCATTTCTATGCTCAATTAAGTTTACTTTAACATTGCTTAAAACAAGATAGAGAAATATGAGTGTTAAAAAGATAAAAACAACGTTATAATGTACGAATTGTTTAACATTCAAACGCAAGCCTTCAATTAAGTTATTTGATACAATTTGACCAAATGCTTCAGTAAGGGTGTACGGTTGAATTGAGTTTGATATAGGATAATAGTATTTTACAATGCTTTTTTTTGCTAATACACGTAGATGAAAAGTTTATGCCAGCTTTGTTTAGTTATTTACAATTTCGGTTGTTTTGAAGGAAAATAAAGTATTATAGTAAAACAAAAAAATTGGAAAACATGATTGATTACGCTTTTACCTCTGAAATTCCACCAAAAATGTACCGAAATTACACCCTTGCAATGAAAAGGGTAGGCAGGTCTGGAAACTTTATAACACGTACAGTGGACCTGTCTATGTTTGAATTGAAAATGGAACAAAATCATTCTCATATCCAAAAGGGATTTTTTTAACGTAATTTTGAATAATCCCAGTATGCAGTATATAAAATGTATTTTTACATTATAATTTGGTTCATTTATCCGGACGGTAAATTTTAATTTGTACTTTACTCTTGTCAACATTCACGAACTGGTGATAATTGTTATCAAAACACTGGCCGGATTGAAATGTTTTTATAAGACGATCACCTGTGACCTGTTATGAATGACTTACGATGATTAGTCCACAGATTAAGCATGCTAAGTGGATATGGTCATAATACACGAGAGCGATACACAAGTGAAAATAAACAATTAACTGTGTCGATAAATTTTCTATTCACTTATTTGTTATCTGCAGATATTTATAATTTTAGTCTTTTTAAATATTTTTTTATTTATAGGAATTGGACGAAATAGTTTCATAATCTCGTTGTCTACACATGTGCACACACAAATCGGTATTGTGTAATTTTCATCTGTAGATTGGTGGCAGTTATCATCGAAAAAAGAAACCTAAAACATTCAATCAAATTTGAATAATCTTAGACAATCAATGATTTCGATTGGGAAGATTAATATGTCAGATTTAGCCACAGCCATTCAAAAAAATTAGCTGATGCTGCAGCCAGTTGGGTGTAATCAAAGACAAAAGAGGAATTCACAGCAAGCTATGTTCATCAATTTCACAAGTAGACAACTAAATTACACAATCTATTTTAACAATTCCTTATAAGCAGGGTTATTTTTTTTGTCACCAGCTTTTCTCCAGTTTATTATTTTTAAAGCCTTGCTATAGAGAGCATGTGTATTTATGACCCTTTTTTTCACTTCGTCCAAATACAAATTGCAAACTTTCACGTTCTAATTGCAATATTTAAGCATTTGTTATTGATTAGCAGAAAATCACCATTTTAGAATAATAAATTATTATTTCTATATGATTTATTATTTCCGCTCTATATATTTTCAAATACGCTATTTAGAGAAATTAGTAGAATTTTCTCCGGACACTTCATTTCACTTTTGCTTTTTTCTAAACACTTCCTTTATTTTTTATGTGTTCGGCTTGTTTGAATTGAAAATGGAACAAAATCATTCTCATATCCAAAAGAGCGAAAATAACCCAGTATGCAGTATATATGTATTATTGCATTTTAACCCTCTATTCATGTTTTACAGAAAGCAGAACTGGAAAATTTGAGGCAATTGATAAGGGCCTTCGCAATTTTTGGAAGTGGGAATGGTTGGAAAAGAATTCATAAAGGTCTTGAAAATACATTCGTAAATTAAACTTCGTTAAAGGCATTGCTTTATGTCCAGCTTTGCATCTTTAAAATTCTAATTGAAAAAGATCCACCAGAGAAAAAGGATGAAAAAGGCACAAAACAGAGACTGTTAAATATTCGTGTTAGGGAAAATGAAGGCATCTAAGAGAAAAGCAAAACAATTGATTATCCATGCTGCCAAGAAAGGTAGACTAGGACATTGTCAAAACCTTAAAAAATAAATAACTTCAGTGTTTCTCATTGTAATTTATTTCACCAAAGGAGAACTATAAGTAGATTTTCATGTTTATTTTTACATAAGCAACATTGACAATATTTTCCAAAATTCAGTTCTCAGTCATTTTTTTTTTTTTACCAGCTTTTATGCCAGTTTATTATTTTTTAAAGCCTTGCTATAATTTATGTGTATTTATGACCCTTTTTTGACTTCGTCCAAATACAAATTGCAAACTTTCATTATAACTAATATTGAAGCATGTATGATTAGGGTGTCAAGTTAAACTGGCGAAAATCTAATTTTCATACAGAAACAGAAGCTTTACTTCAATATTCATGATTTCCTCTGCAAGACTGAAAGTTCATGACACTGCTACAAGAAAATATGTTTCTGAAATAAATAGGACTTTCAATTTTAATCTGATTACCTGTTTTAGCAGGTAATTGTTCCAAGTTCTTCAATTATCAGTTATTTGTTTTCAGATTAAGAAGGAAGCCAGGAATCTGATGGAGAATTTTGACAAGGAAGATGAGGATGAGGACATGGAACAATTAAGTCTAGCGGATCGATTAGAGAAAAAGACCGGCATCAAATCTCCTACGAAAATCAATGGAGAAGTCAAGGCAGAGGCTGCAGAACAACCAGCAAAAAAGAAACGAAGTCAGTGTTTATAATTGTACTCTTTTGTAGCTCAAGAATATAGCTGGGATAATATTAATTTAGGAGGTTTCGTAACATCATCTTATCATGGGCTGAATTTTAAAATAGAATCCAAGATTATAATAATTAAAGAATTGAATTAAAGATAACATCACTCATCACTATACATTTTGTGGTGTTTTATTATGTTAATAGAACACAGTATTTTGCACAGAAATCAATATTTTATTTAATTAAGACAGTTTTTAGACAGTCTAAAGACTGTTCCAATGTATACATTACAAAAGCATGCTACTTACATTACATTACTAAACACTAGTTAATGTTATTTTAAACTTAAAGATTTTCATAGAACTTAAAATCATTTTATTTGAATTTCTGTTGGATTGCAGATAATTCAAATCAAGTTTGTTTATCGCTAGTGGAGACGATTATAAAAGGTTTGAGAGGTTGATAAAATATATAGATTGGTTTAATAATGTGTCTAGAATTAATTAGTGAAAAGTAGTTGATTGACCAGTGTTGGAAAGTGGAGAAATTCTTCCCAACAGTTCGCAAAATCTGGTAACGTAAATTGCACAATTTTTGCATTACGGGATCTGTAGCCTTATGGTCAAAGACTAAAATATAAAACCATAACGCTACAGTTGTTCAGCTAGGGGTGGGGGGGAACTTATCCCGTTAGTTCTTATTGACAATTCAGAAGTTCGTGATTTTTATGTTTTGTTTGCTTCCACTTTTAAGTACGCAAACCAAAAGATACCTCTGGAAGCCCCAAGAAAAAGGGAAGTAAAGGAAAGAAGAGGAATCCTTGGTCAGAATCAGAGGAATCCAATGACGACATGTCAGGCTCAGATCTGGACGGCAGCTTCATGGAAAATTTCCAGCCTAAAAAAGAAAGGCCAAAACGAGAAAGTGGGTAGACAAGTAACAAATGTGTGTGTGGAGGTGACATGCACTTGAATATATAAATATATGTTCATGTACTAAAATTATATGTATATATTTGTATATTTGATTTAATTTCGTAGCATGATGTACAGGTCACTTCAAGGTTTTGATTTACTTTCTGTAGAATGTAAGGCAACAAAGTACAGTTTTGACTCAGATGAGGAGGCCATTAAGTCTGACAGTGATGAGGAGTTTGTGGCAGTCAATAACGAAGAGGAGAACCCGGTCGTGATGAGCTCCGAAGACGAAGCTCCGGTCTCCAAGAAGTGAGTCAAGAGTACTATTTTCTATCCAGCAGAATATTCAAAATGTGTAAAAGAGAACACACACACCCCCAAAAAAACAAATATAGGAATCTTAAGATCAGAAGAAAGATTAAAAGCAGCTTGGTATAATTAGTTTTCAATTCTTCTTGGGATCCAGCAAGCCAATTTTTAACCAAATTTGACATATGTTATCTATAGGTGAATGGAAACAGAAATTTTGAAATTCATAGAAATTTGTCCATATGATATGAATGCCCAGCCAAGTGTATATTAGTAATGCAACATGAAAACTTGTATTGGTGTATGATGAAGAAAAGTGAGGCCAAGGTCAAAGGAAAGGGAAAATGTTGATGCAGTTGAAAAGGTTACATCAGTATATACATGGATTAGCATATGAAGTCTGATAAAAATATCATGATTGGTTTCTTTAAAACTGTGCTTAACACAATTTTAAGAAAAGTAGGTTCATGATAAGTTCTGAAAACCCAATTATAAATAAACCCTATAATGTGTTTGTTTTCTGTTGTTTTCTTCATTGTAACTGTGACTATATTTCTTCATCCATTGAAAAAACATGTACAATTAACTAACAGGTAATGGTTCATTTTTAGCTCACCTCAACGAAGTTGGGGGAGCTTATGTAATACCGTCGGTGTCGGCGTCCCAGGTTAAGTTTTTTGGAGCAGTTTTCTTTTTAAGTACTTCTATGTCCTATATTGATTAGACATGCATGAAAGATGCTTCTAATGTGTTTCACTGTACCAGTCAAAGTTTCAGATGCTGCAATTTCAGCAAAGGAATGACCAGGTTAATGTTTTTGGACCAGGTTAACATTTTTGGTGCAGTTTTTGGTGTAGGTCTCATGTCCAAGGAACTATAAGCCCTATGTTGACCAAACTTGCATGGATGGTACATCTAAGGATGCACATAACCAGGCTTGCTTCGGATGCTGAATCTGACCTACATTTTCCGGTTGAGTGAACATGTTAATGTTTTTGGTGCAGGTCTCATTTCCAAGTAACTGTAAGCCCTATGTTGACCAAACTTGCATGGATGGTACATCTAAGGATGCACATTAGCAGACTTGCATCGTATGCTGAATCTGACCTACATTTTCCGGTTGAGTGAACAGGTTAATGTTTTTGGTGCAGGTCTCATTTCCAAGTAACTATAAGCCCTATGTTGACCAAACTTGCATGGATGTACACTACCAGAATTGCTTCGGATGCTGAATCTGACGTACATTTTCTGGTTGAGTGAACAGGTTAATGTTTTTGGTGCAGGTCTCATTTCCAAGTAACTATAAGCCCTATGTTGACCAAACTTGCATGGATGGTACATCTTAGGATGCATTCTTCCAGACTTGCTTCGGATGCTGAATCTGACCTACATTTTCTGGATGAGTGAACAGGTTAAAGTTTTTGGGGCAGGATTCATTTCCAAGTTACAATGAGCCTATAATGGCTAAACTTGCGTGGATGATACATCTTAGGATGCATACTAATGGACTTGCTCCGGATGCTGAATTCGACATACATTTTCCAGATAATGGACCAGGTAAAAAGTTATGGGTGCAGGTCTATCACCAAGAAACTATAAGGCTTAAATAAACCAAACTTGCCCAAATGATGCATCAAGGGATGAAAACTCTTAAACTTGCTTCAGATGCTGGATTTGATCACATTTTTGTGATGAAGAACTAGATTGAAGTTTTTATATAGGTCTATTTCAAAGTATCAGATCAAAATTTCATAAATGTTGCATTTTTTGGATGTACACTTTTTGTTGGGTAATTGTGTGACTTTGCCTTACTTAAAGGCAACATTCGTTGAGGTGAGCTCTGTAATCTCTGATTACCTATGTTTAGCTTTTCTTAGGCATATCAATTGATGATGTGCTGGACTGATATATTTAATTTAGGGTTGAATTGCATGTGAACTACCGTATTTGGCTGAATATTAAACGCACTTTTTTCCTAAAATAAATTTCTTTGAGAAAGGGGTGCGTATTTTACTTCACAATGGGATTTGGATAAGTTTTTCTTTCAGGTGAAACATGGTTAACATACACGTACATACTGTAGTACTACCTAGAGACAAATGCAATTTCTTTTGTTTATCGCCATATTTTGAACTTCGGAAAGTTATTGTTGGAACGTATGCTTGTTGAAAATGTCACTTTCATAATCTTTTGATAGTAAAAACTAAAATGATATGAAAAAGCAAGTTAAAATTAATTTGAGCTGCATGTTTATAGTCTCTGTGTAGGCTGCCATTACCATGTGATTACCGATGTTATTTTTAGACATTCACACATTCCTTTGCCACGTACTTCCGTAATCATAGTGCACATGTACCTAATCTGCCAGACAAAGTAATGTCATTTTTAGCTCACCTGAGCCGAAGGCTCAAGTGAGCTTTTCTGATCAAAATTTGTCCGTTGTTGTCGTCGTAGTCGTTGTCGTTGTTGTAAACTTTTCACATTTTCATCTTCTTCTCAAGAACCACTGGGCCAATTTCAACCAAACTTGGCACAAATTATCCTTGGGTAAAGGGGATTCAAGTTTGTTCAAATGAAGGGCCACGCCCTTTTCCAAGGGGAGATAATCATGAATTTGTTAAAAAATTAATGGCATTTTTAAAAAATCTTCTTCTCCAGAACCGCTGGGCCAGGAAAGATGAAACTCATGTGAAATCATCCTCAGGTAGTGTAGATTCAAGTTTGTTCAAATCATGACCCCCGGGGCAAGGGTGGGGCCAAAATGGCCGACCCAAGTTTTATATAGGAATATATAGGAAAAGTCTTTAAAAATCTTCTTCTCCAGAACCACTGGGCCAGGAAAGATGAAACTCATGTGGAATCATCCTTAGGTAGTGTAGATTCAAGTTTGTTCAAATCATGACCCCTGGGGCAAGGGTGGGGCCAAAATGGCCGACCCAAGTTTTACATAGGAAAATATTGGAAAAATCTTTAAAAATCTTCTTCTCCAGAACCACTGGGCCAGGAAAGATGAAACTCATGTGGAATCATCCTTAGGTAGTGTAGATTCAAGTTTGTTCAAATCATGACCCCCGGGGCAAGGATGGGGCCAAAATGGCCGACCCTAGTTTAACATAGGAATATATAAGAAAAATCTTTAAAAATCTTCTTCTCAAGAACCACTGGGTCAGGAAAGATGAAACTCATGTGGAATCATCCTCAGGTAGTGTTGATTCAAGTTTGTTCAAATCATGACCCCTGGGACAAGGGTGGGGCCAAAATGGCCGACCCAAGTTTTTCTTAGGAATATATAAGAAAAATCTTTAAAAATCTTCTTCTCCAGAACCACTGGGCCAGGAAAGATGAAACTCATGTGGAATCATCCTTAGGTAGTGTAGATTCAAGTTTGTTCAAATCATCATGACCCCCTGGGCAAGGATGGGGCCAAAATGGCCGACCCAAGTTTTACATAGGAATATATAGGAAAAATCTTTAAAAATCTTCTACTCCAGAACCACTGGGCCAGGAAAGATGAAACTCATGTGGAATCATCCTCAGGTAGTGTAGATTCAAGTTTGTTCAAATCATGACCCCCGGGGCAAGGATGGGGCCAAAATGGCCGACCCAAGTTTTACATAGGAATATATAGGAAATATCTTTAAAAATCCTTCTCAATTACCACTGGGCCAGGAAAGATGAAATTCATGTGGAATCACTAGGTAGTGTAGATTCAAGTTTTTTCAAATCATGACCCCCTGCCCTTGGGATATGGTGGGGCCAAAATGGCCGACCCAAGTTTTACATGGGGAAATATTGGGAAACCTTTTAAAATCTTCTTTTCAAGTACTTCAAAGCTATGATTAGTGATACCCGGGGTATTTATATGGAATCATCCTCAGGTAGTGTAGATTCTAGTTTGTTCAAATGATGAACGCCTGGAAGGGGGGGGGTAAATTCAAGCCTGATGTGCTCAGGTGAGCGCTGTGGCCCCTGGGCCTCTTGTTTTAATGAAATACAATAAACTAAAAATTTATTTTAGGTTATAAATATGTAGCTCAGTGAAAATTCACTTCAACATAAACACCGCTCTGTATGTCCCAATGAAAGGAATGTTGTGAAAACGTGCGCTTGTCACTTGATGATTATCTTTCAACACCCCTCTAGACAATTAAATTGTCTACCCACTCTAAAGCAATGTTTTTACAGTTAGAGCACTAATTATTTACTGTTCTTTTAACTGCTTGGATTATTTTCTTTGTTAAAAATCGGGGGTCGGTTTATTATCTTTTGTATGTATGAGCATATGTTGATTAGGACACATTAAACAATTAAACGCTTGTTAAATGTAATTTTACCTTTATCTTGTATTTATAGACCTCTTATAGACCTCTTGTTTAAATGATTGAGAGATGACAAATGAAATATTAAGTACCCCGGGTATCACTAATTATAGCTTTGAAGTACTTGAAAAGAAGATTTTAAAAGGTTTCCCAATATTTCCCTATGTAAAACTTGGGTCGGCCATTTTGGCCCCACCATATCCCAAGGGCAGGGGGTCATGATTTGAAAAAACTAAAACAATATCACATGCTTTGTTGAAATAAATTTATTTCACCAAAGAATATGGTGACGTATTATTTCAAAATCTCTGTATGCTAAAAAAATTAATAATAAACTCTGTTTATACTTTTACTCACATTATCTTGTGTTTTGTTGAAATAGATAATTTTCTTCAAATTGCTGCGATATGGAAATTCAGGATTGTTTTCTGTAAAGAAATATGCAGGCTAACTCTTGATTCCTGCCTACATTTTGGAACCATATAATTCAATATAAATAGCAATTTGGCCATAAAATCTTTTCTTAATACAAAGAATAGTTAAATGGTAATTGATGAATTGTCTTAATACGAGTGCTAAACAGTAAATTATCCATAATTCCAGTTCTTGAAAAAGGGGGGTAGACGAAATTTTCCATTGAAATCTGAGTTTCAAGCATCACCATATTTTGAAATAATCTTG